AAACTGCTTGCCGACTGGGACCTCCAAGTACTTGTAAACGTGCCTCTGCACGACTGGTAAGGCTTCATAACCAAGCTGCAGGATGGCTTTATGGCGGATATTTATGTATTAATATGGGGGTTTCTTAAAATGGGGGATCCCCAAAACCGCAGGTTTTCACACTGAACTGATCTAATTTTGGATGATTTGCGGTACCCCTATAACTTAGGAACCTCCATATATGTATAGTTGGAGTGGTTTGCGCAAAGAAATTTAAAACTGGTTCATACATTTCAGCAGACATTTTATGAAAGGTACAGAGATTACACGTCCCGCAGCACAAGGCCTCTCGACCGTGCAAATCTTAGATACAAATCATAAAAATGAGTTGTTGTGGAAAATGGTATCATATCGCCCTCCTATCAAATGAGCAAACTATGAAGCCATGAACATCTACACAACTCATCGAACAAATTGCCTTTTGCTTGTTGGTTCAACACCCGTGGCTGGATAACTGAGTGCACCCTTTATCAGTCACCTTACACACATGTTTACAATAGGTTTACTGCTTAACTCCCTTTTTTTCCAAAAAAAATCACATAGATGCCCCAGTTTCCTACAATTGTGAACATGTTCTCTTTTAATCCTGTTGGTACATTTTGTTCGATAACAATACATAGGTTTGCCTGAAGATAGGGTTACCCAAAAGCCGGTGGTGTGTCATAATTTTCCCGATCAACTAGCAACTCTGATGGTTTTTTAACCCATTTCCAGACACAGTCACCTGACTTTGTTGCCACTCCGCCGGTCCCGAATTGCTGCACCAAGAGACCCCAAGATGTGAAGTTCAAAAAATTCAGCACATTTCGGGCAGCCACTCCTTGAGACCAATGAAGAGCTCTTGGCATTGCTCCTACTTCGCCTACGGGTTTGTAAAGGTCTACTTGAACATCACCCAACCATTGGGGATTGCTCATCTCCAACAGATTCTTCAAAATGATCTTCAAAATCCCCTAAGCAAGATAGGGGTTGGTAAATCTATCTGAATCTATCTGAATCTATCTATCTGAATCTATCGGAATCTATCTGAATCTATCTATCTGAATCTATCAATCTGAATCTATCTATCTGAATCTATCTATCTGAATCTATCAATCTGAATCTATCGGAATCTATCTGAATCTATCTATCTGAATCTATCAATCTGAATCTATCAATCTGAATCTATCTATCTGAATCTATCTATCTGAATCTATCTATCTGAATCTATCTATCTGAATCTATCTATCTGAATCTATCTATCTGAATCTATCTATCTGAATCTATCTATCTATCTGTCTATCTATCTATCTATCTATCTGAATCTATCTATCTGAATCTATCTATCTGAATCTATCTATCTGAATCTATCGGAATCTATCTGAATCTATCTGAGTCTATCTATCTGAGTCTATCTATCTGAATCTATCTATCTGAATCTATCAATCTGAATCTATCAATCTGAATCTATCTATCTGAATCTATCTATCTGAATCTATCTATCTGAATCTATCTATCTGAATCTATCGGAATCTATCTGAATCTATCAATCTGAATCTATCTATCTGAATCTATCTATCTGAATCTATCTAATTATCTATCCATCCATCGCTCAATTTATCGATCTATCTATCTGCTCTGTCTGTCTGTCTATCTGTCTGTCTGTCTATCTATCTGAATGTAAATTACACTTGCGAAAGGTGATGTGCACAGCCCTTAAGGAGCCCGCGTCACATTGGTAGAGGCAGCTTTGAATGATAGCTATACTCACCTTTGTGGGTGGGCATATCAAGGATTTCCACAAGGTTCGGGAGAACAGCGAGGTCGTGACCAAATTTACCTAGATCTCTGTCTGCAGGTTTCCCAAAATGATGGTACCCCTAAATCGTCCATTTGAACAGGATTGTCCTTTATAAACCATCCATTTTGGGGATCACCCATGTATGGAACCCCCTAAAAAAAACCTATCAATCATAGGACACCACCAATCAGCATCCGCTGAAAGTCTGCTGAAAGTGCAGGATCCCCCAAACCATAGCTTTCAATACTAAAATATACACAAATATACAGGATGGGCCCCCCAGATATGTTCGTTGGTTTATAAACCATTGTAATCCCCATTAACTATAGTTATCTCTACCATAAACCATAGAATTCAGCCACTTAAAAGGCACCTGAACGCTATCTTGGGGGCCCCATCCTGTACTAAAATTGTATTTTTTTGAACGATTTGGAGGTACCCCCGTTTTAGGAAACCTCCAAATCCCCTAATTGTTTCTCATCCAGAGGGATAGATCACAGTCATCACAGTCTCCTGCTTGCGCTTCTCGAGGAACGTAATCAAATTTCCCCGCGGCCAAGATGTACATGCCCTTGCTGCGCCTTTGCCAAAGGAAACATGTCGAAACAACGACATAAAGGGGAGCGGTTCATCGCTAGTCGTTTTCGTTTGGAACCCTAGTGGATCCTTGTGGTAAAATTTGCGACTTGGATGCTTTAGGGTAGATATATCTATAATAGGGGTTACAAAGCAACTTAGCTATCTAGGGCGGAGCACCACCTTGTTTTACTGGTTATTACTGGTTGGTTGAGAACCGTCATTATCTTCATTCCCAGTGAACATGAAATCTTAACAATCTCCAATGTATATATATCACTGGATTGGGTTTAAGGGAAAATCTTAACCGGAAACCATCGATTTTCCAATTAAATCTGGGACTTTCCTGTAAATTGTCCCTTAAACCAAGGTCCATTGGTCCATGCGAGGGCTACCGAGGGCTACCATGGACTTTACCCGATCACTGATATATTACTGAAAAATACCTGTACTTGGTAAATATACAAACATATACCTACTATGTATAATATATATATATGTATATGTATATATATATATATGTGTGTGTCAAACTATGTATATATGTATATATGTATACATTTACATATATATATATATGTATTATACCCAAAGGAGCAACCCATGGTATACTTGTATATGTGCATACGTGACTGGGTGATTTGGGTAAGTGTTTGTAAGCATTCCAGCAGCACGTTCGGCTGAGTGCCATAGAGAATCCCAGTAACCAACCATGACTGGGGGTCACAATAAAGAATATCAGTCCTCATCCCGAATTGCGAGGTGAGTATCCAAGACTGGTTGGTGGTTTCAACCCCTCTGGAAAATATGAAAGTCAGTTGGGTTGATTATTCCAAATATATGGGAAATCATAAAATTCCATGGTTCCAGTCACCACCAACCAGAAGATCATCAACTGGAACAAAAACTATGGCATTGCTTGATTCCATACTCAACCGCAAAGCGATTGGATGTGGATCCAGATGGGGCTTAACTCAGCCAAGTTGCAACAAAAATTGTGTGAGGATGATCAATAACGATTAATAATGATATTGTCAATACAGGGTGGTGCCCCAGTTCGGAATCGCGTGAAAAGTTGGTGCCAATAAGTCCAATGTCACTATGGTTTATGGGTGATATCCATAGCTAATGAGATTATAACCCGTTTATAACTGGGGGGGGGCGCCACCTTGTAGCAGCAATGGTCCATACTGATTAATACTAGGGTTTTGAGGCGAATGGAATGCGATAGAATTGACCGACAACATGATATATCTGAAAAAACAAAACTCACCAACCTGAAATAATGCAAGCGTGGCGTAGTTACCCATACCATTAACCCAGATTCATTGTTGCAGTACTTGGGATATGGCATCCCTTCCAACCATGAAATTTATGATGTATATATATATATGTTATATATATATAATGCCCAGAATGATGACTCCCTTAACTGTCCTGCAAGAAACATTTCTGTATCCAGGTTTCTCTCAGAAGTGGCACGCAAGCAATATCGGAAGGCAAAATTTGAGGATGTGAAGCACTTACATTATATACAGGCTGAGGTCGCCTAGTTACAAGTTGGTTGAAAACCCCATCAACAAAAGGTATATCTTCCAAAAACCTTAGTTGACCAAGTTATAAGTCAACTTAGCTATCTAGGGGTCCTCACCTTGTATTTATGTATATATATATATGTCATAATCCTCCAAGGCAGTAGTGGTTTTGTCTTATAACTACTTCATAAGCCATAGTGAAGATCGAGAAATAGATCGCAGAAGTCTGGTGGTTTGTTGTTCCAATGCTTCAAGTTCAACGACTAGTGGAATCCATGTTGAATCCATGCAAACTTTGTGAACCTACAATGACAATTCTACGGGTGCAGGCCAGGGTTGTTAATGGGCAAGAGTAACCCCCATAAGACAAGATATAACCCCTATAACAATGGTTACGACAAGACTCTATGGTTTGCCCGGAAGGTTCGAACGGTGTTCAAACATCTTCAAACATTATCTTTCGACATCTTCCAATATCTGTGCAGGGCCAGTGTTTTAATATTTCCCAGACGACGACGAACCCTAAACCCTAAAATCCCAAACCCTAAAACCCTAAACCCTGAAAACTCTGAGTCCTAAACCAGAAAATACTGTGCAATCTCTCTTATCATGCTCGGCAACAGAGCATCCTCAATGTTGCAGTCCGGGCAAACCACGGGGTCTGTGGTTGAATACCTATCTATACCTTTCAAAACCTCCTTTGAAAACTCACTCAGCACATGGTCAGTCTTTGATAGTCCACAACAAAATGTAATCTGTTTGCTGGTTATGGTTATTTTCCATTTAAAGCAATAGCCTATCCAGGATTAAACTACCTATCGAGTTGGTTGGGGTTGTCAATACCGCATTAGAAAACTGAATCAGCATTGTCGACAGCTAAATTCGCTTTTACCGCTAAGCCAGCAGCCTCAAGTTCTGAAGCAGGTCTACTTCATGGCTCATCCCACTTAGGATCCGTGGCTTACCCCGGTATTAAAAAGGATTTTTTGCCTACCGAGAGCTTTGGGATCAAATATACTTGGTGGCGGACTACCCACGAATCGTAAGTGGCTTAGTTCCAACCAGTTATAAGTGGATTAACCCGCTCCTTATCCCATGTCAATCACTGGGGTGAACTAACCCACAAAACGATTCGTGGGTAGTTCGCCACCAAGTACTAGATTGCCAGACGTAAAGATTCTGATCCTGGTCCAAGGCTGAAGATCAAAGTGCCTGGCAAGCCAATCTATTCAGATATGGAGGTGGGGCCCCCCAGTGATGTTTGATGGTTTACAAACCCATTAACTATAGTTATAGGATGTTATAGGTACCAAAAACCAGAGTGACATTGGAGTTATAAACCAACTGAACGCTATCTAGGGGGGCCCACTTTGTATGGAGGTTTCCGTTTTGTCATGGGAAAACCCCCAAATCATCATCCATAAATAGGGATTTTCCAGAAAATAACATCCAAAAAAGGGGCTACCCTCATCTATGGAAACCCCATATGGGCATGTGGCAAGTACTCCCCATAGAAATTTGAGATCGCCAAGGTGCTGGTTTGCATCGAAGAGCGTGTCATTCTCCAGCAGATACAGCTCGTTCACCTGAAACACCAATCCTCTCTCCCTATTACTAAAACACCGGCCCCCCAAATGGTAAACACGGTGATCTATTTTACTATTGGGGGGTATTTTGTATTAGGGTGCCCCTAATATTCCAATAAAAACATTAATAATAAAAATAAAACACTCGATTTCAAATGTGATTAAATAATGTTTTAAATTCTATATAAAAGATTGCCAAAAACTGGATTGAGAAGATTTCCTCTAATATTCCAATGAAAACCTCAATAATACAACTTTAAAAAGATTGATTTTCAAATTTGATTTGAATCCCGTATCAAAATATAATATTTAAAAAATATTGCCAAAAACTGGATTTCGAAGATTTCCCCTAATATTCCAATGAAAACCTTAATAATAAAACTAAAAAAACACGATGTTCACATGTGCTTTAAATCCCTTATTAAAATTTATATATAAAATATGGCCAAAAACTGGATTTAGAAGCTTTCCCAAATATTCCAATGAAAACCTTAAAAGTAAAATATAAAAATAAAACTTGTGAGATGGGACCCTAATAAAACACATCCAGGTACCAGTCTATTTTTATTAATAGAGTGGTTGAACCCATTGTTTCACCATCCTGTTCTCCTATTGATTCTCAATTACCACAATTAAGAATCCAATTGTAAAAAAAACGCAATAAAAACGGAATTGCCAAACCACTCCTATTTTTTGTATTTCGGAGAATGGAGAGTTTTAGTAATAGGAAGAAGGACTTACTTGGGGATGCAAATGAGGTTGTGAAAATGGGAATAAGTCGGCAATAAATAGCCTGTAACTATCTGGTTGGTGGTTTTAACCATCTTGAAAAATATGCTCATCAGTTAGGATTATGAAATTCCCAATATGATGGGAAAAATAATCCATTCATGTTTCAAACCACCAACCAGCTATGGTTTTGCAAAGATACTTTAAAAAAAAAAATCAACTGCATCGCACCCCCAAGTATAGCTGGTTACCCACAAGAAATCGCTGTTGTTGCTGGCTAAGATTTGATGAAAATAAAGGGCCACCGATGGAAATAGTGGGCGAAATTTCCATAAAATGATCCCATTACCGGGGTCCTGCAAGTTGGTGCCCCCCCCAGTTATAAATGGGTTATAATCCCATTAATTATGGATATATCACCTATAAACCATAGTGACATTGGACTTATAAACCAACTGAATGCTAACTACATGTATGGGGCACCACCCTGTGAAGATACTTCGATGAATCTGAATCTGTTCCCTTCGATAAATCATTTCTATTCTTCTAGCTTTGCCCCCCATGCCGTGGATGCAAAAAAAACACCCCAAACCCATTAAAAATGAACACGGGAAAGAGCCATGGCATGTGAGGGGTCTGCAGCCACATCATCTCATCATTGATTCAACCTAGCGATCTTTTATGTTTGTTTTTGTTTAATGGGAAATCATGGGGATAATAAAATTGGGATGATGAGACTGGTTGGTGGTTGACCTACCCCGCTGAAAATATTAATTAGTCAGTTGGGATCATTATTCCCAATATATGGTAAAATAAAAAATGTTCCAAACCACCAACCAGGATAGGTTTGCCCAGTGAAAAAGTACTACACTACATGCTACTACCACTAACACCACTACCAGTTCAACGACAACGAGAGATCCTTATCAGGCACAAGCCGCCGCGTCATCCCAGCAGTGGCGGCATACTAACCCCCCCTCTTGGTTGAAAAGAAAGGTGGTTTCACTACTCTTTATATCTTGTGGATTGTCATGGCCTGCTTACACCTTTAAAACAATAAATAAAGGACCGGATAACCCCACATGTCAACTTCTTCCAACAAGCAGCAAAAGAAAGGTAAAGATAGCATGGGGAAAGCAGGAAAGAGAAAAGAGACGGTTAAGGATTGGTGCGGAGCAAGTTGTGTGTGGAAGATTAAGTACGAGTGATTGGTTTGCATCCAAATAGAAGGCCAGCTAGACAAACAATACTGAACACACTAATCCAATAACATCAAGTCGCCTCAGACAGCGCCAGCTCTTTCGCAATAACATCCACGTATAGACCGGTATGAGTAGTTGTGTATGTATGTATGTATGTATGTATGTATGTATGTATATGTGTATGTATGTATGTATGCATGTATTGAACAGCAGCATCTGCGCGACGAAGTCGGTGCCGGGCAGAACAACAGAAAACACCGGCTGTCACGAAGACTGTTAGTTTCAGCAGCACAGATTGATAACAGACATATGAGCACCGTCAACTGCAACAGCACTAGCAAAGATCACGACATCGCAGCGTGGTGGACCTGCCAAGCGACGGCGGCAAGTGCAGTAATGTAGCTCCCGCTGAAAGCAAGCAAGACAAGAATAGTGGCAACCGATTGCACAGAAACTGTTCTGATCTGTCATGAACGTGATCTTTTTTTCTGTCGCTCACATGGCCGCGTTCAGGCGCTAGATCTTCGCACGGCGCGTCAATCCATGCAAGCTAAAGCTAGCTCCTTTGGCTATATACTGCACACGGAATCCGGATCAAGTCCAAGACACGGTAAAAGCCACATCGAACATCACGGACACCTACGGACAACCGCGGACGCGGACGGTCACAAAGTCCAGAAAGTCTCCTCCAGTTGCACTTCTGCGATACACAGCCAAGCGGCATATGGCAACGACACCTCCGCTGCGATCCATGTGTTGACGAGTGCCACGCCAGCAAGTGCCACGCCTGCCACGCAAAGCGACGATCCATGTCATCAAGTGCCACGCCTGCCACACAAAGTGAAGGTGGATGTCACAAAGTGCCACGCCTGCCACACAAAACGCCGCGGCGTCCCAGCGCGGCCTGGGAACCAAGCGCGCCACCAGAGCCAACCCAGTGCCATAAGTGCCACGCCTGCGACGCAAAGTGACGATCCATGTCATCAAGTGCCACGCCTGCCACACAAAGTGAAGGTGGATGTCACAAAGTGCCACGCCTGCCACGCAAAACGCCGCGGCGTCCCAGCGCGGCCTGGGAACCAAGCGCGCCACCAGAGCCAACCCAGTGCCATAAGTGCCACGCTTGCCACGCAAAGTGACGATCCATGTGTTGACAAAGTGCCACGCCTGCAAGTGCCACGCCTGCCACGCAAAGTGACGATCCATGTCATCAAGTGCCACGCCTGCCACACAAAGTGAAGGTGGATGTCACAAAGTGCCACGCCTGCCACACAAAACGCCGCGGCGTCCCAGCGCGGCCTGGGAACCAAGCGCGCCACCAGAGCCAAACCAGTGCCATAAGTGCCACGCCTGCCACGCAAAGTGACGATCCATGTCATCAAGTGCGACGCCTGCCACACAAAGTGAAGGTGGATGTCACAAAGTGCCACGCCTGCCACACAAAACGCCGCGGCGTCCCAGCGCGGCCTGGGCACCAAGCGCGCCACCAGAGCCAACCCAGTGCCATAAGTGCCACGCCTGCCACGCAAAGTGACGATCCATGTGTTGACAAGTGCCACGCCTGCAAGTGCCACGCCTGCCACGCAAAGTGATGATCCATGTCATCAAGTGCCACGCCTGCCACACAAAGTGAAGGTGGATGTCACAAAGTGCCAGGCCTGCCACGCAAAACGCCGCGGCGTCCCAGCGCGGCCTGGGCACCAAGCGCGCCACCAGAGCCAACCCAGTGCCATAAGTGCCACGCCTGCCGCAAAGTGACGATCCATGTGTTGACAAGTGCCACGCCTGCAAGTGCCACGCCTGCCACGCAAAGTGATGATCCATGTCATCAAGTGCCACGCCTGCCACACAAAGTGAAGGTGGATGTCACAAAGTGCTACGCCTGCCACGCAAAACGCCGCGGCGTCCCAGCGCGGCCTGGGAACCAAGCGCGCCACCAGAGCCAACCCAGTGCCATAAGTGCCACGCTTGCCACGCAAAGTGACGATCCATGTGTTGACAAAGTGCCACGCCTGCAAGTGCCACGCCTGCCACGCAAAGTGACGATCCATGTCATCAAGTGCCACGCCTGCCACACAAAGTGAAGGTGGATGTCACAAAGTGCCACGCCTGCCACGCAAAACGCCGCGGCGTCCCAGCGCGGCCTGGGAACCAAGCGCGCCACCAGAGCCAAACCACTGCCATAAGTGCCACGCCTGCCACGCAAAGTGACGATCCATGTCATCAAGTGCGACGCCTGCCACACAAAGTGAAGGTGGATGTCACAAAGTGCCACGCCTGCCACACAAAACGCCGCGGCGTCCCAGCGCGGCCTGGGCACCAAGCGCGCCAACCAGAGCCAACCCAGTGCCATAAGTGCCACGCCTGCCACGCAAAGTGACGATCCATGTGTTGACAAGTGCCACGCCTGCAAGTGCCACGCCTGCCACGCAAAGTGATGATCCATGTCATCAAGTGCCACGCCTGCCACACAAAGTGAAGGTGGATGTCACAAAGTGCCACGCCTGCCACGCAAAACGCCGCGGCGTCCCAGTAAGTTGTGTGTGGACAAGTTGTGTGTAAACAAGTTGTGTGTGAGTAAGTAAATTGTGTGTGAGCAAGTTGTGTGTGAGCAAGTTGTATGTGAGTAAGCGGCACGCGAGCAAGTTGTGTGTGAGTAAGTTGTGTGTGAGCAAGTTGTATGTGAGTAAGTTGCGTGTGTGTGTGCAAGTTGTGTGTGAGCAAGTTGTGTGTGAGCAAGTTGTATGTGAGTAAGCCGCACGCGAGCAAGTTGTGTGTAAGTTGTATGTGAGTAAGTTGTGTGTGAGTAAGTTGTGTGTGAGTAAGTTGTATGTGAGTAAGTTGTGTGTGAGTAAGTTGTGTGTGGACAAGTAGTGTGAAGACAAGTTGTGTGTGGACAAGTAGTGGTGTGGACAAGTTGTGTGTGACGGGAGGGGCGACGGGAGCGGGAGGAGGAGGAGGCGGCGGACGGGATGCAGAACCAAAAACAAGAACCCCACACAAAGATGTGGAGAAATAAAAAAAGTACCTGAAATGGCGATTGCACCAGCTCTTGAGGGCCATCAATTCGGTGAGCCATCAAATTGAATGGGAATATCTTGGAGTAGATACCTGGATTTGTGGGATAGTATTCCCATGCTACCACAAAACCTTAGTTAAAACTTAAAACAGCAATATAAATATGTATATATATATATATACATACACGTAATTATATATACATGGATATATATGGTGTTTACCTTTTCAATTAACAAAAAAAAACACCATTGGAAATGATTATAGCACAATCCACCCATTTTAGTGAAAACCCCAGTCAATTCATCCATGTGGTTTTAGACCCGAGAAACTGAACATCTACAGTTTGTTGTCTATGGCACCTGCGGCCCTGTGTCAAGTCACAGCTTTCATGCACAAATCGATTTCCATGCACCTTGGACGGCGCAACAATTTGGCGCAAGACCTGCTAATCCTAGCGGTGACAAGTACCACGAATGAGGTGCGTTTAAAATTTTGCGTAGAAAAACCATTAACTCATCTCATCAAAGTCCCCAGGTGTATTCAATGTGTCTACATCTTACATATTACCGGATCTTACCCGATTAGCCCACCCCATCAGCCAATCTGCACTAGGATCATGAGGTTCCATTCCTTGGGAAAACCAAATGTCCTAGTTCAAAGTCCCCACACTTTGTCTAGTCTAGTCACCATTTACAAAGAATAAAAAACAGGTGGTTCATTCCGCGCTAAATAAATGTGCGGCACCTGGCATTGCCCATTGATCACTTGTGACTGAAGTTGCACCTTTCCTACGACTGGGGGTAAATCACCTAGTAAAAATATTGGTTGGATTTTGATGAACCCAAATGATTGCAGTAAATCCTCATGCGTGGTCGCTCATGAACCCATTAATCGTGTCACGTGTTTTTGCATTTTTTGTCGATCATTTCCTCATCATACATTCTTAAAAAAATCCCAAAATCAAAATCACAAATCACTAAATAAAATGTTTTTTTTTCATCATTTCCGTTTAAGAAGTTTGAGGACTCAGTTCCTCCCAAAAAAATGGCGAAAAGAAGGACACCAACCTACAAACCAATTCTTGGATTTGCTGATCGCTTTACAGTGTTTTGTTCAGATCAACACTAATACAAACATGCAGCGGAATTGCCTTTCATCAAAGATTTCCAAAATCAGCTTCATGAAAGATCGCCAAAATCAGTATTTTTTGTTTCTTTGTAAGAATCGTTCATTTCCGTTTTTTTTGCTTGTCTGGTATTTTGGGAAAAGATGCCAATAGGATCAAATGAGTCTATCCCTCGTCCGGGGTCCCTTTTTCAACAAAAGGTTATCGCTAGCTTATCGCTCAGGTCGTTGCTAAACTAGAACGCCTTGGTGATCAAGAAAAGAACAAAAAGAAAAATGTGGAACAAAAAAGGACAACTTAACATTTACCAAATACAAGGGACAAGGAATGAAGGAACAAGAAAAGAAAACAAAGGAAGAAAGTGCAAATCAACCGATTTAATTCAGAAGTCATTTGGAAAGCGATTTTGAACGAGTTTTGCTTTAATTCAGATTCAATTGCATCCAGTTTCAAAGAAAAACATGAAAATTGCTTTACTCCGAGCGAACCCCACTTTGACAATTTGTTTGCTCATCTGGAAGCATATATGGTATATAATATATAAATATATTATATAAATATATATTCTGACGTTCTATTCTGGCATTCTATTCTGGCATTCTATCTGGTATCTATTCTGGCATCCTATCTGGCATCCTTTCTTGCATCTATTCTGACATTTTCTCTGGCATTCTATTTGGCATTCTTTCTGATATTCTATCTGGCATCTATTCTGACATTGTTTCTGGCACCCACTGTATTCTGGCATGGCATTCTATCTAACATTCTGTTCTGTCATTCTGTCTGGCATTATTCTCTGTGACATGGGCACTGCCGGATCTCAACCGTGAGCGCCAGATCTCAGTAAGCATCACCACTTTGGGTCCGGCGGTGCCCACTGAGCTCTGGAGCTCGCTGTTGGGAGGAGGAAGCAGGAAGGAAGGAGGAAGGAGGAGGAAGTAACTCTGGTAATATCTAGAGACCCTCACCTGGTAGGTGGGGAAATAAAGGAAAGGAAAAGAAGAGGGAACTAAGGAATAAGAAAGTCGAATTGAATAAAAGCACATAAACAGAATTCAGAGTTAGATTTAAAGTCATTCTTGATTTGTTTGAGAATTCAATTGCATTAGTTTTAGATCATTTTAGTTTATTTCGACTTCTCTGGGACCTGGGGAAAAAAGCAAACTGCCTGCAGAGAGAGACGGTTCAATCACCTTAGACAACAAATGATACGGCAATCGCAAGAAACACCTTCGCACTGCAGCTTGAATTTTCTTCAATGTTGCCCATTCCTTGAAGCTACACAACAATATGTGCTTGGTTTACAGCAAGTTTCATGCACTCTTACAGGGGCTGGTAAATGTCCTAATTGAACATCACCCAACTAAAAAGGGGATATACGTCGATGCTTGAAATCTCCAACGAATACGAGATACAATGATGTTCAAAGTCTCCAAAATGGGACATCTACGAGTACCAAGCCGTGTCTTATGGTTACAAGTTATCCCTCCCATCTGGGACTTCTTCAGGTCCCAGCTGCCGGTTGCCTTTCCCAATCTCCTTCAGGAAAGGATGGCTCCGCCGCAAAGTCCTGCTGCGCGCTTCATGAAAGAGTTCACTCACCATGCCCTCCTGGCGGTTTCGAGGGACTCTGTGGGCTTTCGAGAAAATTTGGAGAAACATCAACAAAAACCATTGAGTTTGTTTCTATTGTTCCCTGAAACACATATTTTGTTTTTTTGTTCAGTTTTTTCTTGTGCGGGTGTCTTCGCATGAAAAACATGTGTCTTTCTAATGAACATCATGGTTCTTCCCATCAAAACCATGCTTTTACCAATGATCTGATCAGGGCCCGAGACGACCATTTTGGTTGGTGCAATGGAACACCATGGAACCAAAACAGCTGGTCATAGACGGTCATAGTTAGACCATGGGGATCAAATACCTCTATGATTGGTCCCTTGCTGGACCTCAAAACAGCTTTTTTGTGGTTCTCCCAGCTAGATATCGTACCCTCTGGTTATGACTAACATAGCCATGGTATAGATGGCCCATAGAAATGGATGATTTTCCCAGCTAGAAACCTCCAGTTGTAAAGGATTTTCCATGGCTATGTTAAATAACCAGATGGTTGGTGGTTTTCAACCCCTCTGAAACATATTATTAGTCAGTTGGGATTATTAATCCCATATGTTATGGAAAATAAAACATGTTCCAAACCACCAACCAGCCAGATAGTATATGATAATTGACAGTATGTGATAATTGATAGTATATGATTCATAATGTATGATAGGTCTTGACCCATCCTCCCAACATTCTTAGCAAGGACATGTTGCATCAGAGCGGGGACCCGCTCTAGTACTTGGCGATGCAGATAAGATTCTTAAACATGACTGAATCAAACTTGGGGATACAATGGCTATCCAAAGTTATGAAGAAACACCATTAACATACCAAAAAAATGGAACTATTTGGCAGTGTTTTGTATTTGACCTTCCATGAAAAATAGCGGGTTTTTTGTTCGGGTGTCATTTTGACCCATCCCCATGGTCAAAATCTCTTCGTGAAAGATGCGAGGAAGTTTACCCCAGAATTTTCGTAGCAAACTACCGCTTTTCCATACCCATAGGATCCATGTATGCTATATATGGTAACATTTACCATAAATATCCCCCAAATGTTAGCATATATACCATACATGGATCCTATGGGATATGAATCTTTACAAATGGTTTAAGGATGTTTAAGGTACTTGTAGACCGGTTCGGTAAGGTGGGGCCCCCGTTTACGTTAGCAAGATGTTGATGTACAACTCCACTACTTTATATTATATGGTTGTCATGGCTTATTAAGTAGATATATCATATCTATTCATATCTATAGTTACGGCTATAGTTACGTATAGTTAATGGGATTTATAAAGCAACGATCATATATGAAATCAGATTTATCAAACCAAGTAAATGGGGTTACGTATATCACTTTGGGACTTTGGGGGCCCAACTTGTAGGTCCTTGTTGAAATCAATCGAAGTCGTGTCCCCGTCTTTGCTGTGCTAAAGCGAAGTTGCAGTTGGACAACCGCGATTTGTTCAAGAGGGAGACAAAAAAAAACAGAGACGTTGAAGACCTGGAAATTATGAGGTACAAGGTGGGGCCAACGTCCAATAGCAAAGTTGGTGAACATAATTCCACTAAGACTTATGACATCTCTATACTTGAAACCACATTATAACGAGGGGACACCTTGTATCATCTGTTAATATGCGGGAAAAACATACCGTTCGATAAAGAATATCTTAGATTGTTTTTGAGATATCATGGAAATCATGCCAAAACATCAGTCGCGGTCAGAGGATCACATAGGATCACACATCAAGTCCAAGCGTCAGGTAGCGTTTGCAAGAACTCCTCAGAAAAGCATGATCAACATGTGCTCAATCCAACCATGACATTGCCAATCTTAGATACCCTGCAAAAAAATAAATTCTTTGCTGGTTAGTAGATATTCCCATTAATACCAAAAGACTAAAAGATTAAAGTATCCATGTAAGATTGACCTAGATTTGCTCAATCCAACCATGAATATGACAAGACAGGATCCTTTGCAAGTAGTTCCTGATCTTTTCAGGGACATCATTGATTCAGTTTTTTTCTTACAATTACAGCAAAGCCCTTTATCAGCTGTTGTTTAGGCCACAAATAAGGTTATCATTCCAGGGTTCTAACTGACTTATACAAGTAATTGGTATTTTGGGCCATAACTCTAGAACAACTGTGTCATTGTTGCTTCTCAGTGAGGGGGTAGCGAAAAGAAAAAAAACGATACACTGAAGCTTCCAGTTTGCAAGAACTGATTTTAACACCACAGTGTCCGAGTCATATCTTTACATGTTGAACACTTACTATAATTCACATACTGTATGCATCCAAGACAAAGTATATAAACAAATGTAAACAATACAAAAACAATACATGTACATATGATATGTATCACATGTATCCATATTGTTCTCTATGCACAACTTAGGTATCTATAGAAAAATATACTATATACAAATCATAATGCACTACATGTAAATAGCTGCATAGTGATGGACATGCATATAGATCTAGATCATGATATGGATTTCCCTTTACCGTCCTTTTCCATCCTCTAAGCTCAGGCCCCCCATGGCGGCCGAGGCACCATGTGTCCATGCATGCTCTGACGATGATGTTCACGCTCCACGAAGCGACGCACTTTCATCGTGTACGTGAAGGGCATGTGACTGTCGCCACAATATTTCCGGACCTCAGCGATAAACAAACCGCTTTTGAAAGTCCACGCAGGCTGGAGAATGCGGTACATCCACCATTTTAGCCAATTGAATGAACATGATGATTAATGTTGGGCAATGTCGCGCCACCGTGCTCGTTCTGGTTACACTAAAAAATCTTGGGTTTTAAGGTGTTTTTTAGGGTTTCCCAAATGTTTGTTGATTTTTGCCAAACAGGTCAACCCAGACTATGGCACACCCGCGTTTGTGAAGCTGAAACTTTGGTCTTTGGACACATACATCTGTCGGTACCCAAAAAAACCTTCTAAACAAATCCAATCATGTCTAATATGGCTTTGAAACTTTGGCAGCGTTCTGACTGCGATTGTTAACAAGACTTAAAATCGGAATATGGATGTGGTGGATGCATCAGTGCGAAGAAAATGCAATGGCCAAACACAACCCACTGGGTGGGGCAGGTCAGAATCGCTAAGCTGGTGCAAGTAACTCCAATTTCACGAGGGTTGATTAAGGGTATATAACAGGCAAAGGGGAATAGACACATTTATAAACCAACAAACATAACTGGGGGGGCACCACCCTGCAGTTATCGATTGATTCAAGGGGAAAACATTTGGGCACTTGTCGTGTTTTTTTGTTTACCGCCCATTTATTCAATTCTTGGAAGGTAGGAATGTTCACCTGGAAACTTTTGGAGACTTGGTGACTTGACCTACATCCATATCCCGGATATCCCTTGCTCTCTTCAGAATAGTTCACCAACCTGAAAATAACCACACCAAGGATTTCTCCCTACTGGCGCTTGGAAGTTTTTTTGTTCCTCGGGACATACACGTATGTTGTTACAACAATGAAAGTCTTCAAGTGACATAGCAGTGAGGTCGTGATCGACCTTTCACTTAGGTTTACCAGGTCCAGCTAACGCGATGGCTTTGGGCCCTGAGGGATCCTGGGAAGATTCCAGACTTTTCTGATGTCTCCATCCAATTCTGGGGTGCTCCCAATTATCTGCGAATATCCTATGTATATTCATCATAGTCCCATGATATTTCCAGCGTAAAAAAAGGCAGCAACCCACAGAGAATGATTTATCATGTTTTTTTCATATTCCCATCATATTCCCATAATATTTCCATGATAATCCCATCATATTCCCATGATATTCCCATCATATTCCCATGAATTTTCTATGCTATTCCCCTGTTCTTTCTGAGAAGAGGCTGATTCCAAGATCTGATTCATCTTCTTTCTTCTCGAAGTCAAGTCGGCCAAGACATTGGTCAGAACGCCGACAAACCTCGTGTTTTGGACGAGTCACTTTAAAGGGCTTTAAAGGGGCCCTAGGGATCCCCAGGAAAACCCGTGGGGTTTTCCCTAGGAAAAGGATCTACTTAAATGCTGGCGTCGATTTTCCTGAGGAAAGCCGTGGGCTTTCCAATTCTATGTGAAGGTTTACCCTCTCGTAATTTAACATAGCTAATGAAAATGGCCATAGAAATAGTGGATTTTCCCATTAATAGCATGGTGATTTTCCATAGCTATGTTAGTTTACCAGAGGGTACCCCTTGGGGTAACTGTCATGGTGGTAGAAAGAAATCTCATGAAATTGTGGTTTCCAAATCAAAGCTTCACTCAGCGGACTCATCGTCACAATTCCATCTCTTGATGTACGCCCTAATTGGCAAGTGCTTCATGACCGCAATCAATCAGATTCTCGACACATCTATGCATACATATGAAAATAACATACATATTATATATATAAATATATAATTATATGTAATCCTATATATATATAATTATATATATATACATGTATATCCGTATACACATACATATTCATATATATATATATTTACAGACCTATGTAAATATAAGTATATGTATAAATATAACGTATCTATCCTGTGCAATTTGGTGTGTATATATATATATTATGATATACACATACGGCCGGGACGGGGGTGCTGCCCGGCGCAGTGGATTGCAACTGCGCAAGGCCAGTGTTTTTTGCATGTTGGTATGTCGGTGACGGTGAAATTGCAACTTGGCTGACGAGACTTATTTCCAAAAGACAAAACTCTAAATCCAAAACACTGAAACCCAAATCTGACATGAAACCCTAAGTAAGCCTTGAAAGTAAAATCTTATTCAAAGCATGGTTTAAAAAAAAACAACTTAAAACAAAAACATGGTGCCGGGCATCTGAGGGGGCCCCCGCTGTTGTCACTTTTCAAACATTTTACAGGGGGGACCGCAAAACGCTGAAAAACGAAACTTTAGCATCAGGAGCATTTCATCATCATCATCATCATCATCATCATGTCATGATCATCATCATTTACATATCCATAACCATCCACCTAACACCCGCCCTACGATCTGCAAGTGCATGAGAATGTACAGCAGCGTAGCATGACGTATGTGTGCAAGTGCATGAGAACGTACAGCAGCGTAGCTATATGTGTGCAAGTGCATGGGAACGTACAGCAGCGTAGCATGACGTATGTGTGCAAGTGCATGAGAACGTACAGCAGCGTAGCTATATGTGTGCAAGTGCATGAGAACGTACAGCAGCGTAGCATGACGTATGTGTGCAAGTGCATGAGAACGTACAGCAAATGACGCTATTATCCCACCCCACCCCCCCCCTCGTCTATGACGTTGTTTTTAGTGTAATGTCAAAAACTGACAACAGCGGGGGCCCCCTCAGATGCCCGGCACCAAAAACATGAAACCCTAAACAAATCCAAAAGAGTTGGTCCCATGATAAACCTCTGGCACCGGCCTGGTATACATACGCATATTTACATCGGCCGCTGCAAAAAAAATCCCGGCGCCAGGATACATGGAGGTTTGAAATCTGATGTTTTTCGTACTTCATACATGGTAGCCCCCAATTTAACAGCCGTTTGGGGTTTATTAATCCAGGAATCCAGGGTTGACATTATATTATAGCTATTCTGGCTATTCCAATAATGGATTGTGGCTGATCCTTTTCAATAGGTCAGTTTTCATTCATCCCCGACAGTACCATGCTGGGTTCGTAGCTCCATAGCAGCGTGAAACAAATCCGACATGTTGTCTCTAACAGTACTTACGTTGGGTGGTGCCCCAGTTTGTTAGCGTTCAGTTGGTTTATAAGTCCAATGTCACTATGGTTTATAAGTGATATATCCATAATTAATGGGATTATAACCCATTTATAACTTGGGGGGGGCACCACCTTGTAAGAACGGGAATTTCCTTTCATGGATTCATGGAATGATTGTGATAATCACCAAAATATTGTTTCGTATAATCCCGGAATCAATGAATCATCATATCAGTACATCTTAATATTGTTTGATTCTTACAGCTTCTAAAAAAACAATGCTATTCAAAGCCCATTAAAATAGCATCACAGCATGCAAAACGCATCAAGGTCGACCAAGGTATAGCAACCACAGCCACTGCTCAGCTGTTCCAAGACACAGAGAAGAGGAGACCAGGGCGATAAAGGTTGCACTGATGGCAAGCCTAGTTCTGTAAGAGTTGTCACGTGAATACCCCAGGGATGACATGATGAAATATCATGGGATAGGCAAGAAATGGCTAGCATGATATGGAGGTTTCCATAAATGGTGGTACCCCCAAATGGATGGTTTATAATGGAACATACCAATCTAAAATGGATGATTTATGGTTGTAGTACCCCTATTTCAGGAAACCTCCATATGATTAATAATTTACGTATGATACATACCTCCACTCTCCAAGTATCATCAAGTATCTATGAGAATTGGCTTTTACCCCATGAGAACAGGTACCTTTCCCTGGTAATTCCACGGTAATAAGAGAATTATGGCAGGCGAATTCCACGGTCATCAGCTCCGCTGGAAAATCCCACATCCCCAAGCTCCCAGATGGCCAGAAATGTTGCAGGCGTGAGCAGACCCGGCCTGGTAAACGTTTACAGTTTGCGAACTGGAAAATGCCCATTTACAGTGAGTTTTCCCATTAAAAATATGGAGGATCTTTCCAAACGTTTACCAGAGGGTAAGGGAAAATCCCTTCAAATCCCTTTGACCATCCCCCTTTCGGAGTATCCATGCTTTCACCATGTCATACAGGTCATCGGAGATCATCGTCCCATTTGACCATGGTTGAAACTTTTTAAAGCAACATATGCCAAAACACCAACCAGCTCATATACGTGTATACATATATATATATACATCTATGTGATCATACATGTATATATATATATATATTATATATATACTAGACCCTCCAAGTACCTAACAAAAAGTATTGGTATAAGTATGGGTATTATATATATATAGACCCTCCAAGTACCTAAAAGTACCCAATAATATATATATATATATATGATTACTGGTATTTATTCGTATTGATTAGTACCCGAGGTACTTCCACTGCTTTTTCCATGGCAGGTCACCAACGCTCTGCGGCGGTGGCAAGTTCCACATTGTTCCTTCGCAGGGGCATTAATGATTTAGTGGGGACTTAACGTGATGTTAATGGGAGTTAATGGAAATTGATAGTGATTTAAAGTGATTTAATGGTATTTTATAGTGATTCAATTGGATTTTATAGCGATTCAATGGGATATTGATGGGATTTACCCTCTGGTAATTTAACAGTTTGCTATTGAACATGGCCCAGTCGAAATAGCTGATTTTCCCAAGAAAAGTGGTGATTTTCTGTGATTTTCCATGTCGTATCACCGTGACCGCGGTTTTGCCATTGCCAATCTTAGATACCCTGCAACAAATGACAAATTCTTTGCTGGTGAACGTAGACATTCCCAAAAAAATATCCATTTTCATACCAACAGACTAGTTAGGAATCTAAAGGATTAAAGATTAGTCTTTTGGTATTAATGGATATCCATTCTTTCCCATTCATCTAAAGGAATCTTCCATGTAAGATTGACCAACCATTTCTTTCCCGCTGGGCGGTCCTTAAAGACGAAGCAGGTAGCCGCGACACGGCCCATTCCACCTCGACATGAGTTGAAAAAAAACCCTGTATGTAAATCCTGATCCCAAAAGCAAATCATGTGATTTCCAAGCGGCGGTCTTCATATTTATGTCTTGGCGCTTGATTCTGAACTGTTTGAACTAGAGCTTGTTGCATCTACATCAGAGCTGCTTTCAGCTACATCATATCCGTAGAGAAAGTTTCGTTCAGCAGTTTCTTTTTCAGGGAACAGCATCTTTTTCACAATCCCATGGCGGGGTCATTTTGAAACAGGGCAGAAAAGTTTGACAGTGTTACTGGGAAAATTAACCCATCTATGGAACACATTGCTATCAGGTCAACAATGACTTGGAACGCAGCGCACATGGTATGAATGGTCTGCGGTCTCCGGGTTTTTGTGGGCAATTGGTCATTCTGACTGAAATCCTGATGTCGTTCAGAGGTCGTTCAGAGGTCGTTCTGAGGTCGTTTGGGAGCCGAAAAAAATGGCTAAATAATGACCCTTGAATACACAGTAATTATACAATCTGAAAATCAGATCCCTGTCTGAATTCCCCGGAACGGGTAGGGTTCTCTGTGTTCCTAGTGGACATGCACTTCTTAGGTGCGCCCAGGATAAATTCCTTATAAAATGGCCCTATCTCCAAACATTTTTTGTGCACGTGCATTGGTGGCAGAGCACCGGGAAGAGTCTTGGGCTCGTAAAGACATGGTTCTAGAGGGAAACCGCTCAGGCTAGGGTCTCGTTGCAGAGATTACAAAGACCGTGCCAGATGCAATTTACCAGCCCCCAAAAATGCATTTAGGGTGGTTACGGGTGTAATTTGGCTGCTGATTTGTTTTAAATGTATCTAGACCTGTATATATATATATATATATGTAAAACTATACTATATAACTTATATACGTATATTTAGGAGGTCGTTCCAATGTCGTTCTGGATGTCGTTCAAAGGGTCGTTCCCCAACTCAATGGCACATTCCAAAATTACCAAAAACATCCGAAATAGCTGCGGCGGTGCCTGGAATTCTGAACGAAGGATCGCACAATACTACTGTAAATTAACCCCCCTTTTTTTTGGCTCACATCCCTTTGGGATCCCCCAAGTGCCAGGGGGGCCCAGTGATGTGAACGTTGCCAACGATGTTGGCTTATACCCTCTGGTAAACATACAAAAAAACTATGGAAAATCACCATTTTTAATGGGAAAACTCACTATAAATTGCCATTTTCAATAGCTATGTTAAATTACCAGAAGGTACACCCCTCTGAAAAACATGGTAAAATGATGAATAGTGGTGGTTTTTGTGGTGATTTAATGATGATCATGAAAATGATGTTGGCTTATAATACATCCCTGGTTGGTGGTTGACCTACCCCTCTGAAAATACCAATACCCTCTGGTAATTTAACATAGCTGTTGAACATGGTCCATAGAAATAATTGCTTTATATACTGGTTGGTGGTATACCTACCCCTCTGAAAAACATGGTAAAATGGTGATCAATGGTGATTTAATGATGGTCAATGATGATTAATGATGATTAATGATAAGGATGATAACATAGACCCGGGCAAGCCGGCGGCGGAAGTTTCCCAAACATAAATGACCTATAGTTCAAAGACAACCTGTCCCGACCGTGTCCTTCCCTCGACACTCCACACCTCACACTGCACACTGCACTCTTCGCACTCCAAACTTCAAACTTCACACTCCACACTTCACAGTCCACACTTCACACTTCACACTTCACAGTCCACACTTCACACTTCACACTTCACAGTCCACACTTCTCACTTCAGCACTTCACACTTCACACTCCACATTTCACACTTCTCACTTCTCACTGCTTCCTTCACACTCAAAAACTTCACACTTCACACTTCACACTGCGCTCTTCGCACTCCACACTTCACAGTCCACACTTCACACTTCTCACTTCACACTTCTCACTTCTCACTGCTTCCTTCACACTCCAAACTTCACACTTCTCACTTCGCACTTCACACTCCACACTTCACAGTCCACACTTCACACTTCTCACTTCACACTTCTCACTTCTCACTGCTTCCTTCACACTCCAAACTTCACACTTCTCACTTCGCACTTCACACTCCACACTTCACTCACACTTCACACTTCACAGTCCACACTTCACACTTCTCACTGCTTCCTTCACACTCCAAACACTTCACACTTCACACTTCACACTGCGCTCTTCGCACTCCACACTTCACAGTCCACACTTCACACTTCTCACTTCACACTTCTCACTTCTCACTGCTTCCTTCACACTCCAAACTTCACACTTCTCACTTCGCACTTCACACTCCACACTTCACAGTCCACACTTCACACTTCTCACTTCTCACTGCTTCCTTCCCACTCCAAACTTCACACTCCAAACTTCACACTTCACACTTCTCACTTCGCACTTCACACTCCACACTTCACTCACACTTCACACTTCACAGTCCACACTTCACACTTCTCACTGCTTCCTTCACACTCCAAACCTCACACTTCACACTTCACACTGCGCTCTTCGCACTCCAAACTTAAACTTCACACTCCACACTTCACACTTCTCACTTCCCACTGCTTCCTTCACACTGCACACTTCACACTGCACTCTTCACGCCCCACACTTCACACTGCTCTAAACCTAGGTGCAACAAAAAAACACTAGCGCCAAAATGGAGAAAATCTGCTAACAAATCCATGTCGCAGCCTTCATGCAGCCACTCCAAGACGATGTACGAGATCCAGCTGCAAAAGACATTACGCATGCAGCCACAGCATGAAGCAACCTTGACGCAGCCATTACAATGCGATCTGCAGAGACTGAGTTGCAAAACGCAATAGAAGTACGCGCAACGGCGTCGGAAATTGTAGCTCCACAACCGGATCTCGACGCCAGAGCAGAAAAAAAGACGATTTTGAAGAACTTTTTAAAAGGATTTTTAGAAGGAAAATCACTAGCGCCAAAATGGAGAAAATCTGCTAACAAATCCATGTCGCAGCCTTCATGCAGCCACTCCAATACGATTTACGAGATCCAGCTGCAAAAGACAAAAGTATTACCAATGCAGCCACAGCACGAAGCAATCTTGACACAGCCATTACAATGCGATCTGCAGAGACAGAGTTGCAAAACACAATAGAACTACGCGCAACGGCGTTGGAAATTGTAGCTCCAAAACCGGATCTCGACGCCAGAGCGAAAAAAAGACGATTTTGAAGCACTTTTTAAAAGGATTTTTAGAAGGAAAATCATTAGCGCCAAAATGGAGAAAATCTGCTGACAAATCACTGTGGCAGCCTTCATGCAGCCACTCCAATACGATTTACGAAGTCCAGCTGCAAAAGACAATAGTATTACGAATGCAGCCACAGCAGGAAGCAACCTTGACGCAGCCATTACAATGCGATCTGCAGAGACTGAGTTGCAAAACACAATAGAACTACGCGCAACGGCGTCGGAAATTGTAGCTCCAAAACCGGATCTCGACGCCAGAGCAGAAAAAGTTGATTTTTGAAGCGTTTTTTATAAAGAATTGAAATAGAAAATGAAAGCAGGCAAAATCTGAAAGAATCCAGCTGCAGCAAGTTCACGCAGCCATTACAATGCGATTAGCAACAATCCCTAGCAAAACACAATGGTATTACGTCCTCAGCTCGTCCACCGAAGCATGTGAAACCTTCTAGACATTGCGGGAACGATCCTACAGTTGCAAAGCACAATGGAATTCCATCGGCAACTCCTCCACCAGCACCACTTGCAATGCCATTTGCATTGCGGGAACGATCCTACAGTTGCAAATCACAATGGAATTCCATCTGCAACTCATCCACCAGCACCACTTGCAATTCCATCTACATTGCGGGAACGATCCTACAGTTGCAAATCACAATGGAATTCTGTCGACCGCACATGCACGAAAAACAGTTGAAACCCCATTTACAATGCGGAACCGATCCGAGATGATCCGAGGCCCATGATCCGACCACACACGAGACCGTCTCGCACCCGTCGCACCGCAGAGGTAGATCATCGAGGTTCGGGGACGGACTTTGTATGGAAAAACATAGGGTTTCGTGCATCTGCTATCTCTCAAAAACGCATTTCGTGCGAGACTTCCTCCAAAACTCCATCGGCAACTCCTCCACCAGCACCACTTGCAATCCCATTTACAGTGAGGGAACGATCCTAGAGTTGCAAATCACAATGGAATTCCATCGGCAACTCATCCACCAGCACCACTTGCAATCCCATTTACATTGCGGGAACGATCCTACAGTTGCAAATCACAATGGAATTCTGTCGACCACAAATGCACGAAACACAGGTGACACCCCATTTACAATGCGGAACCGATCCGAGCATGATCCGAGACCGATCCGACCATGATCCGACCACACACGAGACCGTCTCGCAACCGCCGCACCGCAGAGGTAGATCATCGAGGTTCGGGGACGGACTTTGTATGGAAAAACATAGGGTTTCGTGCATCTGCTATCTCTCAAAAACGCATTTCGTGCGAGACTTCCTCCAAAACTCCATCGGCAACTCCTCCACCAGCACCACTTGCAATCCCATTTGCAGTGAGGGAACGATCCTAGAGTTGCAAATCACAATGGAATTCCATCGGCAACTCATCCACCAGCACCACTTGCAATCCCATTTACATTGCGGGAACGATCCTACAGTTGCAAATCACAATGGAATTCTGTCGACCACAAATGCACGAAACACAGTGACACCCCATTTACAAGACATAGGTCCCCTGATAGCCCAAGAGCCCGGGGAGAGGGCCCCGCGGGCCTTCCCGGGCTCTCCCCGCGGGCCCGCGGGCCTTCGTGGGCCCGCGGGCCCGCGCGAGGGTTTTCAGGTCAGCATTTTATCGTCTATATCTTCTTGCATTCTGTCTGGCATCTGTGTCTAGCAAATCTTTTCCGGTATTTATTCTGGCAATCCAACAAATATTTTCAAATATATTCTGGCATAAAGTGACATAGTCGGACCCGCGCGTTCTTTCTGGCATATCTTTTGGCGTGCTATCTGGCATATGTGTCTATCTGGCATAACTTCTGACAATTCAAGGCTGCCATGCTATGGCATCTCTTTTGGAATTCTTTCTGGCATACGTGGCTATTGTGTCTTCTCACTTTCAGTGTGGCATTCTATCTCACCCAGGCGCTTGTGATCCAGGTCCGGCGGGCACCACTCTGATCCGGGTTTTGCGGTTGAGGTCAGGCGCGGCGAGGAGGACAAGAAGGAGGAGAGGAGTGGCTGACATAGAATCTCACAACCCGGAACATGCAGGTGAAGGGACAACACTAACAAAGTGAAAGAAGCACATGGAAGCACGATACAGGCAGCACAGTCCCTGTCCGCTATGGTGTTTTATTCAATCAAAGGGCATGGTCACGCGGTATGAAGTTCCAAAGATTCAAAAAATGAGTGAACTTAAATCATCTTAACCTCTCCGTGTGGACTGAACCCTTGCCTGTTGCTCCCTCCAAAACTCCAAGTTTCTGTGCAATCACAGAAAAGCGATTCATGAGCGCCGTCATGCAAAGTAGAGGTCAGTTCGGGCTCTACAAAATCCCATGGGTCAAATCAGACCTTGCATTCACAAAATCCCAGCCTACGCCTACAACGCCATTTTTTCAGTGCACTTTTGGGTGGGATCCTCACAAATTGATGACCCCAGGATGCTGGCACCGCAAGGTTTGTCCAATTGAACCCATTTGAAAAAACTAATATTTCATAATACTTCTCCAGAGGCTATTTTATAATACTCACTGGTCTCGTTTTAGGTATGGGCGCCTCTAAGAGGCCGTGCTTTTTTGAGGTTTTTGGGGTGGGGTGGGGTGGCAGGTAGTTGCAATAACGTTCATGTCTCTTGTGTGCAAGGTGATGCGGCGTGGATGCTGCGTTGATGTTACGTTGATCATACGTTGATTCTACGTTGAGGAGATGTTGATGCTACTGTTGGGGTGGGGTGGGGTGGGGTGGGGTGGGGTGGGGGGGTGCAATATCATTCATGTCTCTTGCGTGCAAGTTGATGCGACGTGGATGCTACGTTGATGTTACGTTGATCATACTTTGATGCTACGTTGAGGAAACGTTGATGCTACTGTTGCGGTTGGGTGGGGTGGGGGGGTGCAATAACGTTCATGTATCTCTTGCGTGCAAGGTGATGCGACGTGGATGATACGCTGATGATACATTGATCATGCGCCGTTGATACGTTGATGCTAGGTTGATGGTACGTGGATGATACGTTGACGTTAGGTTGATCATGCGTTGATGATCCTTTGATCATGCGCTGTTGATACGTTGACGTTACGTTGATCATGCGTTGATGATACGTTGATCCGTTGATCATGCGCTGTGGATACGTTGATGTTACGTTGATCATGCGTTGATGATACGTTGATGATACTTGGCCGCAAAAGCGGCTGAAACAAAGACGTCGGCAACGCAGAAGAAAACGCGTAACGCTGTCTTTTCCAAGCTGATGGCTTTCGTCCCACGAAAACCATTAAAATCACACCGTGACTCTCATTTTTCCATACCCTTCCATGACTTTTGATACACCCACAAAATATAGATATCTGTGAAAAACCGCTCTCGTTGTGGCAAAACCTTGGAACATAATTGAATAGAAACATATCCATGTGCTGAAACACACGGCCTCTTAGAGGCGCCCTTACCTTTTAGGGTCTAGATCCGTGGGGTTTACATCAGCTACCTTTTTCAGCTAAAGTAGGATGTCTCAAAGCAGCCTCAACTGAGACATCTTGAACACTGTCTAAGGTCAACAATGCCATATCGTGCTTCCAAAAATTGCTCAGAATTGCTCGACATGACCCCAACTTGCCCGACAAAAATGCTCAAAATTGTTTGAAATTTGCTCGAAAAGACCCAAGCTGGTCCACAAAAACGGCTCCAAAATGCTCAAAATTCTTCAAATTTGCTCAGAATGTCTCAAAATGTGCGAATGTTTTCATTACTTTGCATTGCTGTTGCCGGTCTCTAGTGTTGCACGGGCTTAAGGTCACGGTGGACTATAGCCCAAGACTAGCGCGGGCCCGATAGCCCAAGACTAGCGCGGGCCCGCGGGCCCGCGGGCCCGGGCACACGGTGGACCATAGCCATTTACAATGCGGAACCGATCCGAGCATGATCCGAGACCGATCCGACCATGATCCGACCACACACGAGACCGTCTCGCAACCGCCGCACCGCAGAGGTAGATCATCGAGGTTCGGGGACGGACTTTGTATGGAAAAACATAGGGTTTGGTGCATCTGCTATCTCTCAAAAACGCATTTCGTGCGAGACTTCCTCCAAAACTCCATCGGCAACTCCTCCACCAGCACCACTTGCAATCCCATTTACAGTGAGGGAACAATTTCTTTGCTAAATCTTTCTGTGACTAACTCTTTCCCTCACTAACTCTTTCTTTGACTAACTCTTTCCCTGACTAACTGTTTCTTTGCTAACTCTTTCTTTGACTACCTCATATATCCTGACTAACTCTTTCTTTGACTACCTCATATATCCTGACTAACTCTTTCTTTGACTACCTTTTTCCCTGACTAACTGTTTCTTTGACTAACTCTTTCCTTGACTAACTCTTTCTTTGACTACCTCATATATCCTGACTAACTCTTTCTTTGACTAACTCTTTCTTTGACTACCTCATATATCCTGACTAACTCTTTCTTTGACTAACTCTTTCCCTCACTAACTCTTTCTTTGACTGACTCTTTCCCTCACTAACTCTTTCTTTGACTAACTCTTTCCCTGACTCTTTCTTTGACTCTTTCTTTAACTCTTTCCCTCACTAACTCTTTCTTTGACTAACTCTTTCCCTGACTAACTGTTTCTTTGACTAACTCTTTCTTTGACTAACTCTTTCCCTGACGAACTCTTTCTTTGCTAACTCTTTCTGTGACTAACTGTTTCTTTGCTAACTCTTTCTTTGAATAACTCTTTCCCTCACTAACTCTTTCTTTGACTAACTCTTTCCCTCACTAACTCTTTCTTTGACTAACTCGTTCCCTGACGAACTCTTTCTTTGCTAACTCTTTCTTTGACTAACTCTTTCCCTGACATTCTAAAAGTCCGTAACACGGAAGTTTCTCCCCCTAAACTTCCTTTGATAAATTAATCACTAACTAAACTAACTAACATGAAACACTAACAATGGTTGATAATGGTTGATAGGTACCCCAACCATCATGTTTTATAGATGTATAATATCTGGTTGGTGGTTGGCCTACCCCTCTGAAAAATATGAAAGTCAGTTGGGATGATGATTCCCAATATATGGAAAAATATAAATGTTCCAAACCACCAACCAGATACACCCTATGAAATTCATGATATAACTTAATCATACTTAATCACTAACTAAACTAACTTTATCCTATGATGCTGGGGGTTCACTTTCGATGATCTCCAATTTGAACCAGGGAGTGAAATACATTAAACAACCGGATGGTAGCAACAGTATTTTACTACCTTGTAACCAAAAGAAACAGTAGGATTTCTCAAATTTGTCTCCAATTTCAAATACGGAACCAAACAACAAGTCATTTCTAGGTAACTATGTCTTAATCATATATCCCCATGTCTTTAATAGTGCAGTACATAGCCTCCTAAGCAAAAACACCATGTAGAAAACCCAGCATGAATGTGGATCATGTTCCGAAATGGCCGCTGAAATTGGGATGCAACCAACATGGTAAGTATCATTAAGTATCATTAAATATACCCTCTGGTTATTTAACGTAACTATGGGAAATCACCACTTTTAATAGGAAATTCCACTATAAATTGCCATGTTCAATAGCTATGTTAAATTACCAGAGGGTACAAACAATTTCTTTCATAATTCACCAGCCTCAAACATGTAGCCTTTAATATCTTTAATCGGTACAAAAAAGGTCTCATTTAAAAAGAAACTTAGGGATTATGCTTGGAGGATCATCCCACTTAAGTGGTTAATAACTCTGGTTAGTTATGGACTCCTAAGTGGACGACAAAATGCTCCTTTTAGATCAAAGAAAAGTGACAAGATGTGACAAGAACACAATCGTAACATGATACATTCACCATCCAAATGCGCAGAACCTCTCTACAAAGTGGGGCCCCCTAGATAGCTAAGTTGGTTTATAACTCCAATAACTATGGCTTATGTTACTGAGGCTTATAAACCAACTTATAACTGGGGGGGCCCCACATTGTACAAAACATGGTTCATCTCAAATACCCAGGATAAATAAAAGCTTGTGTGTCTGTGTTAGCTGCCAAAGAGTCCCTCTTTTGCAAACATGTTCAAAGCTACAAGGTGAGGCCCCTACGTTTATGTTGGTCTATAACAAAAACATTAGTAATATCCATTTATTATAGACATATGAACTAACAAACCAATAAACTAGACACATATTATAACATAATAACAAACTAACCATGTGTTCCTAATCTCCTAATCAACCCAACACTTAACCATTGGTGAACTGCGCGTCATCGAGAAAAACAAATCGCCGGGCATCTCCTGCTAGCTGTTCGATGCCTGATTTTTGTCCACTGTAAAAGCAAATTTTCTTGCTTACCCTCTGGCAAACTCACAGTTTGCTATAGAAAATGGATGAAAATGGTCCATTCATAGTTGATCATCAACTATTGACCTATGGAAAAAACGTGATTTTCCACTTCGCAAACAGTTCACCGGAGGATCGCTTCATGATCCTATTTTTATAAGTCCTAAATCGCGCAATCCTGTTGCGTCACGCCCGGGACTCCCCACACTTCTCATGTATTGATCGGCGAAAGGCGCCTTGCAGCACCGGGGAAAACCATTTTGATTCCGTCTGCAAATAGTGGATTTTCAACATCAACTTGTTGGTTTACTGGAGAATATCCAATAGCTATGGAAAATTACTAAATTTAACAGATCAATTAAATTTAATAGCTATTGATTTATTTAAGCTATCCAATATCTGTTGATTAATAACAATAACTAAATTTAACAGTATTGTTACTTTAACAGATTTGTTATTTAATTTGGCTTTCACAATTAACAGATATGGTTTATGGATGGATGATAGTAGGGATGATAGTTGGGATAGCATGGGATAGCTATCTTTAAAAATATTGGGAATTTCCAATACATATGAAAAAATCTGGAAATAGTATGAACATATTATATGGCAAGTAGAATGGGCATTTCTAGAATGGAAGAATGGACATTCACATGATCATTCGGAATATGTATATACATATATACATAAACAACTATATAGAACATTATCTTTTTTTTCACAGGAATATATCTACTTGTGATACCTTCATGGGGATTCTTTAAGAGGAATGTATCCAATGTGGTAAAGCCAATAGCATTTTTACCTGTCCCCTGGGGATCGTGACTATGACACTGGGTGAATCGCACATGATACCTACAATGTGGGGCCCCCGTTTACGATAGCGTTCAGTTGGCGCCAATAAGTCCAATAACTATGGTTTATTATACACAAATAACTAAATTTAACTCCAAGATAGCGTAGCTAAGTTGGTGCGTTTATAACTCCAATGTCACTATGGTTTTTGTTGGTGATATATCAGTGATATATCTAGAGTATAGTATTCATGGGGTAAATCTAAACCAACATTCACATCACATTTGGAGGCACCAGGGCACCATCCTCACTGTAGATATCATGTTTTTTTTTGGATTTCGTGGATCCCTACGGATCCAGTTTTTTGGGGTACCTGGTACCTTCTATTCGGAAGTGTTTGGATCCGTAGAATGGATATAATAACCTTGGATTTTCTTGGCATTATTGGAATACCCATGAAATACCTGGACTCTTCAACTAAAAAGTGCCCATGAATTCATGGCTATTTTAGAGCATCGTTTTTTTTTGTACTTTAAGCATCTTTAAGCTCTAAAAGCGCAGGCATTTTGAGCGGATTTCATTCAGTACATCGGAACATCTTTTTCGCAACCCAAAAAAACCTGAAATTTTAAGAGATACCGTATATAAATATCATATATACCATCATGGAAACACTTTTCTATCTGCTTGGGATTTACTATATGTAGATGCGCCGTTAAGAGATAAGAACATCTAAGCCCAGGTTCCTCAAAGTACCATTGATTTCTGGGATACTTGACTGGACCATTGGTTGCTGAAATTACCATAAGAAATTAAGTTGGGCGAACCAATGATTATTTTAAGGGACAACCATTGATATATATATATATGTACACCTAGACCCTCCAAATACCAAATACTAAAATATCCTATAATAACATGGAGTAAAGTAAAATACCAATCTTTGGTGCTTGGAAAATATAGGTATATTGATATACTTGTCCCATATGCTTCATGGTGATTCAATGGTGCTTGAACATGTCCTAACATTTACACCAGCAATAACCGAGGATTTCCCAGATTGCCAGGTTTGACCGGAGGTTTATCTCAGAAACTCGGGGAGATCATGGCGAGAAAATCTTAATGCCTAGCTACAGAATGGGACTCTCCACGTAGTCATTGGTGGCTCATCCCACGAATCGTAAGTGGGTTATAACCCCAGTGATTTACATGGGATAAGGAGCGGGTTAATCCACTGAAATCACTGGGGTGAACTAACCCACTTACGAGCCGTGGGATGAGCCACCAAGTAGAGATGTATTTTACCCGCATGTTTATATAATTATATAGTAGTTTTACCTATGACATGTTTACTTGGAGAGTTCAGATAGATAGTCTTTTTTGTTGCTTGAGATGGCTAAACTAGAAAAAGGGAGATCAACTCAAAATTGCTAACATGATGGTAAACGATGGATCTTGGGGTACCCAGGTCAACCAAAGGCGATACCAAGACCACTACGATTACTTGAGCACCATACAAATCATGTCCGCCACACAAGGGAAGTCATGTGGGTAAAACAACGCCATAAACCATCCAGTTGGGAACGGTTTATACCATCTATTTATGGTGATTTGGGGGATGGTTTATCATTGTTTTACCCACGTTGTACAGATCCCTGGCCAAAAAAATGTGTTTTGTTCTCAGACCCACACATAATGCGTGTATCATAATAAAAATAACACGCACCAGTGCGAGCATGTGCAGAATATCCCAGCTTAAATGTTTTTTTCCCCAAGTATAGTTGGGGGAATTTAGCCTACTTGGTGGCTCATCCCACGAATCCTAGGTCATATCTCTGTTTTTTTGTGGGATAAGTAGGCTTAATCTACTGAAAAACCTGGGGTTAAACAGTTACCCTCTGGTAAACTAACGTAACTATTAACTATGGAAAGATTCACTATTTTGAATGGCGAAATCCACTATTTCGACTGGGCCATTTTCAATAGCTATATATATGTAACAAATGACCAGAGGGTATATCCCATTAATATCCCATTGAATCACTATAAAAACCAATTAAATCACTATAAATCTATGCTGATTTTGGGGATGGCTTAGTGTGTTTTAACCACATTACATACCCTCCGGTAAACCAACTGACTATGGAAAATCACCATGTTCGATGGGTAAATCCACTATTTCGACTGGGCCATGTTCAATAGCTAACTGTTTACCAGATGGTATATCCCATTAATATCCCATTGAATCACTATACAATCCAATTGAATCACTATAAATCCCATTAAACCACTATAAATCACTATCATTTCACTATAGTATACTATCGTTATATCATGTTATATCTCCCATAAGGCCAATAGTTCAGCGAACTCTGCGTTAACTTAGGCTCGCTCTGGTGATCCAACAGTTCGCTATACTAAATAGATCTAAATAGTTTGCAAACTCTTACACTCTGATAAACATACACAAAACCATGGAAAATCACAATTTTCAATGGGTAAATCCACTATAAATGATCATATGCAATAGCTATGTTAAATTACCAGAGGGTAAATATGCTACATCATCAGAGGCTACCATCTGGTTATTTAACATAGCCATGGAAAATCACCATTTTATAGCTAGGTAAACGATATCTATTTCTATGGGCTATCTATTCCATGGCTATGTTAGTCATAACCAGAGGCTAATATTTCTATGTTTTAATAACCGCCATTGCGATCACTCATATTGTCTATCTTCGTAAGGTTTCAAACTGAATGATCCATGATCCATAATCCATGAATCTTCCATATCTTCCATGAACCGTCTATCCATATGAACATCATAAAATGCTGAAGTCCCACCCGGCCCCAGCCCTTTTCCAACCAGCACCTCCTTGAGTCCTTCGACCAGCACCCAGCCGTTCTCTACACATCCAACTATCCACCACATGCTGGCAAGCCTTGGGTAACGAAAAAGGGGGGAGATAACGAAGTGGTCCTGGTAAACTAACATAGCTATGTAAATCACCATTTTTAATAGGTAAATCATCTTTGAATCATACGCTTTCCATAGCTATGTTATGCTATGTTAGTTTACTGGAGGGTATCCATGCTGTTGATCAACAGCAGCCTCCTTAGTAACAGGCATGATGCATTCTATGGGCTTAAAGCCTCGACCTTCCAGTGATGTTAAAGAGTTCCTATGTGTTTATAAACTTGTAACCCAGGAGCCTCACAGAAGTATTTTCGTTTTCCTGCGTTTTTTTTGAACAAATCAAATGATTGAACCAAGAATGAATGATGATTGAACACATGATATAAGATGATATAAGCTCTGAAACCCAACCAACCACCTTTTACTTAAGCCATTACCCTCAGTTGGGTTGCTTAAACTCCAAATTCCTGCATGTTTTGTCCAACCGGGGTAGTTCACCCTAAACATGTGGTTAGAATGGTGTTCACTTGTTTCCATGACATGGATGTGAATGAAAACAAAGCCCTTCACATGGGCGTTGCCTGGTACTGTAAATCAAGAGGAGATTGACCAATATTTGACCGATGGAGCTGGTTTATCTGAGAAATTCTCAGAATCAGGTACGGCAAAAATCTGATGGTTGATCAGATGTTTATAAAAAAAGATTGGGCTATCAATCCCAATTATATACATAACGTTATTATATATATAATATACATATTGTATATATAATTACAGTACATATATATATTGTCGACTATCGAAGATTATCCGACTACATCCCCATTATGATTGGTTAAATAGTAGCCCCATTCTTGCCGGTAAACATCGGTAAACCCAGCTGCAAAATCTGGTTGAGTCGTCCCTTTGTGGATGGGTGGATGGACACAATTCAACACTGTAAATCAATGGGGGCTACAATGTGGGGCCCCCAAAAGATAGCTAAGCTGGTCTATAGGTCCAATAATAACATATAATAACTATGGTTCATTGTACGCAAATAACTATAGTTATCATGGGGTTTATAAACCAGCAAACATCACTGGGGGACACCACATTGTAGAATGGGATCAACTACACATCTACCAAGATTTCGCACGCTATGTGGAACACATGTTTCTGAACATCAGATGTCACTTATTTACCCTCTGGTTATTTAACATAGCCATGGAAAATCACCATTTTATAGCTAGGTAAACCATCTATTTCTACGGGCCATCTATACCATGGCGAACTGTTAGTCATAACCAGAGGGTAATACACCAATTTCACATCGTAACTTCCACCAATTTCACCGTGTTTTCACGGCAAGCAACAAATGAATCGCCAGTATCAGAGCAAAGAAGGAGCGCAGAATTGGAAACAGCACCTGACAGGCTGCGAGCTGAGCAGCGCTGGAGATTTTTTGCTGCTTTGGAAGTGCGAAAAGCAACCAGAAATTACCCTCTGGTAATTTAACATAGCTATTGAAAATCACCATGCTATTAATGGGAAAATCCACTATTAATGGTCATTTTCAATAGCTATGTTAGTTTACCAGAGGGTATGTACGTTAAATTGTAAAGTTTATGTAGCATACACAGTTCATGTATGTGCAGACGGACGTTTTACCGGCCCACAAATTGGGGTGGGGTGGGGTGGGGTGTGATAGCATTCGTCACTACTGCAAGACATGATGTGATGCTACGCTACGCATTCTTCACTACTCATGATGTGATGCTACGCTACGCATTCGTCACTACTGCAAGACATGATGTGATGCTACGCTACGCATTCGTCTCTACTGCAAGACATGATGTGATGCTACGCTACGCATTCGTCACTACTGCAAGACATGATGGGAGGCTACGCTACGCATTCGTCACTACTGCAAGACATACGGTACGCATTCGTCTCTACTGCAAGACATGATGTGATGCTACGCTACGCATTCGTCTCTACTGCAAGACATGATGGGAGGCTACGCTACGCGTTCGTCACTCTGCAAGACATGATGGGAGGCTACGCTACGCATTCGTCTCTACTGCAAGACATGATGTGATGCTACGCTACGTCGTCACTACTGCAAGACATGATGTGATACGCTACGCATTTCGTCGCTACTGCAAGACATGATGCTGCTGCAGACATGATGGGAGGCTACGCTACGCATTCGTCACTACTGCAAGACATGATGTGCACGCTACGCATTCGTCACTACTGCAAGACATGATGGGAGGCTACTACGCTACGCATGGGGTGGGGTGGGGTGTGCTAGCATTCGTCACTACTGCAAGACATGATGTGATGCTACGCTACGCATTCGTCACTACTGCAAGACATGATGGGAGGCTACCGCTACGCATGGGTGTGGGGTGGGGTGTGATATCATTCGTCACTACTGCAAGACATGATGTGATGCTACGCTACGCATTCGTCTCTACTGCAAGACATGATGGGAGGCTACGCTACGCTACTGGAAATTGATGAAAAAGTCAATTCCAGACAGCATTCGTTCCCAAGTCCAAGGCAAACGCAATGGTTTGTTGTTCAAATACATTCGAAGTCACCAATGGAGATGGGAACACACTGGCTTCGACTTGCTGACCGCCACTGGCGAAGCTGTAAGATCTCTCATGCGGTGAAGAGAAAAGGCCACTTTGATCGTTCGCCGGGTTTTGAAGCACAAAACCCTGTAAGGGTTGCAAACCACACTAAAACGGATGTTTTTTTTCATGGTTGTTTCCCACATGAAATCGAGCTGGCGCCACAGCGAAACAAGAATTTTTAAGCAATCATGGGCCGGTGCCAGGTCCGCCGGGATGTATGTGTATGTCATAATGACATACATGAACTGTGTCTGCTAAGGAAAGTAGCATGTTGAGCCATGTATTGCTTAAAGTACCGATACCCATTCCATGAAACACGAACAATGGTTGATAATGGTTAATAGGTACCCCAACCATCATGTTTTATAGATGTATAATATCTGGTTGGTGGTTGACCTACCCCTCTGAAAAATATGAAAGTCAGTTGGGATGATTATTCCCAATATATGGAAAGTCAAAAATTCATGTTCCAAACCACCAACCAGATGCATGTTATATAATTATCTACAGTATCCCAAATCAACCGGGTAGGTCCTAGTCCTAGTTTAATAACCCCCTATTTCATAACCACTCAACAGGCGTATGTCATGTCAAGCGTTCCGTCTCTTGTCTCCTCTCGGAAATAATTTAGCAACTGCTGAATCTGGGCCAAAAGAATAACAACCATCAAAACATGGTTTTCCAGGATTACCCATGGTTGTAAATGAATTTCCATGAATATACCCATGAATTTTGAGCAATAAACCCATGGGTCAATGAGGATTACCCGGGTAGACTGAACAACTAAAGTCAGAATTTCTATGGAACCTCCATGAACTTTCTATCTTTATTGGTCAACGGATTTACCATCGGGGCATAGCAAATCAAGGCTTTCCACAAGGTGGTGCCCCTCTAGTGATGTTTGTTGGTTTATAAACCCCATGAATACTATAGATATATCACCTATAAACCATAGTTATTGGAGTTATTTGCACCAACTGACCGCTATCTTGGGGGCACCACCTTGCAGGAGTGTGTGATTCCTTTTCTTTGTTTTGTTTTACTGTTTCTGTATTCCCATAGCTCATTGTTTTGTTTTACTGTTTCTGTATTCCCATAGCTCAATGTTCAGCCACCCAAGTGCCTTGTTTGGTTTTTTGATAATGTTGGTAAAACAATGCCATGTTTACCATCCCCCAGTCATCACCATTTTTATAGGTGGTATAAACTGACCATTCCCAGTCATGGGTGGTTTATGGCATTGTTTTACCCATATGGTGGTTTCCCAAAGTCGGGGTACCCCCAGTCATCATCCCTTTTAATAGGATTTTCCATTATAAACTATCAACAATCCATTTTGGGGTACCCTCTGGTAAACTAACATAACTATGGAAAATCACCATTTTCAATGGTGAAATCCACTATTTCAATGGTCATTTTCAATAGCTATGTTAGTCATTACCAGAGGGTACCCCCATTTTAGGAAATCTCCACATTACTGAGAGATTTGTGCTGTGCGCTGGCCCCGCTTGGCGATTATCGCGATTCGCTTGGCCGCGGAACCCTCAAGCTCTCACTGGGCACAGGCAGCAACAGCTCGAAGCCTCAGGAAAATCAATGGAAAACTCCGTGGCAACCGTGGGAATCAACCGAGAACCCTGGCCTTTCTGGCAGGTAAACGTTGTTTCCTGTTTCGGGATGTCAAAAAATAGACACCATTCCATCCACCTTTTTTTATCAGTGAATCATCGCGTTCCCTCTGAAATGCCCATCACTGGGCATACATGGACTTTTCAGACACCCACATATCATAGTGTTGGTCAGTTATATATATATAGTATTACTACAGTATTACCATAAAACGCTTGGCAAACCCTGTTAAATCACCATTGAAAGTCACTACCTGGTGGTAATTTAACATAGCTATAGAAAATCACATTTTTTAATAGGTAAACCATCTATACATGTGCCATTTTCCATAGCTATGTTAGTTTACCAGGGGGTAATTTTTGATGTGCCAAGCCATTTCACATTAAGCAAAGGAACCGAACTTTCCGTCACTGAAGGTCCTAGTGATTTGGGCTTTTCAACTCCATGGGAATCCCACTGGGACCTTCAAGTCCTAAAGTAGCTGATAAATGCCTGGTTGGTGGTATACCGATACCCATTCCATGAAGCACTAACAATGGTTGATAATGGCTGATAGGTATCCCAACCATCATGTTTTATAGATGTATAATGCCTGCTTGGTGGTATACCTGCCCCTCTGAAGAATCATGGAGTTCGTCAGTTGGGATTATGACATTCCGAATATAATATGGAAACAAAATGTTCGAAACCACCAATCAGATGCATGTTCATTGCCCCAGTTTACATGTTTTTGTTTGGGGCTGAAATATCCATCTGAAAATATCCCTTCCAAGTGCCTGCGCAGGTATTCTTTTTTTCAGGATAAAGAAACATAGATTTCAACAACATACGGTCTATTACAGGATAACCTTGATTGAAACCACCAAGAACCATCTATATCCATCTATGTCATCTCTAGGATTCGCAAGGATCCAGGAATCCTACCAGCTGAAACCACCAACCCTTGGCATCCCTTGGCCCATTGGATGAAGCTATGCCAGTAACTTTCTAGCACCCAGAACACATGAGTAGTGTCATGTGAAGCTCTTGGAAAACTAAAGCACAAAGCACGTTGATTCACAAAGCCCATGATGGACAATGACAATCTCTATAACTATAATCTCCCTTATATGTTGGGAAGTACAAGCTGCTGGCATCATGAAGCAAAGGTTTTGAATCTGCGAGGTACATACTCTGATGATTGTTGTGTGAACCCACCCACATTATTTCTACCTAGACCCTCCAAGTACTAAGTACCTATGAACAATATGAACATATGGTACTTAAATTTGGGGGCAAACAAAAATATGGGCACTCAGAGAGTCTAAGTACTGGTTGGTGGTTTCAACCTCTCTGAAAAATATTAGTCAGTTGGGATGATTGTTCCCAATATATGGGAAGTTATAAAACATGTTCCAAACCACCAACCAGATATATTGTTATTCCAATTATTAACCATTATTAACCATAGATTAACCATAGATTCACCAGGAAAATTCCATGGTTCCAGTCACCAACCAACCAGAGTAGTTTTAAACAACATACCCTCTGGTAATGACTAACATAACTATTGAACATGGCCATTGAAATAGTGAGTTTTCCCATTGGAAATGGTGATTTTTCATAGTTTTTTGTTTGTTTACCAGAGAGTATCTTGTGATTCTTTGACTCCCCACGTCTCGGCGAAACAAAACACCGTCCAAAAAAGTTTTTTCACCAAGAAATCATGAGAGCCGCCCAGTACGATATCAGCAAACGTATTCATTTGAGTTGAACCCCGTTGATGGTGACATCATGCATAAAACTGGTGAAGCTAGATGAAGTTAGTGTTTGTTTCGTTGTTTTGTGCCATCTAATCAACTTCAAATGATTATGTACAGAATGATACATTATGTAACCATGTTGTTATGATTTGTTATGGTCAAATCCCACCGGACTTTTGGGCAACGCAATTCTGTAAAAACTGGTTGGTTTCTTGAGGTTCCGAATTCATGGGTTCTAGAAGTATCACGTAAATTCTAATAGGTAAATACGGTTGATAGTTAATAACCCCTTGTAATATAACTGGTTGGTGGTTTTAACCATCTTGAAAAATATTTGTCAATTGGGATGATTATTCCCAATATATGGAAAATAAAAAATGTTCCAAACCACCGACCAGATAACCAATGGGCGTAGCTTGGGCACTGCTCATTTAACCCTCTTGATATGCCATTATAACATTATCCCCACAAAAGGGTAAACATGTCATCCCAACGACATAAAAATACCCCCAGTCCTGCAATCCCCAAATCAACCATCTATAGTCTATAGATATTCCATATGGTTTCCATGTTCACATCATTTTCCCATATGTCTTCATCCTTTTCCCATCAAAGAAAACCCCTTTTATGAAGCCCGTCCCATCATTTCTCCCGTTGTTCATTCTTCGTCGTTATTTCGACATAGTCTGAGCGACGCTTGCGGAGCGGGGCCAGGCGATCCACCCGCAGCAAGCGGAAGATACCCACCACGCGAAGTAGGCGCTGCACGCGCATGATGCGCAACACCCCCGTCGAGCTCCCAGCGCTCCCTGGGGACCTGGCTGGGGTTCGGAAGTCACAAAGCCAGAGCGATGGGGAAGACTTAACAGAAAAATTACTTCAAATCTAATGATCCCCACCATGGCATTTATACATTTTCTTACTGGCAAATCTTCTGGCATTCTATCTATTAAATTTCACGAGCTCCTGGGATTTTGTGATTTTTAGGGAATATTGGATATCAAGGTCAAGATGCAATATTTGGTGCAGTGTACGCGCACAAGGGTCGCCTTCCATAAATGGAATTGGTCCAATTAATCCTTCAGAAAAAATGAAACGGTCGGAAACGGTCGGAAACAGTCGGAAACATGATCAGGCCAAAACTTGTCTAACCCGCATTTCTTTTAAAAATAAACATTTCCGCGCAACGCATTTTTTTTTTTGGAAGGTCCAAAGGTGTCCAAGGGGAAACGGTTGGAAACAGTCGGAGATCGCACCTTCGCTCGGCAAAAAAGACATGTTTCTACATAATTTTCAAACATTTTTCATCAACATATGCTACAAAACAACTACTTTTTTGCCGAGCGAAGGTGCGATCTCCGACTGTTTCCAACCGTTTCCCCTTGGACACCTTTGGACCTTCAAAAAAAAAACTGCGTTGCGCGGAAATGTTTATTTTTAAAAGAAATGCGGGTTGGACAAGTTTTGGCCTGATCATGTTTCCGACTGTTTCCGACCGTTTCCGACCGTTTCTGACCGTTTCATTTTTTTTCGGAAGGATTAATTGGACCAATTTCATTTATGGAAGGCTGATCCAGTGCAAACCCGTGCAAACCATGACGCATCATGACGCTTAAGTTTTTTCGTGCGACCCTTGTGCGCGTACACTGCACCAAAAATTGCATTTCGACCTTGATATCCAATATTCCCTAAAAATCACAAAATCCCCGGAGCTCGTGAAATTTAATAATTCTATCTGACATATCTATCTGGCATTCTATCTGGCATATCTTCTGGCATTTTCTCTGGCATATCTTCTGGCATTCTATCTGACATATGTTCTGGCATATCTTCTGGCATTTTCTCTGGCATATCTTCTGGCATTCTATCTCACATATCTATCTGGCATATCTATCTGGCATTCTATCTGGCATATCTTCTGACATTCTATCTGGCATACCTTCTGGCATTCTATCTGACATATCTATCTGGCATTCTATCTGGCATATCTTCTGGCATTTTCTCTGGCATATCTTCTGGCATTCTATCTGACATATCTATCTGGCATTCTATCTGACATATCTTCTGGCATTCTATCTGGCATATCTTCTGGCATTCTATCTGACATATCTATCTGGCATTCTATCTGGCATATCTTCTGGCATATCTATCTGGCATTTTCTCTGGAAAATCTTCTGACATATCTATCTGGCAAATCTTCTGGCATATCTTCTGACATATCTATCTGGCATTCTATCTGGCATATCTTGTGGCATTTTCTCTGGCATATCTTCTGGCATTTCTATCTGGCATATCTATCTGGCATTCTATCTGGCATATCTTCTGGCATTTTTTCTGGCTGGCATATCTTCTGGCATTCTATCTGACATATCTATCTGGCATTCTATTTGGCATATCTATCTGGCATTCTATCTGACATATCTTCTGACATATCTATCTGGCATTCTATCTGACATATCTTCTGACATATCTATCTGGCATTCTATCTGGCATATCTTCTGGCATTCTATCTGACATATCTTCTGACATATCTATCTGGCATTCTATCTGGCATATCTTCTGGCATTCTATCTGACATATCTATCTGGCATATCTTCTGGCATTTTCTCTGGCATATCTTCTGGCATTCTATCTGGCATTCCATCTGGCATTCTATCTGACATATCTTCTGGCATTTTCTCTGGCATATCTTCTGGCATATGTTCTGACATATCTTCTGGCATTCTATCTGGCATATCTTCTGGCATTTTCTCTGGCATATCTTCTGGCATATGTTCTGGCATATCTTCTGGCATTTCTATCTGGCATCCTATCTGGCATATCTTCTGGCATTTTCTCTGGAAAATCTTCTGGCATTCTATCTGGCAAATCTTCTGGCATTCTATCTGACATATCTTCTGGCATTTTCTCTGGCATATCTTCTGGCATTCTATCTGGCAAATCTTCTGGCATTCTATCTGACATATCTTCTGGCATTCTATCTGGCATTCTATCTGGCATATCTTCTGGCATTCTATCTGGCATATCTTCTGGCATTTCTATCTGGCATTCTATCTGGCATATCTTCTGGCATTTTCTCTGGCATATCTTCTGGCATTCTATCTGGCAAATCTTCTGGCATTCTATCTGACATATCTTCTGGCATTCTATCTGGCATATCTTCTGGCATTCTATCTGGCATATCTTCTGGCATTTTCTCTGGAATTCTATCTGGCATATCTTCTGGCATTTCTATCTGGCATTCTATCTGACATATCTATCTGGCATTCTATCTGGCATATCTTCTGGCATTCTATCTGGCATATCTTCTGGCATATCTTCTGGCATTTTCTCTGGCATATCTTCTGGCATTTTCTCTGGCATATCTATCTGGCATTTTCTCTGACATATCTTCTGGCATTCTATCTGGCATATCTTCTGGCATTTTCTCTGGAATTCTATCTGGCATTCTATCTGGCATATCTTCTGGCATTCTATCTGACATATCTTCTGGCATTCTATCTGGCATATCTTCTGGCATTTTCTCTGGCATATCTTCTGGCATTCTATCTGGCAAATCTTCTGGCATTCTATCTGACATATCTTCCGGCATTCTATCTGGCATATCTTCTGGCATTCTATCTGACATATCTTCTGGCATTCTATCTGGCATATCTTCTGGCATTCTATCTGACATATCTTCTGGCATATCTTCTGGCATTTCTATCTGGCATTCTATCTGGCATATCTTCTGGCATTTTCTCTGGAATTCTATCTGGCATATCTTCTGGCATTCTATCTGGCATACCTTCTGGCATTCTATCTGACATATCTATCTGGCATTCTATCTGGCATTTCTATCTGGCATTCTATCTGACATATCTTCTGGCATTTTCTCTGGAATATCTTCTGGCATATGTTCTGGCATATCTTCTGGCATATCTTCTGGCATTTTCTCTGGCATATCTTCTGGCATTCTATCTGGCATATCTATCTGGCATTTTCTCTGGCATATCTTCTGGCATTCTATCTGGCAAATCTTCTGGCATTTTCTCTGGAATTCTATCTGGCATTCTATCTGGCATATCTTCTGGCATTCTATCTGACATATCTTCTGGCATTTTCTCTGGCATATCTTCTGGCATATGTTCTGGCATATCTTATGGCATATCTTCTGACATATGTTCTGGCATATCTTCTGGCATATCTTCTGGTATTTTCTCTGGCATATCTTCTGGCATTCTATCTGGCAAATCTTCTGGCATATGTTCTGGCATATCTTTTGGCATTCTATCTGGCAAACCTTCTGGCATTCTATCTGGCATATCTTCTGGCATTCTATCTGGCATATGTTCTGGCATATCTTCTGGCATTTTCTCTGGCATATCTTCTGGCATTCTATCTCACATATCTATCTGGCATTCTATCCGGCATATTTTCTGACATATCTTCTGGCATTCTATCTGGCATATCTATCTGGCATTCTATCTGGCATATCTTCTGGCATTTTCTCTGGCATATCTTCTGGCATTCTATCTGACATATCTATCGGGCATTCTATCTGGCATATCTTCTGGCATTTTCTCTGGCATATCTTCTGGCATTCTATCTGACATATCTATCTGGCATTCTATCTGGCATATCTTCTGGCATATGTTCTGGCATATCTTCTGGCATTCTATCTGACATGTCTATCTGGCATTCTATCTGGCATATCTTCTGGCATTCTATGTGGCATATCTTCTGGCATTCTATGTGGCATATCTATCTGGCATTCTATCTGGCATATCTTCTGGCATTTTCTATCTGGCATATCTTCTGGCATTCTATCTGGCATATCTATCTGGCATATCTTCTGGCATTTTCTCTGGCATATCTATCTGGCATTCTATCTGACATATCTATCTGGCATTCTATCTGGCATATCTTCTGGCATTTTCTCTGGCTGACATATCTATCTGGCATTCTATCTGACATATCTATCTGGCATTCTATCTGGCATATCTTCTGGCATTTTCTCTGGCATATCTTCTGGCATTCTATCTGGCATATCTATCTGGCATTTTCTCTGGCATATCTTCTGGCATTTTCTCTGGCAAATCTTCTGGCATTCTATCTGACAAATTTTCTGGCATTCTATCTGGCATTCTATCTGACATATCTTCTGACATATCTATCTGGCATTCTATTTGGCATATCTTCTGGCATTCTATCTGACATATCTATCTGGCATATCTATCTGGCATTTTCTCTGGCATATCTTCTGGCATTCTATCTGACATATCTATCTGACATATCTATCTGGCATTCTATCTGGCATATCTTCTGGCATATGTTCTGGCATATCTTCTGGCATTCTATCTGACATGTCTATCTGGCATTCTATCTGGCATATCTTCTGGCATTCTATCTGGCATACCTTTTGGCATTCTATCTGACATATCTATATGGCATTCTATCTGGCATATCTTCTGGCATTTTCTATCTGGCATATCTTCTGGCATTCTATCTGGCATATCTATCTGGCATATCTTCTGGCATTCTATCTGGCATATCTTCTGGCATTTTCTCTGGCATATCTTCTGGCATTCTATCTGACATATCTTCTGGCATTCTATCTGGCATATCTTCTGGCATTTTCTCTGGCATATCTTCTGGCATATGTTCTGGCATATCTTCTGGCATTCTATCTGGCAAATCTTCTGGCATTTCTATCTGGCATCCTATCTGGCATATCTTCTGGCATTTTCTCTGGCAAATCTTCTGGCATTCTATCTGACATATCTTCTGGCATTCTACCTGGCATTCTATGTGGCATATCTTCTGGCATTCTATGTGGCATATCTTCTGGCATTTCTATCTGGCATATCTTCTGGCATTTTCTCTGGCATATCTTCTGGCATTCTATCTGGCAAATCTTCTGGCATTCTATCTGGCATATCTTCTGGCATTCTATCTGACATATCTTCTAACATTCTATCTGGCATATCTTCTGGCACTCTATGTGGCATATCTTTTGGCGTGGATACTCGCGGTTGAGGTCCGGCAGGGAACACTGGGCGTGGATGGTCGCGGTTGAGGTCCGGCAGGGAACACTGGGCGCGGATGGTCGTGGTTGAGGTCCGGCAGGGAACACTGGGCGCGGATGGTCGTGGTTGAGGTCCGGCAGGGAACAATGGGCGTGGATGGTCGTGGTTGAGGTCCGGCAGGGAACACTGGGCGTGGATGGTCGTGGTTGAGGTCCGGCAGGGAACACTGGGCGTGGGTGGTCGTGGTTGAGGTCCGGCAGCGAACACTGTGGATCGCGAGTCGCAGTTGAGCAGGAGGACGAGGAGGACAACGAGAGGAGGAGGAGGAGAAGGAGGAGGACGAGGAGGACCAGGCAACTGACATAAAATCTAACAACCCTCACCTGGCAGGTGGGGAAAAATAGTTTTTATTATTAAGGGTTTAATTTTATTATATAGTATTATATAATAGGGTTAGGGTTCCCTAATAATAAATAACCCTCTAATACTAAAAACTACCTGCCGTGTTTATTATTAGGGGGGACGTTTAGTATTAGGAGGAAGGGATTATTGATTATTGTTATGTTATTCATATGTGAAGCCTGAAATCTACATAGAATCTACACTACACTCTACACCCTTCTAATACATTTAATGGGACATACTTTGGAACCACAACAGCTTCCGCGATCGCTTCCGCTCCTGCGTGAAGATCCGCAAGGACCAAAAGGGCTCCAGAAACGGCGGATCCGCAAAGCCAAACGAGGCCAAGAGCTCGGGATTGGATCTGCGACCATAACCTCTGCTGGCACTTTGAACTGGGCTCATGATCCCTAAGGCCCGAAACTAGTGCATGATTTGACATTCTGAGAGTTCAATACTTCCACAATACTTGGCAGAGTTATCATTCTTGTCATTCTTGTCTATCTTGTCTATGTTTAAATTGTTTTTCTTGAGAAACTATTGTCTTTGATACCACGGACTGGAAGAAATATCTAAGCCACTAAGCCACATCAACTTCCTCTGTGGCAATATGGATGGACCATGATGGATCGACGCCGTGACGCCCAAGGAGCTGATAGTGATTTCCTCATCTGCTGGGATTTCCCATTTGGCCGAAACCACCAAATCTCCGTTGTCGTCCATCTCGTAGTTCCTTAGCGATCGAAAGATTCCAAAAAACTGTCCTGCTTCATCTGACTAATTGTGGCCTGGAGAAAGGCACACTTCAATGGATTGGTGTAAAAAGTACTGATTTTGAATTCAGATATAGGGACTCTAGGGGTTTCCTGTAGTCTTCATCCAATTCTTGGAACAGTTGATGGAACGGAGTGATTGGAGTGCCCCGAATTGTGGCCAAATTGAAAGTCTATTGCAAATGATCAAGTGACACCTCCAGCCATGTCTGCTTGTAAAAAGAACTAAGCTGCCAGCTAAAGACAGCTACAGTACCACACAATGATTCCATGATGTATATAATTTCAATCAAATCCACAGCTATCGCCGTCTTCATTTGCCAAGATTCAAATCTGAAGTTAACTCTGGCAAGTGATTCAGAAATTCCTCGGCTGTGGTCAAACAGCACCCAATCTCAGCTTCCCAAGCATATGCCAGCTTACGTATGACTCTCAAAACTGCTACTGTATCTGTGAGGGTCGATTTCTTTAGCAAGCCTCTCATTCACAAGGCTAAGATTCAACTGCCTCCCCAAGATTGCCAAAGTTGTAGAATGTTGGACCATAGCAAGAAGCAAAGGTGTGAAAGAAACTATCACGGAATGGCAGAGTGCAAGAATGATAGGAACAACCAGAAAAGAGTGCTGGACTTCCTACGTGTCTCCTCGTACACGTACAATAGGAACACATTTGATCTCCAAATACGAGTAGAAGAAACCGCGCAAAGGGCATCAAAGAAACTCTACTGTATTTCTTGGGGTTCAAACACTTTGTGTTCAAACATTTATCAACCTGAATTGCCCTACTCTATCTAGCACCTCTAGCAAAAATTTTGATAGCAAACTTGGAGTGACCGAAGGGATCAGTGAAATTGGTCATAGCCTCTTCGGCACGTTGACGTACCTGAGGGATCCTGAGGGAACTGAAACCGATTGGAAACAAACACCCAAATACTCATTGCTTTGCAGATTGATCATATATAATTATGTTTATATATATATACATATATACATATATATATACATATATATATACATATATATATATACATATATATATATATACATATATATATATACTACATATATATATATATACATATATATATATACATATAACCCCCAATAAATATAATTATCAATATTGGGATATATTGGGTATGTTTGTGTATTACAACCCAGCAGAATCATGAACGCGTGTTGACGACATGTGACGACCACTCCAAGCAGCGAAGATTGGAATGATATGTGGCTTTCCTCCTGGACCTTTGGCTGCATGCGAGAGAATGAACTGGTTCACTGCCTGGCGTAAGCGAATTTGCCTTAGCGGTTTCCCTTAAGGCACCTTAAAGCATTGCAAAAGGGGAATTCCGACATCTATATATAGATGTTTTTTTGGTGCTGAAGCGGTTCTTGGTGATTTTTTGCTGCACGAAAAAGTTCAAATACTTTGCAAAGGCATCGGATTCACATAAAGGTGTGCAAGCAAGCTAGACTTTGAATCCGACCATCAGGGACCATCCAAATAACCCAACCAGACCCTGACAAATATTTTAGTCATTTGCGAGTAGCGACCAAACCGATATTCCCCCGACCAGCGGACAAAAACGACATGGCCCAGACCTGGTAGGTGTTCATGTCCATCCTAGCCACAGATTTGGGATGATGGGATGACCCATCTTGCAAGAAATGAGCCCTGTCCTAAAAATGAATTGTAAAGCAGTACGTTGCAAACTTGAAACATGGCAAACTGGCAAACCATGAATAGAATACGTTGTCCAGAAACTAAATCATTCTACAGTAAAACTAATTCTCAACTTCTGACCTTCTGAACCATGTCATGTAGTATAGATTCTTGGCATCCCCGGGAACATCTGGCATCATATCATACCATATCTATGGATCATGCGTACTCTGTTTCCTGCTTGCACATATATAATTACCATTAATTACGAGCCTCCATGATCTCCATGGATCCTTTCGGCCAGGTATCATCTGCAGTTCTTTGCTGCATTTTGTCTTGCAGGATGCCGTGAGCTTTTCAAAGTCGCGTGTGTACCTTCACAACCAGACTGCAGATAAGTGAATGCGTCTAGATCGGAGATGAACAGAAGGCGCGTGACCTATACATGAAATGTTCGACTGCCATCACCATACTGTACACGCTTCAAAAAACCTTTTCGAAGGCCTCTATCACTTAGAAGAAATCTGATTCCAGCACTGAGGAATGGGTTCACCATGCTCCACCATACACATGCTCATCCAAGCGCTACTTTCGTACACCATCTGACTCGATCACCAGAGACCAAAAAGGGCAGAGTCACCAATAGAATCCAATAGACAGTACTGAGTCTCAGACCAGAAAAGGCTACGTCTGATCTCTTGAAACTCAAAGGAACCGACCAGCAGCAACTGCTCCCGCGTCTCTCGGTAAAACGGCATGGAAAAGGGAGGTGAGAACATGTCCCACCATGGCTGCCATATTCCCACAGATGCAGGGCTTTGCAAAAAGCTACCTTGGACAGTCACAGTGGACCCCATAGCAATCTGTAGCAACTGTAGCATCCCTCTTTGCCAGTGACTGAGAAAACGCAGCACTGACAAGGATTGCTTGTGCTAAACAGTCTCAGGTATTGATCCTTGCAACATGGGATGTTTTTGCTTGCCTTCTATACGGGTAATTAAAAAATAGCAACAAGAAAGCAACACATAAATGGAACTAAACTTGCCCTTTAGGGTTGCTGCTTGAGTCACCATATTGGCTCGAAAGCCATGCTGCCATTGCTGCCACTCCACTTCGACCGAGGCTCAAGTCATCAATTCCGTCCTTGCCAAGGACCATTGTCTGATGCATTGACTTCACGACAGCATCGACAGCTCCCCAGTTTGATTGGTTGCTTTGGTTGCTTTGGTTGCTGTGGTTGCTTTATCCCAAGATATAGATGCATCAGATGCAAGAAATTCCTGCCGTTGTTCCATCTTTTTGTTTCTCGTACATCCTGACGCAAGAAACGCATCTCTCAGTGCTGCCACGGTGCAACATGTGAGGGAAGGTCGCTTCTTTGGCGAATGGAGGCCTGAGAGTTGCGACGAAAACTGCCGCTTGAGGGTGCAGTTCCACTTATATGTGGCTACGTACCCATATAGGGGTTATATCCCAACTTATGATAACTTATGGAGGTTATCACTAGTTATCACCATGATTCCAGTAGTACAGTAATCCAACTGCACCCTTAAGTCCTCTCTACTGCCATCACATTGTACTCATCACACTACAGCACCTTCATGGACTGATCTGGATCGAGGAAAAAATGTCTTGTGTAGCCGGGTCACATGTGTCTTGGTCAATGAGAGGAAAGAATGGAAAGAACGTATCCAAGCTAAGACAAGTTAAGTCCATGGTATTGACACGAATTGATATTATGTTGTGTGATGTTTAGTGGACACCTTGCCCCGTCCAATCCTTGCAGCTTCACACTCTCATCCGAGTCGCATCACTGATTTGAAGATCCCGTGGAATCTGCAATATCTTTTCTCCAGATTTGATGTTCTGAGCCGCTACGAGCATGGCCCCTTTGACTGTCCCATCGACATATCTGAGCTTGGCAGATACCTTCGTTGCGGGAAAGGCATGGAAAGCCTCGGGAGGGGTAAGTAATTCATAGATATTCAGATATTCATAGCAATTCACTAAAGGTAAGAAGGGATGCTAGGCTTGGCACTTGCATTGTTATTTTACTTGGCTCGGCCATGTCCGATCAAGATAATTTCATCGTTTATCATAGATACTACTGTACATGGAGGAGTCTCAATCATTTGGTCTAGCATTGCTTTACCATGTTTTACCTTCGTCACTTTTGACTTCTTACGTCCTACCAACCAGGCATTCAGTTTCTAGCAATCTTTTTCACATCTCAATCGGCCCGCGCTCCATTTGAGATCCGCCAAACCAGCCAAGATGAAGAGTGTTTCAATTATTTCTATCATGGATTAAGTTGTCAAGTAGACACCTTTACATCTTCGTGCATACTTTTCTCAACACAAGCCAGGAAGTTGCAAAAATCAGAAAAAGGAAGTGAAAGGATGTGAAAGCGACAAAATGTGACAAAAGGTGCAGCTTCGACACAAATCCGCCATGGCTACTCACCCAATTTGCCAGGTTCTGGTATTTCATGGCCGCATCTGGCCCACCAAGGCGTGTGGCCAATGAAAGCAAGACACCAAGCAAGGAAAAGGTACCTGACATGCGAGCGGAAGATGAGCCGAGGAAACCATGTGGAGCCCTGGACCTGTAGCGCATGAAGAAAGCAACATGGGGACAGGATTAAGATAGACCGAAATAATCAAATACTGACAAGGCGTATCTACAAATGAAACAGCAAACATTCTAGATCATTCTAGTCATCCTATGTATACAGATATGATTGATATGATCACATATGTAATCATATCATACGTATAGTTTACGCTCGATCCATGATTCAATTTGTTTCAAGTCCAAGCAGTCTGATGATTCATACTGATTCATCCACATCCATCTGTGCAAATGCACCAAGGACCAACGTCTCGTAAACCTTCCGTAGCCATGTCAAGGTGCCATAGAGCCAGATGGAAGATGTCCAGCTAGAACTTTGGCTTGACGTCTCGGGCGGCACCTACTCAGCTGCGATTTTGAGGAACGTTTGATGGTAAACCAACTAGTAAAACCACAGGATTTGGGGGCTACCCCATTTTGTTGTTGGAGTCCAAAAGTCCAAATGATTAGATGTGCGCACACATAGTACTGCGCTTTCAATCATAGAGTTGCCTGGGTAAGAGGAGCACTTGACACTTGATCCTCAGGTGTGATGTTGCCCTTGGCGTAGTGTCGTGTAACATGACACTTTAAGCCATCCTTTCTCCACTTTGCCCGCATCTTGAAATCGACAAACAAACCTGGCACTGAAATATCAACACCAAGGTCATGTTTGCACAACTCTTATGGAAAGAATGCCTTGGTTGGTTATAGGTTTTATATATTTTTTATATGGTTTCATAGTGATTCCCTCATGAGCTTGTTACCTTTCAATACATTTCATGTTATCTGTAGTACTCTGCCCGCTGATCCACCTTCTCTGCCTCACGCGATCGGCTTGGCTTCGATTTTCCCATGGTTTTCGATGGCCAGAAACTGGACTGGTTGTGATGGTCATGACCCCATTCAGATCATTCAGATGGGTCCCTTATGATCCCCTATCGTCCCCCATATTCCCATATACCGTATGCCTTTGGACTAATGCTGTGAATTTTGTCCATGGAAGTAGCGATATCTGGTGAAGAGCTGTGAACCCCCCACCTCATACCTGATATGAGTCAAACATAGGTGGCACCTATGGACCCACACTGATGTGTTTTAGCATGTTGCTTGCCTTCCAACTGGGCAAAATCATTTTCTGCCGTCACGAATAGCAAAGGGTAAAATCAACCAAATGGATGACAGTCTGAGCTGCCAATGGCGCAGTTGGTGCTACGCCTGCGCTTCAAAATCTCGGCCAAAGGCCCAATCAGCTGCGATTTGTGGCAAAGGAAGCATGTCAAAAAGGCTGTCTCAACGCCTTCTGACCTTACGACAACATGATTGAACATTGTTGAAAGAAATTGAAAGTCAAACATGCCATGCACTTCGTGGGTCATTCAATCAATGAACGACAATGTCAATGTTAATAGCCTGATGAGGCAGCCCCGCTCCTCTGGCTTTCTAGATCTCTCCCAATAGCATCCAGCGCGGGTCTTGACAAAGTTTGCCAAGCGCTGTGCAAACTGCTGACCTGAAACGCTTAGCAAAGAAGAGCACATTCCTTCATAGTGTCATAGTGACATTCCAAATCAATCCAGATCTGTTTATCTTTGTTATTATGACTTACTTGTGCTTAGCAGGGAATGAGGGCATGATCCACAATAACTATCAATAATCATCCCATTCCCCCATTCCCATCCATTCCCTGCTAAGCACCAGTAAGATGAAAACCCGTTCCCCAGATGTTCAAATCACCCGCAGTGGAACGCAATGGATCATGAATTTGGGCACTTTGGGCACCTTGTTTTGAAAGGCTTGAGGTACGATCGCTGCCATCTGAGCCTGGCTGGTCATCCCAACTTCAAGAGGGAGATTTCTTTCATATAATGGGTATACACACATATTATATATATATATATGTACATGTATATATAAGGACTCAAAACGGGCCGCTACTTTTTAGCGCTGCAAGACCAAAGTTTTCAAAATAGTTAAAGGATAGAAACTTGAAACAAATTAAAACACTTCACTTCAGCATACATCTCCACCATAAACACCCCTTTGTTGTCCTCACCCCTGAGAACTACGGCCAAGCCCGTAAAGTTTCCCAGCCAAAGTGAGATAGAGCCGTCCCATGTCCGGCCAAACCCAAGACAAAATGGGACCCAAGCCCTAATCCATCTCATTAGTTATTCCTTTTGCGAGCTTTTCTCTTCTGCTTCTTTTGTCCTTTCCAATTTCCCCTGGCCTGCACCTTCTTAGGTGTAGACTCAAGTTTTGGCAACGGGGAAGTGAGACTTTGTAGATACTGCTTACGGAGGTTCCTAGAAAATGGGTCCCAATTCATGACAAGTTCAGCTTGGACTGCAAGTCCCTCATTTACATACACTCGGGCAGTTTTTGCAGATTGCCACCTCCCCAAGAGGAGTAGCTTGTCCAAAGAACTGTGCTGCCGAAAGAAATGGGTGGATCCCCCTCGCCTGAGAGAGTATGGTCTGAAATCCAACGCATCAAATTTCAAGGCTACAAGGGTGTCAGAAAACTGTTTGCGCCACACGTGCGGCGCTGGTGTTAAACAACCAGTCTTAGGAGCCACCATCTTCCATTGGTAGAGACGTCGACAGACATCTTCTACATAAATGGTGACAGACTCAGCCGCCCCCTGGCGTTTTCCGGACTTGGTAAGTCCCAAGGATATGACGGCCGGCCCCTTGGCCGAGGAAACCGAAATGTGATTTGATTGGATAGCTAAAATCTCTCCAGTTCGCAGGAGACCAAAAAATCCTACCAGAAGCGACAAGGCGAACAAAGGCTGTTGCTTGAACAAGGAATAGCCCACCATAGCTTCAAGTAATTCCAGCGGCAACGGAGGTGCCCTGTTAGGAATTTCATGCACTACCCAGGTTTTCATAAGTCGCCAACTTTGGGGCAACTTTCCTTTGGAGTGAGGCTGAGAATCCTGTAGAGCAGCTAAGACATTGGACCCGCAGGAGCGCCCGGCTCCAGAGGCCCACAGGTGCTCAATGTAGTCAGAGACTACCAAATCTAGCTCTTTGGCTGTATGAGGCAGGGGCTGCTTTACTTCCTTAAGGTAAGCGAAAAACTCTTCTAACGCGTGATCATATCTAGCTCGTGTAACCGGTTGCACAGTCAACTGTTTCAACGTTCCCAACTGCTTTCGCGCCTTTGCTCTTGCTTCTGTCGTGGCACCCTCTAAATGTCGCTTAGACATTGACCCACTTACGTTTTCTCGGATGCCTACTCGGGGCATCCGCAGGGTTTTCTTTTGTGTGGACATAAGTCCACACAACTTGCGTTCGGGTACCTAGAAGCAATGCATTGACGCGAAGTAGGGTACGTTTCAACTTCCTACTACTAGACCGGCCACGGGACAAGGAGTGGAGGCATACTAGCGAGTCGAGCAAGTGAACGAACTTAGTATTCAAACATTTCAGCCTTTCTATGCGCCACTTCAGCGCCGTCAAGGCGGCTCGCATCTCTAGAACATTAATATGCTCCGCTCCACCTGTCCATTTCCATCCTGCCACTGTCCGCCACTTCCACAGCTTCGCTGGGATCGTAGCTCGTAATCGATGGTACTTGACATGATCTTCCGAGGAACTTTGAAGTAAAACATCATCACCTTTGATGCTGACTTGCGACAAGAGTTTGTACACCAGTTGCTTGCCCTGCCCTGAAAGTTTCTTCCGGGTTTGGGTCATCAGGGGCCTTTGCAGAAAAGTCTGAAAATCATTCACACAGCCTGGTGAGGTCCGTTGTGACACTTCTGTCACCGACAGTCGCTCATTCAGGCCAAGGAAAGAGCCTAGCTGTGCCAACAGCCATGCAATGACTGTGACATTCCATGAGTTACCGATAAGGCTCAACCTTGCGTCAGTGTGTTCCTGACTCCCTTGTTTGTTCTTAGGCAGGCAATTCAGCGTGTATCCTCGCGGAAAGCCCATGATGACTTCTCTTTCTTCAACATTGGGCAGACGCAGCTGTCCCTCCCGGTTTTTTACACAAAACACATCTCGATATTGATAGGGCGGAAACCTATGTTTGTCAGTTTTCCACCTGGCAATTTCTGCCGGCGAGCACTGTTGGATCCCAGCCGGTTTGTAGCCAGGATGATCTCTTGGCCGGGCAGTAGTGAATGTCGGAAAGGGTAAGTCACTGTTCTTTGTCCAACCTGGCAGCAGAAAATCCTTGGGCTCTAAATCCGTCTGCAACCAGACTTCTTGCCGTCCACCGGGTCCAACTCCAACTTCTGCACCTACCCCTTCATGCAGTTCCCAGTCAAGCCAGTATAGGCGAGGTCGACGGGCAAGGGAGACTCCTGTAGCATCGATGCTGTAGGGTCGTTCACCAAAGTCTGTGGACATCACTTCCTCGTCTGTTAGACTCATAGAAGCCACTGATTCCATCAAACTTTTCACCTGGGCCCACGGAAAGCAAGTTTTTACAAGGTTTCGAATATGGGATACATGAACGAAAAGAGAACTGCGGGCATCTTTTAAGGCCCCTTTTTTGCTTGCGTTCAGCCCACTCACTCCCTGACAGGGAGGGCCTGCCCCTATGAGCACAAGCCCCACTTGCGAGTACTTAGCAGCCCAAACCCTTACCATAGCCAAATCAATCTCCTTGACATCCTTGACCGCAATGGTTTGAGGGTACCGGGACTCCACCACACGTTGAGCTTGTTCTGAAACTTCAACACTCACATGACCCATTACATGCCAGCCTACTGCATCTGCCGCAGCGCGTAGCGCTCCAATCCCATCAAACAACCCAATTGTGAGCACCCCCGTCACGTCGGCTGGCTCAACAATATCCCCACGCACTGGGCAGTTGCTTGCCACACATCCTGCAGGGGTTAAGCCTGTGCTCACTGTGATTCCTCCGCCTGAAGTCGAGGCATCACTTGCGGTAACATAAGGCGACACAGCGGTCCTAAAGTCCATAGCCGCCAGAGGCGCCAGCCCCATAAACCGTGCAATCTCCTCCTTGACCTCTCGAGGAATTGGCAGTTTGATAAACTGGGGATACCCCTCAAAGGAGGTAATGAACTGCCAGATCGCATTCAGGGCTCCCAAAAGGGGTCGGCGGAACATGGTAAAATAGACAAAGCCTCCTCCAATCACCTGAGCCTGTTTCTGAGTGCACTCATGTTGCGTGAGTAGCAGCTTGGCCAGTGACAGGTACTTGATCACTTTCTCAGGTTTTGGAAAGGCTATTCCTTCCTCTCCGTCCACAATGGCTCCTTGGACTTCGGCTTTGCCTTGAGAAGCCACTCCCTTTTTGGGGTGCCTGGGAATTCCTAGGCGTGAATATTCCTCACGTAAGCCACTTACCAATGGTGAAACTTGACCTTGAATGGCTTGGGCAGTCTTCTTTGAGACCTTCATTAATTCATCAAAACTGTCTAGGTAAATTCTAAAGCACGGGTTTGCTGTGGTGAAACCTTTGTCCTTGCGAAGTTCAGCTTCTCCTCCTTGCGGTACCTTAGGCAACGCTTGTCGGACCACATAGCGATGCACATGTTGTGCCAGCGCTACCGAGTTGCGGAATCCCATTGGGAGGACCGCACTGCACGGGTACCACGCCCCAGGTTTGTCCCCTCGGAGACTCTCCGGTAGGGGGCGGTTGAATGCCATGAAACGATGCCAAGCGACTGGTATCCTGAAGATGTAAAAGAAACATCTTACGTCTTCGCTTGACACGATTAAATTCTCATCAGGCATTAAAGACAGGGGCGTCATTCCTGCCCATGTAGGCAGTGTTGCTACATCCCCTTCCAACCCCCTACACACTTGGTTTACGGGAACCAAGTTCATTATTATGCGCATGACTTCAAAACCCTGTACAAACTCACCTTTGGTGACTCCGAATAGCCCGTTCAGTACAGGCTTTCCCTGGACCAAATGCAGGTCATCCTCATGGACCTTGTTAAAAATTCCTCTCTCTAGCAAGTTCCTACAAAACTCCTCCCAATTTTCGGGAGGCACCATGACCCTCGGGGGCTTGGTGTAAATCTGGTCCTCGGGGGGCAGCAGATACTGTTCGAAATTTTCGACATAGTGGCGGGAACCATGTTCCACCACCTCCTCAAGTTTTACCCCTCCCACTTCTTCCGGGAGTGCGGGAGCTACGTTCTCCCATCTCATAGGTTGTGCTGTCATGATCTCTTCTCCTCGGTAGTCGATGCCTCTGCACCTAAAGAAGTCAGCCCAGCTCACTTCCGGTACCGGCTCTACCCATTCACTCACTCGCCGGCAATCTTTCATGAGCCCTTCCAAAACTTGTTTTTGAAAAGCAGTAGGGCAACTATCATTCCACAACCTTTCACCATTCAAAGAGTTCAGAGAAACAACCAAACATCGCAGGACAGACAGGGAAACAGGGGGGCACTGGGGAAACACCTGGCTGAGGTAGTGAAAGGACGTGGGCAGAGGGTAAACCCTGCCCGTGGGCTTGGTCTTGCAGTGCCTATCAATAAAAAAGTCCATCCTACCTTCTAGCCAGGTATATATATCACCCACGTGTTTCCCTCGATCTCCAGCAAGCTCTCCTTCTTTCTCGCCTGCCACTCGACCCAAGCCTAAGTGTCCGGCGGTTCCAGCGTCTCGAGCCACTGTTGGGCTGAGATCCAAAAGCGGGGTGAAATCTGGGGAAATGGCAGTTCCCCCATCATGCAAGTGAAACGTCGGGAGTTCAGTAGTGCCTCCCATACCTACCACGCCACCATCACTGCTAGCCGCTGTCTCTGACTGACACCGATCGTCTTGGCACCCTCTGGCACTTAGACAAGCCATTTTTTCTTCCGGAGTGTCACTGTCACGTTTCTCGGGGGCAGCCAAAACTTTTTCCATAGCTGCCTCACTGGCACCTCCCTCGGTCAGGAGCTTTTCTTTCCCTCGTCTCTGGTCTTGCCTCCTTTGCCTTTCTCCTTCCCTTTGTCTTTGTCCTTGCCCTTGGTCTTGCCCTTGTCCCAGCTCGCGCTGGGGCCTTTGGCTTGAACATCCAGCCGCGCCTCCTTTTGCGCTACTTGGACTTCGGCTCTGGAAGCCATCGTAGCTTCGAGCTGTGGAACTACTTCTATTTTTTGCGAAGTAGCCCACGGTTGACCTGAAATGGTCAACTCGAGGCTCTTTAGCCTCTGACTCAAAGTGTCCGCAGCTTCCGCTGGACGTGCCTGCAAAAGCAGGTCCAGGGCATGGGCAATTGTCACTACTTCGCGTAGTATTCCTCCCGAAGCTCGAGGAGCTATGTGACTCCTCATATATTGGCTCACTATCGGCGGGAGGCTGTCCGAGTCCATTGCCCACGTAGACCCTGAGGCCTGGAGGACGTGAGTCTTCATGTGTTGCAAAGACTCTTCTGTCAGCACTCCGGGCGCCACCTCCGCCAGCAACTGGACCTTGTTTCGGTCCTGAAGCAAGCCCAAGTCTCCTTCGACGCTGCTGGAGGACTCGGAGCTTTGGCTTGAGGACGATGAGGAGGTTTTTGATTTTTTGAGCTTCTTCTTTGCCTTTCTTTTGATGCGCCTTCTTGCCTTTGGATCCGGATCCAGCCCAGTTCCGGTGTAAAGATCTGCCACCTTCTTCTTGGCCATAGCTTTTCCCCCCACTTTCCGGTTCTTGGCTTTCCTTTCTTTTTTCTTTTCCTTTGTTTTTGCTCTCTTTTTCTTTCCTCCCCTCTCTCGGGAGTCTGTGTCTTCCTCGGCCTCCCTGGCCTTCAACCTGCGATCTCTCTCCCATGCTTCCTGCCTCGATCTCAGCTCTTTGTTCTCGTCTGGATCTTTTAAATTCTCTTCCCACGTCTTCTCCTGATCGGCTAGGAGCTGCCTGAAGCGGGAGAGGTGCACCAGGTCCGGGTTGACCCTCTTTTGGTTGCAGCTTGGCCCACATAAATGGGCTCTCACCACCGGTGGCTGAATCCCAGACGCGTACCGCAACAGCTCCTCGTTTGACGTGCCCGTCAAGTTGATAACCAACTCAACCTCCCTCTCTTGCAAAACCACCTTGTCCACCACTCCGGCAAACTCACACGCCGATTCAAAGTATGAAGCTTGGCACGACCTGATCCAAGCCCCGCTCCCAAACAAACCGGGAGTGTACTCCACTGCCAGGAGTTCTTCACCTTGGGCCCACCGCTCCTCGGGAGACTTCTGGGGACCTCCCTCTACAGCAGCAGCCGGCCGCCTAAGCCGCGGCAGAGCTGCCGCCGGCCGTCTGGCTCTTCTCATCCACGTGCTTCCCGTTCCAGGCGCAAGGCCTTGCGTTGGGGATCTGTCCCAAACTGCCGAATGTCTTCTCTACGCTCCCGCCTTTTCACTCCCTTTGATCCTCCCCAATACCGTGCGGGAGTTGACCAATAATAGGGTGGCAAAAATTGACCGGGAGGAGGTCTGGGCGGTGGACCCACTGGTTCAGCCGGACGCTCACTTCCTCTCGCCCGATGCTGGTGTGAGCTCTGGCGCTCAGTCTCCCGCAATCTTGACCGGGAGTCTCTCACCTCCCTTCTTCTACTTCTTCGGGGCGTTCTTGTCCTCCTCCGGCGCTCCTCCCTCTCTCGGGAGACAGTGACCTCTTTCCTCCGGTGCCTGCTATCTGATCGCCTATGACGCTCCTCTTTTTTCTTTGATGCTGACCTTGCCCGAGCAGAGCTGGCCCGTGGCCGCGAACAGGAGCCCACACTTCGGCCTTGTTCCTCACTCCCACCTGGCTCCCCACTTCCAGAGGCCGACTTCTCTGCTTTGACCTCCCGGGAGCGACGCACTCCCGCAGGACTTGGTCGGGAAGGTTTTCTTCTCTTCTTATCCTTTTTTGATTTTTTCTCTTTCTTTGGCTTGTCTTTCTTTTCAGCGGCGTTAGCTTCTTCTCCAGAGGCAGCAGGGGCACCCTCCACAGATGGCTTGGCAGGAGGTGCTTTGGCGGTGGCTTCGTTCGGGCCTACTTCTCGGCCTCGGCTATCAGTTGACTCTCCAGCTCTAGGTAAGAACTGCCTCAGTTCCACTCACTCCCGGGGGTGGCGTGCCCGGGGGGACTTTAGGCAGTGCCTGTCCCTCTTCTCCCAATCCTCCGGGAGACTGCCCTGCTGCCACAGGGGGTCCTCCCACAACAGTGCAGCTCTCAGCTGCGTCCAGGAGCTCTGTATAGAGCTCCCTCAAGCGCCTAAGCGCAAACGTGTGGAAGGCTTCCACAGGCGGTGAGCGGGTCAGGAGGTTTCCAATCCGCCTCCAAGTACCACAAAGAACGCAAGTGCACCCAGAAACTAGGTGCACCGCATTCATGCCCTGAAAGCCAAAACTGCGGGTAAAAAAGAGGCTTGCCGTGTTTCGTCCTTAAGTACGGGGACGTTTACCCATATATATATGATGTACATTTATATACATAATGTTGACCTACGATTTATCAATGGACCCTGAATAAAGCTAACCAAACTCCCAAAACAAATAATAAATGACCCCTAAATGAAGCTAAACTTTTTTGGCCCTAAACCCAGATCAATACTAAATCCATGACATGAATACTAAATCAATACTAAATCCATGACATGAATACTAAATCAATACTAAATAGATCTTTTTAAAACAATTGTTGGATTCCTTTTTTTTTGGAAATTGCAATTTTATATATTCGTTTTAAATTGTGGCAATTGAACACCTTTACATACAAACAAGTTTGATGGTGGCCTTTAACTTTATTTAGGGAAAAGAGGGGGGGGCCCACGTTTATAAATCAGAGGTAAACATTATATAACAATCTATATAAATTGTAATATAATAATATATTATATACAGTATATATTAGCCCATAGGAATGGGGGGATGACCATCCCTCTACAGGAAAATCAGCAATGTTTTGATGGCACATGTCTGCCTTGGTGGCACAAGAACGATTGCAGTAATCTGCTAGACAGTGTTGGTCCAGGGCTCCTAGGTACTTGTCAAACTTAGATATTTCATCGGTGGACAAATAAATTGTCAAAAAGGATTGATCCTGTCTTCAAACTGTGATGACCGATGGACAAAGCATGAATATCAATAAATCCCTAGGACACGCTCGTATGAAGACAGGGGAGGTCCTCGATTTGTGTCAGTCCTGCTGAGACAACAATGTTGCAACGTGGCAATCAAGTACAGTAGTTGATCCAAAAACTGGAGAGACCGCAAGGGATCCAAAATAGCATCATGATGACGACGATGATGACGAGGATGATGATGACGACGACGCGGAATCAGCCGGATTCACAACTTTCACAACTCCAAGACCCACTGCCTTTGCTTTCTGGCGCTCCAGCACCTGCCCGAGTCAACCAAATGGGCCGCGAGCCTTGGGTCTTGGAGCAATCTGAAACCACCACAAGCAACAACCAACAATTCAAAGCATTACCCTAGGGTAAACTAACATGGTGGGTTTTGCACATCTATGTTTGTTTTCTTGAGTGTAAACTTGTAAACATTGCTGTTTCCATCGCAGGCGAATGTTGACATAGAGGGGAAACCTCCCCCCAGTTTACACAGGCTGGCAATGCAAAAATACAGATATGTCTTCCTTGATACTCCCTCTCTTTCTCTCAAATCAATTCCAAGTATTTCACAGTATATACCTGTTGAGTGCAAAGCCGATGTGGATGGCCATGAGGTATGGCAGAATGCCTCACATGCTCAAAACAGCAATCAAAAACCTGGCGCTACGCCGCTACAAAAAAAGCATCACTGCATAAACTTCAGGCCGGAATGGTGTGATCGAAAGAAAGTCCTTGCACTAGGTAGAGGATATTTGGCTGTTACTCTATATATATATATATTTATATCTATATGTATATGTACGTATATATGTATATAATATATATATATATATTCATAATATATATATATATATTCTGTATCAAACAGTATAGAAGAACTTCTGCTGTTCAAAACCGTAGCGCAGTCCAGGTGCTTTTTGCCACTCGTCCATAGCAATGGTTCGCCATGACCTTGATTGTTTGGGCACGTTGAGCGTATGTGATTGCCGTGAACACGAAAAAAAATCATGTGTGGCTATGGATCAAAATTGGATACCCAAATTTATGAAATGCTTATGTAACCTATGTAGTCTTGAAAGTTCCAGGCCTTGGTCCACTGCGTCTTAAAGTTTGAAGCATATCATCCCACATCACCTCCATCCGAAGCAGTGGCAACCAGCCGCCCATTTTCTGTGCCCAACTTCCTTCAGCCGCCGTGGTGGCTGGCTGGAGGAATAGCAGAAGATCTTCGGAAAATCTGTGAAAATTCCATGAGGGCTGCAACCATTCAGCGGCAAAACAGCCACGCGAACACTTTGCAAGGCTCCAAAAGGGTGCATGCGATGCATATCTCGCAGCTGAACAGTTTGAATACATAGTTGAACGAAGTGCCGAGCATGCCAGAACTGTACAACAAGCTGTTAAATCCACAGCCAATCTCTGTGTTTTGTTTTTTGCCGTGGGAATCACAAACACTTGAAGCCATGCCCAACAACACATGATACTTAAGGAGTCATGTCAGATTCTAAAGACGCGCAACTTCAAGCCATCTTTGGGCTTCAAGTGCAAACCCGTCGAGTCTACTTCCATGTTTTCGACATCGACGAGCTCAAAGCGAAAGCGGGAGAGCAGCATGGGGAGCCAAACCTGCGAGGGTGAAATGAATGAGAAAGCGGGCCTCTGCGTTCTTCAAGTAGGCAAATCACCAAATCCCAATGGTTGTGTCATTCTCCAACCTATATACCCCTGCACGGACAATTGCAGCGACGCTACAAGTAGAATGTTACAGTGTTCCTAATGCAGAAAAACATATTATAGCAACATAATCCCCGTCTTTGATTGCTCCACATTTATGACTTTCTTGCCCAACAAATCGAGTGGCATTTCTGGAATTGTCAAAATGTTGAGAGGGAAGTGCAGGCGCTGCATGAAGTTGCATGTTTTTGTGGACCCCAGCAGTTTTTGCGAGAAGAGCTCACAGATTCATAGATTCTGCTGCAACAGATAGAAGGACTCATTGATCTGTTGTTAAAAGATGTTCAAAGAACACAACCTCCTACCAGCTAAAGTGGAAGAAATTAATGACTTAGTGTCATGCTTCGGATAGCTTTCTGGTATCTCAAGCATCCTAAGACTCTTTGGAATTCCCCCCGTTGAACAGAGAACTGCAACGACTGTGAGCATCTCTCAGATACAAGAAACCCTGGCTTCCAAAGAGGACATGTCTCTTCCAGGACAGCTATGAGCACCGAAGTTGTAGGTCATCAACTTTGAGGACTTCAGTCCTTGTGGAGATCACCAGATTTTTGTTCACACATGATGCGAAAAAGGAAGAATGAATATGATATTGCATTCCAGGCAACGCTTTTGTATAAGATATGAATACAAATGATATACGTAGTTGATCGTTGCTGTACCCTCTGGTAATTTAACATAGCTATTGAAAATGGCCAGTTATAGTGGATTTTCCCATTAAAAATGGTGATTTTCCATTGCTATGTTTGTTTATCGTTGCTGTACGTATCCTAGATTGTATTTCTTTCACTGCAGCGGTTCCAAACAGTCCCAGACCAGGTTCTGCCAAACAAGTTCCTATCCATTGTGCCTGCTGGTCTGCAACGTTTTCTTGGTTTCCTTCAACCAATAGTCTCTAGGTTCAATATATCACCAACCAAATACTGTATATGGATCCAAATGGCGTTGTCTCAAAATGGTGTATAGTCCTGTATAGCCATTTCAATGGGCAACTGTCATTATTAACATCTATATACATCTATTTTGGGCATCAACATTTGGGGGGAGAACTATGTTCAAACAAAGGTTGGTCTTAAGCATCAACATTTGGGGGGAGAACTATTTAAACAATCAAACCACAATATATCCAATTCATCCCAAAGGTTGGTGGAGGTTTTTTGCCGTAGCGCCGCACCGCTGTGCCGTGCCTTGCCAGCGTGAAGGATCAAAGTGCAATGGGCAGCGTCCAAAGTCCGAGGATCTCTGTCCAGCCAGGACCTGCGGCTGCGGGCTGGGCCACTCGGGCCACTCAGGGGACCTTAAAAAATGAATGAGTGGGCTCAACAAAAGGGCTCATTCATGGCTCATTAACCATCAACAAACACTAATAACTAATAACTATATATCATCATATATATACATATATATATAATAGCACTAATAACTAATAACTATATAATAGAATCATAGAAGGGCCTTTTTTGACCATCATTGGGGTTGTATCATTATTTATCATTGATAAAGCCCCAACGATACATGGACCGGCCAGCCCAGGTCGGCCTGGAAGTTCAGGGTGGTGTCCTTGCTGATGAGGTAGTTCCTTTGGCAAAGCAGAGTATGCCACCAGTCATGGCAGCTGCTGCTTCATTTGATCCCAGGATTTTATAGTCTTTCAGACTGAATAATACTGAATACACAGAACTGAACTGGAAACTGCATCTTCATCCGCTCAAGCCATCGCGATTCTTGCTTTGATTGTCGATTCCTGGCCTTTTTTACAAGAGTCATAACGGTCCGTGCCCAATTTGCAATGATATCCAGCTGTATCTTTCTCATGTGTAAAACAAAGTCCCCTCGGTTCCCATCCGGTTGAGCTGTGCCGTTTGTGCCTGCCGTCCAGGGCAACCTCAAAGTCATCATATGCGACTCCAGTCAGTGTTGGTGTTGGGGGCAGCAAACGCAATGCCTCAGGATGGTGGGAACCAAAGCGAGCTCTAACGGGAAAGCATCTCAGCTGCAACGAACAGGCATCAAATGGTATTGTTACCTCTACTAAGGGCAGTCTGCAACATGATATTTTATGTCGAGGGTGTAGAATATAAGTTCAAAGAAGATTGCGGACTGAACACTATTATCTTGATGATCTTGAATGCTTATGTACAGCGTACTAGGAAATCGAAATCACCAGGCACTTGTGTCTTAGTCGCGATGCAAATATAATCAAAAAACACCGCGCGAGGTTTTACGCTCCCAACCTCGTTGAAAATGTCTTGCATAGACTCCGTCTTGGACAACAGGCTCTTGCTCTCGAAACCCGACTCCATGATTGAGACCTAGTCAGTCAGAACTTATGGCCATGGCTAACCTTGAAACCTTCCAAAAAAAACAACTGGTTGGAATCTGCTAGAACGTACACTACCCTTATGATTCTTTATGGAAAAACATGGAAGTTTTGAGGAACTCTAGGTTGACGTTGAAGTACAGCTGCAGCAGGTCAGGCTTGGCGTTGAAGCGTTCCTCTGGTTCCTCTGACTACAAGGCACTCAATATGTGGTGTGGTTTACCTAATGATAAACCCTACTCCAATTAACCAAATTTGCATAAATTTGCAATGTTTGCGTAAGTCAAAACCAAAGCAAACATGGTTCATCGTTGGGTTGCCACGTTGCCGGACATAATGTACTTGGGATCAATATCTGATTGTATAATTGATTATTATATTTGATTATCATAGATTTGGTCGACATACTCCGTATGCTCCATATATGGTATAATTGCTACATTTGGGTCATATTTATTGGCCAATGTTGCTAGATATTCCATGAAGTGTTGGATTGTTGATATCACCAATTTCCGGCAACCTACACGACACTGTAAGGTGGGGCACCAGACTATAGTGGTTAACAATTGGGTTTATGGCAGATATATATATATATGTATATATATATAACTAGTTGATGGGTTTCATAAACCCACAAACATAAAATTGGGGGCTCAGATACCATTAGAATCCCAGTAAAATCTCTAAATCCCAGTAAAATCCCTATTTTTGTCATCACCTGTGGATGGTTTCCCCATGTTTCGACCAAGGACCGCTTCGTGCCGGGCGGTCTCCGCCCAGCGCCTATGGCGCGGCTCCGCCAGGAAGCCCACGGTGAAGGAAAGGGAAAATGCCTCGCGGCCGCTGGATGACTGGGGGAAGAATTTTAGGGTCATAATTTCGTTTCTATAACCCATATGCTCCATGTATGGTATATTTACCTACATTTGGGTGATTTTTAGGGCAAATGTTGGTAAATATACCATACATGGAGCATATGGGTAATTGTTTATAGAATAATGTATTAAATGGCTATATATATACATATTTATCTATACGTATGCTTACTTCAGATTACTGCTATGTTCGTTGAATAAAACCTGGCTTACTCGGTGAACTTGGGACTGTTGCTATAGGTTGACAAACCCCTGGTGGCTTTGATATGCTCCATTTGAAACTTAAGTACCTTTTGGGGGTGGACTTTCCCACATTGATTCGCCAAGGGCGGCAAGATTTGAGGGCAAGGGGGCAATGACATTGGATTTGTTAGTGACATGATGTGAAATCTATGACAAGAACCTTCACTGGCAGCACAGGCGGCCACGAAAATTATAAAATCACCGTGGCACCATCATTGTCACAGCTGCAATATTTGCAATGATATTTGCCATCACAATTTCAGACAGTATTGCCATAGCCCCTCACATTCCAGTGCAATGTACAGCTACAGCGCCACACCTGAATTTCGTAGCCTGCATTCACAAAGTTCCGAACCTCCAGGGATTCTGAAATCGCCATCCCAAATGTATGGAAGATTTACCCAGATTTAGTCTAAAATGCGCCACATGTAGGTAAACATATACCATACATGATACATGGGATTTTTCGGTCATATACCATAAATGGGAAGTGGATACAGCATGATACAGCAGGCCTCAGCCAAGAGATTCTCAAGGCCAACCCCTTGCCAGCGTGGCTCCTTTAGTAGCATGGCCTTCCGTGCACAAGCTGCCCCGGAGGCAATGCGGACATCGTATTATTAATTATCGAGTATATAAAAGTGGTACAGCATAATATACTCCATTTCATGTGTTGATATATATATATATATATATTTATATATAATTACATAGTTCCACATTGATGAAACAGTAATTCACCAATAAGAATTAGTTTATGTCCATGATTGTCCATGATTTTTGCATGTCACTGCTAAGATTTAAATTTTGGCTGCAAGAGTTGCCTCCAAAAGAGCTGGCGCACGATCTGGGGCTCGTTGACCCGAACGAACCTGCGATTCAGAGCCACCTATGCCACCTTCAGGGAACACACCGCAGACTGAATACGTACATATCATATGATCTCATTATATATCTGAGAATCTGATGACTATAGTCTATAGTGATTATATCAATCTACCATTCCCCAACCAACATAGACCCTGCCTAATAGGGGGCTGGAAGACTACTTTTCATCAACAATTGGCGATTCTCAGGCTCAAACTGTTAGTTGGGGAGGTAAATCCTCAAATCATAGTTATGTGGTTATATAGTGTTATAGTATGTTATAATTTTATATCCATATCCCATTAAATATCCCGTTATATACATCCCACAGTATCTCATCATTTCATATCATTTCCCAATAATCATAGTTCTCGTAAATATTCCCATAGTATCCCCAAAATATCCCCATAATATCATACAATATCCTCACAATATCCCGATCATATCCTCCTGATATCCCACAGTTTTTTTCAACGAAAGCCACCCCACTCCGTCACTCCGTCACTCCGTCACTCCGTCACTCCGTCCTCCTCCAGAAGCTGTTCCAGCTCTGGTTCCACCACTGCATCAATGATGCTATGGGCGTGGCCTCAGGGCCCATGCCAGGGCCTTTTTTTCTTGGAGTAATTCGATGCACCTCCAAAGTATTCATGCAAACATACTTTACTTCAAGTGATCCCCACCCTGACACTCCTGTTCGGGTCCACGGAGCTGGCCCGCTGCATCCGGAGCTGGGAGACAGGAGTGATTCGTCGAGGGGGACACGAGTGAAGGAGCCAGGGAGTTGCACCTTTGTTAAAATCTAGAGACCCTGACCTGGCAGGTGTGGAAAAATGGATGATTTGTGATGATTTATGAGGGTTTATGGTGATTTATGATGGTTTATGATGATTTATGATGATTTATGATTTTTTGTGATGATTTATGGTTATTTATAATAAATTATGATGATTTATGATGATTTATGATGGTTTATGACGGTTTGTTTATAGTTTATGATGATTTTTGATGATTATGATGATTCAGATTCATGATGCCTTATGTAACTTATGATGATTTATGATGGTTTATGACGGTTTATGGTGTCTAAGGTTTTATGATGCTTTATGATGCTTTTTAAGGACTTACTATAGTCTGTGATGGTGTATGGTGGCTTATTGTGATTCATGATGGATGCTCTATGATGCTTTATGGTTTCAGATGGTGTATTGTGCGTTCATGATGGGTTATGATGGTCCGAACATGTCTGAACCAGGTTCTGCAGAGTCTTGCTTTGCTCAAATGATGCATCCACATGTGTCATGACCAAATTTATCGCTGGGCGTACTTCGCTTTGCCAGGAGCGCGTCTTTCTGAGCAGGCAAGTGAAGGGGCATCAGCAACCCTTCCAAGCATTCCATGACTTCCTGTCATGATCAGCACTCTAGCGTCTTGGCAACCTAAGGATCAGCTAGCAAATGGGCAGTGTCATCCCTTTATACTGGTTGGGTAATAGGATTTCCCATAATTATATAATGGATTTTGATGATCCCGATATATTGAGTGATGTAAAACCCGAACTAATCATCAACCAACAGGGGTGTCTTGCAGCCATCAAATGATGGCAAGGCCCAAAGGCTTCGATGTATGAACTGCCGTTGTGGTGGTTTTGTACCTAAGATATGACCACTGAAACGATCACAGTGATACCTCCAGAATCTGACGTAGTTCAGCTGTCACATATGTCACATGCTACATGAGATTATGGTATTCCATGGTATTCCCATCATTTCATCGGATTCTTGGCAGTCCATCAAGATTCCGGTAGCTGACGAGCGAATCATCTACAGAAATCCCTGAGAAAAACGGAGCGCAAGTATGGTCCTGTGTGCTCTCTTCAAGCTTCAGGGAATCAAACTCCAGTCTCCGCCCGAAGAGTAGCTGAAACACCTAGGCTTGCGTTGCAGGCTGCCCTGGAAGTAGTTTGTTATGCCACGAATCTCGCATGTGCTGGAGCAGTGATGCACATACTCTCAGCAAATATGAGCAAATCACTTTGCATGCGTTACATCTTGCTGGAATTCGTTAAGTCCATCCTTGAATCCAAATGGTGTTTCTGCAAGATTTAGCTAATGTAAGTAGCTCTTCTCACACGCTGTCCTTCTTGATTTCAGATCAATCCTTGAATCATCTTGAATCTCCTAAATTATCATAGCTATTCATAGCTTTCATTCATGTCATATCCCATTCATCCTATCATTTTTTGGAGATTTTTCCCTGCCCGTTGGCACACCATTACTGGTCCATTGGCCCATTGGCGCCAAATCACAGCCCCTGCCGTGGCCCGTGAGAAGGCTTGGTTCATTCGCACGATGCTTCCAGTCGCCGCAGCTGCGTCCAGGGTCTGGCACCTGACGAAAGGGAAGGCCCAAAAAATGGTTTGCCAATCCCTACAGCAGGGTTTGCTGAGTTTGCTAAATATTAGCATATATAATAATACATATAAATATATGAACATATTGGCTGGAAAGGATTGTTTGGTATGGAAGGTGAGTCTGTGGAACGACCGTGCTGCCAGCTAAATGTGGGAACGCATGGATGGTTAAATCCCGTTTCTTCATGTTTAAAATCACTTTCTTGACACTTAGTGAGTATGGAAATCGCAATATGTGATTGTTCAATCATGTTTAATCCCAATGTAGATTTATATATATATTATATATATATTATATATATTATATATATTATATATTATATATATATATTATATATTGTATATTATATATATATTATATACCCTCAATATATATATATAATATGTACTTATACTATGACTCTTACTTTTTTCGAGCGAGGCACATTTCTTCACCCAGGTCTACCAAAGCTCTGAGGAGCTCCGGAGACCTCAGCAGTCGTTGGAAACTGAGCTCGCCCTGCAAGGATTGCTTCCTCCAGCGCCAAGCCTTCGCTCGTGCGATGTCGGTGAAAAGTGATCACCAAACAAAAACCAAACTGAGCGATCTAAGTTGAGGCAGTCCGTGCTATAGACTATATATTATATACCCATAGGATCCATGGTGCTGCTATATATGGTAACATGGATCCCATCAATATACCCCAAATGTTAGCATATATACCATACATTGATCCTATGGGATATAGACTATTTGTAGAAACATATTTAAAAGAAATAATATGACCCATGACCCATATGAGGTGGTAAAAACAAAAAACAAAAACGTCTAAATTCGCCAGTACCGTTTTCACCTTATCGCTATTATTCTTCCTCATCGTTTTACAGGCTTTCGGCATTCTGTCATAGTCAAGCAGACCTGAAGAGGTTCATGCACATGCCGCAGCCATTAAGAAATTACTCGCTCAATTTCCATTAAACTATGTATTTATTCTTTATATCGGACATGCTTACCTTGGCGGCAACAGCGCTTCTTGGAGCGAATTTACTGTAGCCACATTACGCCAAGACTCAATGACAAGAACCTCATATTTGTCTTTGGGTCTGACCTCTTTGGGGCGAATCTCCATGGCGGAGTGATCGGTGGGCGATGGTGTTTGAAACTGGTCTTCGGGTTAATTTTGTTTTCGTTTTGTGTCACGTAGATTCTCCCATGGTCCGTGGGGCATACTTGATCTGCTCATACAAATGCTAGGCGCACCAGCAGCTGCATTCTAACTCGGATATCGCTAGAATCAACATGCATTATCAGTAACATTATGTTAATATAGATGTTATAGTTAATATATGTTAAAAGTCATATTGGTTATCTTGTTTTTCTTCCTTATTGTTTTTACAGTACATGGGCTGTGTCCAGCAAAAATGGGGACCTGCTTAGCTAAATCGAATTGCATCTGGGATCAACTGGGATCATATATGAGATTATTTTTTTTCCCTAATGTATGGTATTAATATATGGTATTAATATGGTATTAATATGGTATTAATATGGTATTATATATGGTATTATATATATGGTATTAATATGTATTATATATGGTATTTGAATTTATTTATATATAATATATTATAATATGGTATTAATGTAGAATTCATCCGCAGCCGCGGATGCGGGCGAAGCGTTTGTGCCTCGAAGCTTGGAAAACTGCTCCCAGGACCCAGGGCATCTTCGATGCGCTCGGAGAGTTGCAGGTCCCTGGGAGCTGGATATAGCTGGAAACAACATCTGCAACTATAATAACCATACGGTAACTACACTTAAATATACGGACTTTTAAATATACGAACAGGTATTTTAGACTACCTCCGGGAAGGTTTTCCTTGGCCCGCCCGGCCATTTAAACATACGGAATCCAATTCAAACATACGGTAACTACATTTAAATATACGAACTGGTATTTCATACTACCTCTGGGGCCTCGCGGTCTGGCCCGCCCTCCACATATTCAAATGTCGTTACCGTATAATAATAACTATATAGATCCGTATAGTGATGAATCTAAGTCAAACCTTTTCTAGCTTTTTGGGCTGTGAAGGATTCTACAATTTAGATCTACATTTTTTGTGGCTGGGATCAACCTTTTCAAAGACACCTTCATGTGTCTTCATGTTGAGGGATGAGACCTGCACTATCCTGCACTGCTGCTTTTTGCTGGGGCAGAGCTGAGCGGAACTCTGCTTACGCGTTTCATGAGAGGCATCCATGTTGCATCATGACATGTTTGTCATGTCACCATAGCAAGAAAACCTCAGACCTAGAGCCAAGATGAGCCAAGAATGTCCAGCTTCTTTTACTTCGATGTACTTTTCTCACTCATAGATCTCATCGAAGCGCCTACCCTGATGGGATGCTCCCTGCCTACCATAGGCACATGGATCCCGATAGTTGTTCCCCTGCTTCACAGCGATGTAGCGGCTGGCTGCAGGGTCGGACAAGCACACCACATTGGCTAAGGGTGTCCATGTCCTTAGGTGGACTGATGTTGATTCATAGGTGCTGCTACGGTATGCAGAACTGGCAGCAAAGAGTTTTGACGGAAAAAATAACTATGAAACAATATGAAACAATACTGTGTAAACAACAACTGTTTGAAGTTGCTTCAGCTCTCAGTCTGGAACTAACCAGGTAAAATTCAGCCAGGGGATTGACTTTGTACTATCCATTAAACTCTAAACTCCAATGAATTTTCCATCAAGCCAAGAATCTCGAAAATCTTCCCATGTTCCTCCAACAAGGATGGCATTTCGACATATTTCGACAGTAACCAGTGGGACTGTGCCTCCAAGAGCACATAGATCAACTCTGAGAAGTGTTTATACAGTTATACATGTTTAATCATGTTTGAATTTTAATCATGTTTGATGATCTTTAATTAATCATCTTCAATCCATCCGATATTTCCATGAACCTCCATATGTTCCCTCCAATCCATGGGGATGCCCCCAAATCATCAAGTCGTTCCCCATGTCTAGTATTGAAGCCCATGGTGACTTTGGGATCCCATGGGATTCCCCATTGAACCATATTGAACCCTCCACGTTGCTGTCCTTGACCCAGGTCTCTTGCGTGTCGAAGGCGTTTCGAAGCTGCGACAGCAACTCCACGATGCCAGGCCCTGCGGGCGGCCGCACCGCCGTCGAAACGCCGTCACCGCGACACCGCGGCGTCCGCACGGCCACGGCGATGGCGGCGACGGCGGCGACGGCGGCGGCAGCTGTGGCGTCCCAAGGGGAAACCTGGCGGTTGAGGGTCATGGGGGACCTATGGTGAACTATGGTGATCTATGGTGATCTACTACATGGTGATTGGTGATCTATATAAGACACGGTGATGATCAAACATGTGCAAACTCGGCTTGATGAGTGTAGTACAGATAGTACAGTACATCTTGACGAATTTGGCAAATAGCTTTCTTCGAAACAGATGGCAGCTACTCTTAAAAGCTATATCAAAGTCAATTTCACAGCCAAGAAATGCCAAAACGATCCTCATCTGGTGGCTGCCTCAAAGGCAGTTGCAGACTCACTCCAAAAAGATGCCGATAGCCTTGTATGCTGCCTTCGACCTGAGCCAATCAGGGCTCAGTCATGGGGGTAGACTCAAAGTGATCCTTGCAAGAGATGATTCTGATCTCCAAAACATAGATACACATACAGTATATACAGTATCAAAATGTATCAAATACATCCAAAGGCCGAGTTGCATGGATGCAAAGTTCCTGACACGAAAGAAAGTGCCAGGCTTCCTTTCAGGGAGGACCAGCTCACAGAGTGGAATGCCCATACAGCTAACCGTTGAAATATGACCAAATTCCAATCGATTTCAATAAGATTCTCAATGAGAGCATACAGGTTCATCAGGTTTGGACAGAATTGGAGACCCATCCCTGAAATTCCAATCATGACTCCCCAAGACAATCAATCAATTTATGTCTCCTGCTGCAAGCACAACTACGTAAACAGATCTCCGTCGAGTCATCGCAAGACTGCCAAGTAGTCACTACATGCTGGTGTTTTTTTGCTTGGGTATACATTTATACTTTATATTATATACTAGCCAAAATTGCTTGTCTGTTTGCGAAACACTGTGAATCTAAGTGTGTCTGATAATCAAGTTGTTTCTGCTAGTATTACACGTGGCTGGATGAATCCTGTGAAGTTGAAATAACAAGTCAGTCAGGGTCACTGTGGCAAACCCAACCAAACACTGCATTTCTTTCATCCTGACCTTCATCAAAAAAATCATCGACATGTTCCACTTTTTTTGGTCTGACTGCAAGCCCAAGCTACGAAAACATGTTCACTTTGACAAATTGAGTTTTGAACCACAATGCACTTACCCAATGAAGTACGTATGGTCTACATTTCAGGTATAGATAGACATTGATTGTCGCATCGTGCTTGAAATCCATATAACCCTGCGGTAAACAAACATGGCAATGGAATGGCAATGGAACATCCCCCATTTCTAGATGATTGATTTTCCCAAACCTTCAAAAAAAAGGGTTTCCCAGCTAGCAGGATAAACATGATGAAAACTATCGCAGTTCCAATATGCTCCAAGATGTTCCAATGCTCCCGACTAAGGCCCGGCACTTTGCTTGACAAATTGAAGAGTTTGATAAATGCTCCTTCGGAGTCCTGTTGCAGGCTTTTGGCCGAGTGACTTGGCAATCCACGCAAAGCCAGAGTTCACACGATTCCCATATCATTGTGTTTGATTGACATGAAGGTATGAACATGACTAAGGGTCTTTGGGTTGTACCGATTGATGCGTCCAAACTCTATTATAAGGGATGAGTGTCACGGTGCATCCCTCTCTTTGATTCGAGGACGTGACAGGACAAACACATCAAACTGACTTGAACGTGAGCTACTCCGTCCCCAACGAACACAGTCTTGGGTTTCAATGCAAGTTGGACTTTAATTCACCACATGCGAGTTTTCGAAGATATAGAAATGATCCCAGGAAGTTTGTTTGATATGGGTGCGTTTAGAAATGTATAGTTACAGTAATATGATAGTGTATGTATATAATATATATATATTGTATCTTGGGGATGATTCCCCTTACTAACCATGATTATAGTGAGGTCGCAGTGAGGCCGTTATAATTTATCCATATATATATATTACATATGTAAAAGAAACATTATTTTCCAAACCATTGAATTTGAGGTGGCATCCATGCACATCCGATGGAAAATCTTGAGGTACCAAAACCGTTGATGGTTACTATATTCTTCATATCTCCATTGTATCCTCAAATGACCTTCATTTCAACCTGTTATGTATATATATATTAATAATATATATAGATATAATAATACCCACAGACACCTTGTGTTGCCCAAGCCCAGAATAGCGTAAATTACAAGGATTTTTTTGTTCACACTATACATCTCATATAAATTATCCCACCACCGTTAAACTTCTACATTCATTGAAGATTCTTCAATAAGGGTTTAATTCTCCCACCCCCGTTAAACTCTTCCATTCATTGAAGATCTTCAAAAAGGGTTTAATTCTCCCACCCCCGTTAAACTCCTCCATTCATTGAAGATCTTCCATAAGGGTTTAATTCTCCCACCCCCGTTAAACTCTTACATTCATTGAAGATCTTCAATAAGGGTTTAATTCTCTCACCCCCGTTAATCTCTTACATTCACTGAAGATCTTCAATAAGGGTTTAATTCTCCCACCCCCATTAAACTTCTACATTCATTGAAGATCTTCAATAAGGGTTTAATTCTCCCACCCCCGTTAAACTTCTACATTCATTGAAGATCTTCAATAAGGGTTTAATTCTCCCACCCCCGTTAAACTTCTACATTCATTGAAGATCTTCAATAAGGGTTTAATTCTCCCACCCCCGTTAAACTCTTACATTCATTGAAGATCTTCAATAAGGGTTTAATTCTCCCAACTCCGTTAACCTCTTACATCCATTGAAGATCTTCAATCATCATCATCATCATCATCAACATCAACATGCCGGGAACGTCCCTGTAAATCTCCGGGCAACACAAGGCGTCTGGCAGTAATAATATATATATATATATATATTATAGTTATATATATATATATAGTTATGTGTATATATATATGATTCTATATGTATTAATTACCCTTGGTTTTCATGCCACAGACTTGATGTCAGATATGATGTTTCTCCATCGAATCCCCATCCCGCCGCTCGGCCGCCTGCACGGTCTCGTAGATCTCCTCATAGTTGGCGATCCGCTGCTTGAGGTCCTGCATGGCCTGTCACTGGTGGAGTGAGATCTCCATTAGAAACGAAGAATTTGCCGTGGAAAATGTCTCATCTATAATCATTCATATGATAGTTGTAGATGATTGCATGATATTTACAGTATATATGTTTATAGATGACTTACCTATTGAAATTGTTTAAAATTGGTGATTTCCATAGCTACGTTAGTTGAGGGTATCTCGACATGTAGATGAACCATTATCAATGAATTAGATATCCCCCAAGAAACACTGATAGATTTACAACATCAACTAGTTTAGTAGATAATGATACACTTGTATAGTGATTCATGCCATTACATGTCATGATTTGGAGACACCATTTGACAATTGAACCAGATTGATTATCATGATTGAGATAAACCATGATAAACCAATGACTTCCCTCTCCTCTCTCCCTCTCTTTCTCTTTCCAGACATTCAGTCGCAAACAATTCAACAAAATGATTCGGAGCTTGGCATGGTCTCATACCTTTGTTGCGATGCCCATAGAATATATGTTCTTTTAAAACGAGTCCCCAGATTAGTGTCCCCATCATAGTCTGTGTGGCTAATTCGATTGTGAATGTTTTCGTTTGACCTGAACAGTGGTTAGTAACGTAATTTATTTTTACTCACAATTAAGTTCACTCCCAAGAAATCATGTAGAAATACGAACATGATAATCATTTGACAATTTCTGGAAACCCATTTGAATCATTTGATCTACCGGGGTATATCAGATATTGGAGACTAAATATCATCGGACCCCCTAGAACGGTGCCTGCTCTTCGGTCATCTGTTGGAAGTCTGGACTGTAGCGAACCTGTCGGGCTGTGCACAGTAGGGGACTCTGCCCTGCCTCTCAATGCTCAACACAATCACAACACAACCTTAGCCTGTCTCTTTCAAACGGATGCAAAAAAAGAGGATACCCAATCGATGACTGCTAGGATAAAATGATATAACATGAATTATATAACCATTGACTTTGGGAGTAGCACATTTTGAAACTAAGCGGCATGGTGTATTCCCAGCCTTTGTCAACATGTTGAACATCACCACCTGATCCACAAATCTTGCTGCTGATGTTTGCACATGTTCCACTTCGCTGGCAACAACAATTCGATATAGTGATATTCGTGCCTATAGTATCCTTTTCTGATATTTTATGACGAAATACCGCCCACATGAAGACTCGAAGACCATTTTCCAAGGCTACATGCTTGTCATCCCTGCTCACACAGCACAGTCAATGAGCTGGCAAACGGTCAAATCCATTGTCGATTCACTCCACGTGAATGAGCTGCATCGGCTTCCAAGTTGCTTGGAGCCTAGACTTTTTACATCTTTTGTTGACGAGAGTCATGGATCACGCGCAAAAAAAACTGCAAGCATCTTGAATCATTTGTTTTTGTTGAAACACACATATTATATGGGAATATCAATATCTGCAAAAAAAACATCAGAAAAAATACGTTTGCATGGTTTGGGTGAATGTCCAATCATCTCTTCCCAGCCTCCTCATCATCACACACGGCCTCCACCCAAAGGATACTGTATTTTCTGCCGGCATTAGTGACCTGCACGTTCCAAGAGTAGTTTCAACTGAGAAATGAAGTTTTTCCAAGTCATCCGGAACCCCAAAGTCGGGCATTCTTAATGGGACAACCGATGGTGAAAAGGGGTACCCCTCTGTTAGGGAGAACCCAAATGTCGATGAAACCTCTTGAAAGTCAATTTCTGGGTGACCAATGAGCTATCATGACCAACTTGAAAGATATGGAGTTCCCAAATTTCTATGATCGTTGCGTGCGGGGATGGGTCGAGAAATTCTGTCACTCATGACTCATGGTATGTGACGTTGATATTTCAATATTGACACAGAGTGGAATTCTTGAGTATATATGCATCTACGAATAGCATGCCCAATGATACGTATGTTACCGTATCTTAACTATAATTGAATTTGAACGTGACCTATATACCATATATATATATACTGTATATATAATCTATAACCCAATAATATATATATATATATATCAAAATTTGTATGCAAGCCCAACCAATGACCGGTTCGACATACAGTTTACTCGTCGTTCAGTCCAGACTTCAGGCCTTGTCTGCGATAAGTTTCCGTCGTTCCACTGTACCTGTGCTTTGATAAGGGGGGTTAATGGGATTTAATGGCATTGAATGGGATTTAAAGGGATAGTGAATGGGAATATTATCAGGGAAAGAATGGGAAACATTGGGATGTAATGGCATAAGAAAAACAACAAATAGTAATATCATGTAATATCCAAGAATATGATGTTGGTCTGGTGAACGGCTGTTCGGCAGAGCAAATGGTGCAAACGGCTGTTTTCACACGCAAGTGGCAAATGCCTCCATGGCGTTTATCGACCTGCAGGTCGTTGCATTGCTAAATTGCTATGCTCAAGGGATCCGCTGATGATCCCATTGAGATGTGAAAATGTGATGGCATCGGTCGGCGAATGGTTCATGTGCAGACAGGGCCCAAAAGCACAACATGAATGATCAGAATGGAATTCACACTGGAGTATTTTGTTTTCGTCGACCAATGCTACATATGGGTGCCTTAGCCAATCTTGAAATGCAGCGCAGAGCTCCTTGTCTTCTTTGGTAAGACAATCAGCCCACATGACCGTTGTTGGCACCCAACGGCAATCATCTTCACAAATGAAGTCTTGGATGGATCTAATTGCTATCATGGTCCGCTTCTCTGTTGTGGAAGGGTTTTCTGAAATGACAGCATCATACAGCGACTTACAATCTGTACACTGAACTTGACGCAAGGCTCTCTCAGGGTGAGGTTTCCCAGTGGCGGTGGTGCCATAGAGCAAAGCAGTGATGAAGTAATTTATGTAGGTCGCCCTATCCACTGTCTCATCCATCGCATTGGCTTCACTTGCAAGAGTGGATCGTGTCACTCTTGGGGATCTTGCACTCTTCCAGTCCAAGATGCTGACGTAGCTCTTGTGCTCTAAGCAGTCAGGTGAAGCAAAGAGCACCAAGCTGCCCATCTGAGAATTGCCACCAGGGGCGTTTGCCCAGCTCGAATCACCATACCCCACAATCATCGAGGCCTTGTTGAAGGGCACAGGATGGAAGCATAGACCTACGTCTTTGGTCTTCTTGGCAATCTCAATGTACTCAAACAGCATCTTGAGGTTCTGCAAGGTTGTCTCTTTTCCCCTGTTAGCCAAGCTCACAGCTGAACAGAGGTCTGGACGGGTCTGTCCACCCAGCCATTGCAGTGAGCCCGCAACTGATCTGAACTCACTCCAGTCAGCTACGTTCAACTCTTCGCTGACCAATCTGCCACGGCCAAGCTTGCCGGTGCTCATCTCATCGATGAAGGCTTGCTGTGTCACATGCAAAGTGATCTTGCCCTGCATATTCTTCATTCGGATCTCTTTTCCACGAAAAACAATGCAGTTGTCCTCGGTCAGCAAGGTTGTTGAACCCCAGGTGAACATCTGCTCAAGCTCGCTTACATCATAGTCTTCCCGGAAGGCCACCAAAAAGTCGTCCACATGGATGATCATGACGACCAACAGGCGCTCTTCGGCATCGCGCTTGATCAGGAAGCATCTGTCATAGCGGTGCTGGAAAAAGGCATGCTTCTTTGTGGTACCTAAAACATTGGTCCACCAGGTGCGTGGTGCTGAAGCAAATCCATACAGATTTCCGCACACCTCGTAGAGCTCGTCCGGGAAAGTGTTGGCAAGCTTCTGGATTCCATCACGTGGTGCACGCATGAACAGTGGCTGGCTTCGAGGCTCAGGAGTGCCTTGCAGAAACGCTGTACTTACGTCTCCACTCCACAACTTCCATTTCTTGTTGGTGAGCTCCACAAGTTGATTCATGCCAGACACTGCTATCTGCAAAAGAATCATTTCTGCTGTTTTGGAAGGTGTTGGTGAGCTTCGGGCTAGGGTAGCCAAATCTGGGTCTTGGCATCCAAGCACCACTGTGCGACATTTTGCACGAACAGTGGGTCCAGCTCCACGGTTCTTGTCTCGATAGGCATTGCGTGATGGAATGATTCTCCGTCGCAAAGAAGGAGTTGCTTTGATCTCCTTGATCTTGTCGGGCTTCAAAGGAGCGATACAGCCCCAACTCAGCCAGCTGGAAAATTCTTTGCGGTTGGCCTCAACGTAGAGCTCGACAGTCTCAGGAGGGCTTTCCAAAATCACTCGCCAGGGAATTTCTCGATCCATGGCTTTCCGTTCTTGTCTCGAAAGACGTTCCATCGTTGGTGATTGCTCATCATCTGATGAATCACTAGACATCTCTTCGTTCTCGACCTTGGCTGCAGCCACACGAAAGGCTGTGGAGGTCAAAGGAGAAATGGCTTTCACATTGCCATCCCACCCGTCCTCAACACGTTCAAACGTGTAGTAGGGCTCTTCAGGGACCTGCTGAACCACAAAAGTGAAGTGGTTGGTCATCAGCGCTGCGGTTGATGGTGGTCCTGAAGAGTTCTCGGAAACGCGAACTGTTGGTTGTGAGCTGCCAAGGCCATTGCTTGAGCTGTCAATTGGAATGGCAACATCAGCTGCTGCAACTTCAGGTGGTGGTGGAATCACTTCATGTGGTTCTGAAGGAATTGCATCTGATGGTGCTGGTAGAGGTTCGGCTTGAAGAGCTGGTACTTCAAGATGTTGTGAATGTTCCGGACTTGGAATTGATGGTGGTAATAAATTATGTTGTGATGAAGGTGGTGCTGATAATGGTGGTGGTTGTATATCAGACAATGGTGATGTGGGTGAAGGTTGCACATCCAAATCTTCATGAAGTCGAGGTCGAACATTCCTCTGGTCCATCTCGAAAGGAAGAAAATTCTGAACATCTTGGCGAATGCTCTGGTTGTACACTGGAGAGTAGTTCATCGCCATTGGTTGTTGAAGCATAGAAGGATGATGAAGTGGAACTGGCAAAACAGGAGGCTCAGGAACAAAAGAAGGTTGTGGCTCTCCAAGCAAGAGTCCAGGCTCAATTGCCATGGCTTCGCCCATCTCTTCATCTTCAGCCTCAACCGCTAGGTCAGGTTCCATCGGTTCATCTTCTGGTGGAGGTGGTCCCCGATGGTCTTTCCACATGCCCTGCGTGAGGTTCTTCTCAGCATTCTTCAAGAGCCGAATGTCCTCCATGTCAGGGTTCCACGCTTCAAGTCCATACGTGGGGCGCAGCTGCTCATAGGTCACTTGAACTGCAGAAGATCCAGCTTGGATCCATGCAGATTTGCCATCGGGATCATGATGGAGAAGTCTGCCCAAAACGTAGCCACCCTTCTTCTTGCCGGCAGCTCGTTTGGTCCATCGCCAGTAGGCAGCAAGGCTTCCAGGCAAAATGGCCTGAGACTCCTCCTTGTTGGGCTTGGTCTTTCGAAGCAAGGCTCTTCGAATGACTTGGGACGCTCTGGTCTCGCTGATGACTCGCAAGGCTTGTTGTCGAAGTTCTTCAGCAAGCATTTGATGATCTGAAACAATCATTGCACGATCATCACTCATCAGGTCGCCAGGAAAACGTGGAAGTCGACCAAAAACGGCCTGATAGGGGCTGCGTCCCTTGGTGGCCGTGCTGCTGTTCAAGGCTTGGACAGTTGATATCAAAATCCAATCAATGCCCTCGCCATTGGTCACAGCATTCTCATCAATCAAACGTTCAGCAGCTGTTCGAAGAACTGCATTCCTCCTCTCCACAGTTCCTATGCGCCAATGCGCTTCAGGAGGTATCACCACATAGTGAACTCCAGCGTCTTCCAAGGCAGTTCTAAAGTCGCCTTCAAAGGCTCCATCAGCATCAACTTCGCAGACCAAAGGATATCCATAGGGCATCAACCAACTGCGTCTGAACTGGTCTGCAACATGAGCTGAGGCTCTACTGTGAAGACGAACTGCTTGTTGGAGCAGGGTGGCCATGTCAACCATTCCGAGCACAGGATGATTCGATCCAGAAAGATCTCGGATGTAGACAATGTCAACCTGAACTCGTTCTCCAAATTGGCCCATGAACTGTGGAATGGATGCTGGGCGAGGAGGTGCTGGTGGCTTGGTTCGTTCACATGAACCACAAACCATGTGATTGATGGCAGTCAAAGTGGCTGAATTGATTGACCCATAGGAGGAGAGAAGTCGAATGAGCTCCTTCTTATGGGCATGGCCAGTGTTGAGGTGAAGTCGAGCCACTGAGGCCTTGACTGCTGCTGGCAAAGTCTTTGGAGCGCCAGGGAAGGTCACATCGGTCTTAAGTCCAGGGACCGGCAGATGAGGACCTTCCTGTTCTTCAGCATCATCGGCTGTTCTTAGCGCTTGTTTCTTGCTGTCATCTTCTGCAAGTCCAAAGAAGAAGACAGCGGACTGAACAGCTTTGCTAAAGCGCTGCTTGGGGAATGCCACATTGCTGAGGTCCTCAGCTTCCAGCGCCATGCCTTCGTCGGAGTACAGCAGTGCAGCTCCACGGTGAGTGAAAGGAATATCCCGTGGAAGTCTTCTAGTCACCGGTGTTTTGGCGATCTGCACCCTGACAATCTCCCAAGGCACCATCTCCTCAATCTTTCGGTACAGCTCCTGGCCAGGCTGCAAAGTCAAAACTCGAACTGAGCTGTTGGCAAAGGTGTTGGTGACCTCATTCAAAATGCGGCGCCATGCATCTTCATCATCAACAGGCTGTGCAAAACAAACTTCGAAAGGCTTTTCGAAGCGCAAAGGACTGAGCTTCTTGGCCTCCTGCTTCACAAATCTCAAAATTGTGCGCACCAGCTCATCAGGATAGACTTGCGAGTTGGTCACATTGATACCTTCCAGTGGCTTGCACATCTGGCGTTCTTGGGCATTGAGACGTCTGTGAAGCAGCTGAGCCAAAGCAGGGCTATTCACCAAGAACTTGTGGGTCTTGATGATTGGAAATCCATCTTTGTCGGTGGCTCCAAAGGCACCTGCGTCCAAAGTGACGAGCTGAGCATCAGGCAAGTCCATGGGCTCGATCACTGGAGGCTCATCCCAAATTCTGCTCTTGGCAGAGTTCTCCAAGGCAAAGAACCTGCCAGCCAAAGCCTGTTGTTTGATTCGGTCTGCAACCCAGCGAAGGAGAGGTCTTTCAAGTTCACGCAGAGCTTCAAGTTCATGCATTCTCCAGCTGTAGTTGCAGTTTTCATTCATCACACTCCAGAAGGTGCAAGGAAAACCAATGAGCATCAGGAGCGGCGAAAAGCGATCGATGGCCTCTTCAACCATCTTCTGAATGACTGGGTCCTGGAGGTCCTTGCCATCGTTCTTGTCGATGGGTTCCAGGGCATTGAGTCCATACTGACCTGCCATACGAGTTGCTTTGGCTGTTCCAGCAAACAGCTCAAAAACATCAACAGCGTTTTTCTTGTTGTTGCGCTCGAATGGCATGTGCTGCATGACGTGCACCTCGGCCTCCAGGGTCTTTATGTTCTTCTTCAAATCACCAGTCAATCGCTTGCGACGTCCGACCAGCTGTATAGGCTGAGTAGATCCATGTCCTGATCCACATCCTGGAGTTCCTCCTCTCGGAGCAGATGGCCTGCCGCTGAGGATGTCATAGAAGGTGGCCTGGATCTGGTCTTTGGTTGCCTCGTTCCCGAACCAGGCTTGGGTTTGGCCTTGCTGGCCAGTGCTTTCAGGGGCAGATAATCCGCCTGTGAAGCTGGGGCTTGAATGGAACCGTCCACCGTCGTCAAGAAAGATGGCAGAGGCAGCAACAATCTGGAGGAGCAGCCATGCAACTTCCATCCGGTTCCGTCCCACAGCCATCTGGCTTTGCATCTGAGGCACGTCGCATAGCTTCCGTGGCGGTTCCCGTGCCTTTTGAACTCCAGGTGTTGGCAATCTCTTTGGAGGTTCTGTTGATGTTCCTGGGCCGCTGTCTTCGCGCTTGCTTTGGTGCCGCGGTTCTTGACAGGGGCGTTGTCCTTCTCCTGGAGATAGTTCATGTATGTCTTCTTGTCCATGACTCCCAGACGAAATGCCTGGAATAGCTGAACAGCCAAGTTCTTGCCGAAATCCAGCAGCTTGGCACTGAGGCGTTTCCATCGCTTCCTCACAACAGGGTTGAAATCCATGGTGAGTTGGCTCAGGTAGCGGACGAATTGCTTGAGAGTTCACAGCAGTGTCGTCGGCCGCTTGCTCAAGTGTCAAAACTGTGGCAACTTCAGGATCATGAAAACCAGCATCAGCAATCATGGACCAAATGCGAAGACGATTGGGTGAATGTGGAAACTCATCTATTCGAATCGCAAGGTGTCCATCAACACGTGAAAGAGATGTGGTGACATGCAACTTGTTGAAGTGAACGACATGCTGATTCAAATCAATCACTGCACCCAAACGCTTCAGCAAACGAAAACTTCCAAGAAAAGGAATATTGGCATCAATCACATCGACTCCCAAAATCAAACAGCAGCCTTGAATTGAGCTGGGCATCCAAATCTTCTCCAAAGAAACCATTGGGGGTCCTGCTCCAAACTGAAACCGCTCAGAGCTGGCCTCGTGATGAATCTTGAGGCGGAAGGACTCCAAATGTTCGGCCTGCAGTGATGCCCATGACTTTCCACAGCAAGAACGTTGGCAGGCCGTGTCAATGATCATGAAACCAAAGGTCTTAGATGTTGAAGTGCTCAGGCAAACATGTGGCAAAGTGCAAACCATAGCAAAATGTGGATGAGGTTGTTCATGAGGTGGCATGTATTCGACGGTGGTGTCATACCCAGAGCTGTGGTGAACGGTCATCACCTTTTTGGCAGAACTGCTCGAATCCTCACGGCCTTTTTGACCTTTGTCTTTTCCCTTTTGGGATGAAGTGAAACTGGAGGATGTAGTCTTTGAGTCTGTCTGCTGGTTCGGTGTCATCTCGCATTCTGGGTCACCAGCCCAATGGCCTTTGATGCCACAGGCTGCACACATCGAAGTCCGTTTCTTCTCTTGGATGCTCTTCTTTGGCTGACCTGAGTATTTCCTGCCCTGCGTGACATTCGCCAACTTTCGAGCAGTGACGGTGAGAACTTCAGCCAAATTGGCAGCATCCTCTTCTTGTACTTCTGCTTCTGCATCTTCACATTCAGGATCCCCTTGTTCCTCAGGCTGGTCATCAGCGGGGACTTCGTTGTCACCTTCTTCTGCCTGTTCCTCATTTTCATCACCTTCTTGAATAGTCTCAGTCTGATACACTCTTCGTGGTCCCTTTCCAGAACCCTTCCCCTTTCCACCTCCAATTGAGGATGTAGAGGATGAGGAAGTCGAAGTAGAACCTTGGTGATTCTTTCCAAATCCCTTAGGCTGATATGGAGCATTGTTGGATTCACGGCCAGCAACAGGAGGTGTCGGCTTGTGCTCCGGAAACTGAAGCATGAGTGCCGCACGAATGGCATCAAATGAAAGGGCTTGACCTGTACCTACCAAAATCAACCTCTGCTGCTCAGTGGTCAGTCGGGCTCGATCCAGCAACCGTGAACCGCGACTCTCATCATCGTACGTCAGACTGATATCTATGTTGATTGCACGCAAGGAAGCTTCTGCACGACGATATCGATTGATGAAGGCTCGGAGTGATTCTCCTGGATACCTACCGATAGACTCATATTCGTGCAGATACTGTCGCTTGACGTACACTGTTTTCTGCTGGAAGGCTTGTTTCAACTGGCTCAGAATGGTATCCACACCACCCTTACGGTAGATGGTGTTGACATCCACAAACTCCAATTCCTGCTCAGCTTCACCACGCAAGGAAGTGAAAAGAGTGAGGGCGGCCTCAGCGTCAGTCATATAGTGCTTAACCTGCAACTCCCAAACCTTGACCTTTCTCTCATACTTCTCATAAGCACGAATGTCAGAGGCAGAATAGCTCCATGCAGGCGGTTGCGGTGGTGCACCTCCACGAAACTTCACACCACGTTGAGGTCCCATAGCACTGATCCAGGAATCACTAGAGGTTGAACTCCGGTTAGTCTGTCCATTTGCCAGTTGTTGGAGTGCTGCAGTCATTGCTTGAATAGGGTCATCCACACGCGGCTGAACTGCTTCTGCTCGATGTGGTCGTCCCCGCGCACGCACTGATCCAGCTGGTGTCACATCAATTACTGGGTCATTGGTGGCAACTTCAGACTCAGCAGTCTCTTCCTGTCCGTCGCCAATCAAATCATCAGGTGGATCGGCAGGGTGTCGCCGACGGCGTCTCGCCTTTCGCCTTCCAGTCTTCTGTGATGATGGCGTCTTCACAGGGCTCTGCGAATCATGAGGCATGTAGACCCATGTACCATGTTGTGTGTGGTGTCTTGCAGGTCGCCTGGCATCATAAAACTGATCTCCATGACATTCCATGCATGTCCAGTTCTCGGCTATCACGTTCCACGCAAAACTACTCTTCCCACATTCTACGCACACCCAACGAGTCATGCCAGGATTGTCGTCGTCGTCAACCTGAAACCAATCAGTGTAACTGGCATCAGGGTCGTCAATTTCACCAGCTGATCCACTGCAGTCATCATGAAGGGACAAGCTATATTCACTAGCAGCTGCATATTGGGCTCGTAGCTTTGGACCAAACTGACGTGGCATCTCTGACCAGATCGGCATGGCCTTTGCCCTGGTTCAGGGCTCCGCTCTACCAACTGGTGAACGGCTGTTCGGCAGAGCAAATGGTGCAAACGGCTGTTTTCACACGCAAGTGGCAAATGCCTCCATGGCGTTTATCGACCTGCAGGTCGTTGCATTGCTAAATTGCTATGCTCAAGGGATCCGCTGATGATCCCATTGAGATGTGAAAATGTGATGGCATCGGTCGGCGAATGGTTCATGTGCAGACAGGGTCCAAAAGCACAACATGAATGATCAGAATGGAATTCACAGTTGGAACATGTTGGGTGTGTCTGAAAATTGGGGATTTGACCATCAACAAATAAGTTATAAGGTTTGGGTCACGATATAATTTTGAGATCATGTAACCCACCATGATTGTCTTGTGTGTGTGTGTGTCTGAAAGTAGGACTTTTAACCATCAATAATAGGGCTTAAATGGGGATATGTATAACCAAACGTTCTACTTATTTGGGTGTCTGAAAATGTGGGATAAAAACAAAGCCAAAGCAATTCATCGCAAATACATGCAAATACATCCATGATAGTTTTAATCTCAATTCAAATGATTATCTCCCCTACACCTGGGAGATATTGGAGATGTAGTTGTGCCAATTCTCCATTGGTAATCGTTTGTGACGGTATGGATTGTTGACCTGCAGTTCTCTGCATTTCTATTGAACAATAGATACTCATGTCCAGCGGGCACTGTTCGTCGCATCGAAAATTGCAAATTTTCCACCATCATCAAGGAATTTGATGGCATCAGCCTGTGCGCTAGAATGCTCGTCTTGACAAAGGGATGTGTCCAATGTTCCAACCACACTGCCGCAGACCAAAACCACTGGGGAAAATTGTAATTACGGATGATTTCAGTAGAATGTATGTAGAGCAATGCATCAGATGGTATCACATGTCTTGTGGCTACCAGTAATTACAAATATAGGTGTATAGTTCTGTATGGAGACAATCAGAAGAACGAAGTATCAATTCTGACTGACGTAGATGTACTGACAGATTCCTCGAGCAAGGCAACATGTCCAAAAAAATGGCTCGTGCAATAGATCTGTGTCGCAAACATCACAATTCAGTAGACAGGAACGATTCAAATGTTGTTCACGGGGCTACATATTTTGAGTTTAGTCATTTTGAGCATCAACCCATATCAACCCTGGCAGACCAAAGCAGCCATGGCCATCTCTCTGCGCTGGACCTGGGAAGAAAGAAAGGAAGACTGCTTGTTCTAATGGCCCTGCTTACAGAGGTCGAAAAAGTTCGCGGTCCAGCAATATCTTTCAGGTTTTAGCCAGTTCTAGCCCCATTGAATCTTTCAATGGTTCTTATATGGTTCTTCAGCGGGTCTGTCTATGGGGATGTGGTTCCCACAGTGTTGTGCTGAAAACCTTGATGGCAAGCCGTGTCGTAACTCATGCCACAGGTTTAGCTCCAAACTCTTGCATTGTACGAGGATTTACGAGGGAAGTTCACATAAGTTAAAGCAATAAACATCAAGAAACATGTCTGAAACACATAGTTTTTCCATGCTGTCTAACATCGCCGAAGTGCCACAGCATCACGGTTGCTCTTGTCAAAGAAGTCGCTCTTTCCAGACCTCTCAGGATCCACGGCGTCCCTTCGGTACTTTCCTCAGAGAAAGCATGTGGCTGTGGAAAAAGAGCTACAACTTCTAGCCATTTGGGAATACAATGATAAATTACAATAAACTATGATAAACCGATCAACCACAGGTTTTGGGTTAAGGGGGTCCCCTATTTGAACATAGACCAATGTTGAAGCCACAGCCTGTGCTGTTTCATGTTTCAGCCTACGCAAAAGGTCATCTCTAACGCCAAAGTCCTCAACGCCGGCTCAGTGGCTTGCTCTTCCAAAAGAAACAATCACATTGGCAGGAATCACATGGAATCACACATGATTTTCCGGGATTTTCCCTCTGCTGACCAGAAATCATGGAATGGCACGAGACAATGACTTCGGCAAGTTGCCAACATTGAAGGTCTGCGTGCGATTGCCCGTCCATTTCAGGAACCGCTCTACCTGCAAACCCAATGATCCCATTGGTGAAGAGGAGCATTGAATCATCATCTCAGGCCACTGAGTCATTAAGCCATCATCAATCCATTTATCAATGACCAAACGGATGATTTTCCTTGATGATCCATAAAAAGTATCCCTTGATCATCGTCCCATTGGTAGCGCGGTAGATCATCCAATCCCAATGACACGGCCTTTCTGGAAATAAATGACTTTCCTCGGGCAGGAAGCCCAACCATGGCCACGATCTCAGTGGGCAAGCCACGCGTTTGGTTGACATATTGGTTTATGACTCCATGTCATTTGAGAATAGGGAGTTCATGGGGATTCATGGGATATCATGATTATAATGGGGATATAGACGGATATAAGGAGATGAACAAGGAGATATATAAGCAACATTAACCAACTGAATATGATACATGATTGGCTGTGTCTGAACATGGGGAATTTGACCATCAACAATAGACACTCAATGAGGATACGATGGGACAATGGGACAATGTCACCAACCATGAAAAAATTGGAGTGACTGAACATGGGATATATATACCCACCCCTAACCCCTAATATGGCAATCTTAAATGAGGAGATAGATCAAACAAGACCTGTGATTTTCCATAGCGGGGAAGAACCAGCGAGCTTTAGGTCTTCACCAAACACAAACTCTGCTTTGCCATGGCGAATTAGGCTATAGCGTATAATTACCCCCATATACCCCCATAATATGGCCATGTTTAAGCACTTGTTATATAGTTTAAAAGGTAAAATGAAGATTGACCAGTCGGAAAATGGGGAACCCCCCGCTATTCTCAGTGAAATCCATATCACAAGAGGCAGATGTCAATCCCGCCGAGTGGATGTTCATCCCCCAAAGGAATATGCAAGTGTCAGCGGCTCTTATTGCAGGCATGGATCCATATATATATATAATATAATATATATAATATATATATATATATAATATATATATATATATAATATATATATATATAATATATATATATATATATATAATATATATATATATATAATATGTATATATAATATATATAATATAATATATATATATATATTATATATATATAATATATATATATATAATAATATATATTTCAGTAGCAACACATGTTCAGCATAAAATGTCCACTTTGAGTCGTCTGGAGCTTCTGCACTTCTTTTCTGGTTGGCAAGCACAAATCTTAATCGTGCGGATAGTGACAAATCCAGTGTAAATGGCTGAGAAATCCTGAATATCATTGAATCATGAGACAAACCCAAATATATATATAATATTATTATTTTGGGTTTATTATATATTGAATTCCATAATAATGATATAATAATAATAACCATAACCATATAATTAATGATTCATCCTCAAATGGTAGGTTTATTATTGGGTTGCCAACATTCTCATTGCTGGATTCTCGCCAAGGTGACATGTAAAAAACTGCGACATGTCATCCTGCAGAGGATGTTAATGGGTCCACCATTCCCGAGCGATTCACGGAAATGGGGTTGGATGCTGAATTATGTCTGGTACTCAAGTTTGTTGTACATTTTTATATGTTATATATATATATATATTACACAATATATCACAATATATAGTATTACAACCATGCACTTACTGTAATCGTCATTTTAAGCCATATTCAATTGATGCAGCTGTTGTCCCCGACTTCGGCCACCGGACAAGGCCACTTGCATTGGGCGTGAGCTGCTCACGCAAAAGCCTTAGTTTCTTTGGCATAGTATATGGATGTATGCATATGGTATCATTATTGCGAGGGAAGTCAAACCGCTTCCTTTTTCATACAATATTGATAGGAACACATGGTTCTACTGCATACAATATTCTACAATATCATACAATCATATCTGTTACACAATAATATACAACACATGGCAAACCAGAAAGCAAGGGAAGTGACAATCAAGATCATTCAAGGTGGAATATGTTTTTCAGAAGATTTCATAACATGGGAGACAAGGTAACCTGGTAACCTATCGAGTGTCCACACTGGCGATCTGATTGGATCTTCGAACCAATTTCAGCGGAACCGTTGTAGTACCTGTGGCTGCGAACCATCTGACTTGCGACTTCCAGCATTTCAGACAGGGAGGATCCCAAGCACAGTAAAGCAGCGCAGCTTTCCCTAAAATCTGACCAGCCTGCTGCCACAATCCAGAAAAAAAAACATATTTATCCATATTTGGCCCCTTTCAATTCAAGATATATAAAGAAAATGTGAAGAATTCCGACACATTCGACTTTCTTGGAAACGTACAGCAACCCTCACTTCTCAGTATACCCAGAACCCACTCTGCCCTGCGCACGCATCTCCACCTTCAGTTTCCAGCAATGAAGCACAACGAAAAACAAACATATTCATGTGTCTACGCGATCAATGGCCCAAATAGTCCCAATAACTATGATCCCTACTTCTCTCTCTCTCTCTCTCTGTGTTTCTGCTGCAACGTGGTGAAACTGATGAAAGCGGTGCCTGTGGTCATTCACCTGATGCAAAGCAAGGCAAAAGTGGTAAAGGTCACTGGAAGATGCTGGAAGCACGTGGCTATGGATCAAAATTGAGGTTTAAAAGATTGTGTTCCAGTGGACCCACCATGGAGGTGCAACAAGCCTTTGCCCTCGGTGACATTGCATCAACACCGTTTCTGCTGATTTGTTTTAGCTACGCACAACCAAAATGAGAGCACAAGAAAACTCATCATCTTGCAGTATCTTGGAAATATACCATAGAAATTCCAAATGACCACAAAATGGGGAAGCCTTGCCGAGCTTCAAGAAACCCTTTGATACTATTCACAGCCAGGAAGAGAAGGCTAAGGCAGTATGGCATGATTTGCCCAAAACTGTGCTCATGCAAACCCGACCTTGTGCCACTTTGGACCCAAAGGAAATTGTGGACGCTATATCTGCGAAACAGCGGTTGGAAGATTTGATGCTGTTGAATGATGTTGAATGTATGTTGAAGGTCTGTTCCCAGCAACCATGCATTTAGTCACGTTGTACAGGCATCTGCAGGTAATTATCAGTTCGATTTAATCTGGATCGACTTGGGTCTTTTGGATTTCGCGTCACTTTGTCATCATTTACTATATTATTTGAGTGACACCCCTCAGTGCATCAGGCATTCTGTACGCTGTGGCGCTCGCACACCTAGGTTCTTGATCTGAGATCTGGAGGCATAGGTTTGACTGTGCAGAAACAATCAGGAACACATCGAAAACATGGTGTGTTTTTAAATCCGGAACCCCAAATAAGCCCAAAATGGTGTTTTTGCTGAGCAAATAGTTTTGGGGTCCAACAAGTTTAAGACAACCCCACATGAAAGAAACATGAGAGCACTTCTGAGGTTCATCATGTTTCATCGAAATGTGACTTGATTTTTTACCCTACAGCGACCATCCGACACTATTTTGCTGGCCGGCTTTGAGCTTAGCGGAAACAAATCATCGGATACGAGCTACTTGCGATCAACGACGATGCTGATCGCTGAATGAGGCAGGCTGAGTCTCATCCTATGATATCCTATGTACATCTCACTTCACATGATCAACCCATTGACTAGGAGACAGGTGAGATTACAAGCAGTAGCAAATCGCTGGAACGGTTGGAGCAATGAGGTCTCACACAGAGTTGATCATTGTGTCAAAGCGGGTCTCGCATTGAGGTTCACAAATAATTTGCTATGGGTCAATATGACCAATATCATATTCAAATATATTCCATCTGTACATAATGCATCTACATAACATCACATAACCACGATATAGCAACGGGGTCTTCCTCTTGCGAATCATCATTCACCAATGCAGCACTTTAAAGAATTGGTTTTGCCTCGGAAGATGGGCTCGATATTCCTCGAACTTGCAAAAGGCTTGGGCAAGCTGTGTGATGACAATCGAAACAGCAAGTTTTTTTGTTTTTTTAGTGTGACGGTCCTGATCCTTCCTATCCTTCCTGCTTCTTGGATGCAACCCACCGACCCCTATTCCTCCTGCAGGAAACCACTTTTTCCTCAGAAGGGACCTATCGTATATCCGACTGGATCGTCGATTCAGAAAGGCTCTGGCCACTTGTACTTTGATAATGATATGTTAAATATATACTGACTCTTGTAGATTAAGTGGGAGGGTCATATAGGTCCCCATTATATAGATCTAAAACGGTGGTCTACAACCCTCCCCCAACAGGACCCTCCATAAAATGGGAATCCGAGATCTGACCCCCACCTCAAGATGCTCTTGTCTGGGGCATGTTGTCCCTCCCCATTGTTATACAAATGTGATATAATATGATAACATACACTATAATGTTGTTTTTCTTGCATGGACAATAGATAGGTTCACCTTGACCAATTACTTAGCTCTTCTTGCATGGTGTCACACTAATATACCAAAAGGGACAAACCATCAACCTGCATAAACACACAAACAAACGATGGAAATGAAGGAATCGGGCTGTCCTCGAAATTCAGCTGTTGGGTTGTACATCCTCAGCAGCTGAAGAGTTGTTTGGCTCAGGGCCATGGAAAATCTTGAAGTTGAAATGTTGAATCATCTCAGTCAACTGATGTCAACTGTATCCAGAATTTGCTGTGAACCACGAAAAAAAATATAGAAAACACATGAACAACAACGTCCGACTGAGGCAATCCTGAAGTGCGGCACTGAAGGCTTATCTTGTCCACTTGTTTCAGAAAGTCTAAACATCATATTGAATCACACTGTACACTGTAATACCGTATTATAATATCTTAAATATATACAGTATAGATAATATATGATCATATAATATGTATAAAGAATATATATATATAAATGAATATAAATGTATATATATAAAGTAAATAAACAAATAAAAATGAATATATATATATATATTATAATTATATATGAAGTATATAATTTATATTATAAATATACATATATAATATATACTTGATTATATATGTGGGTGTGTCCAGTTAATGAATCTCTCCATTCTAGTCCTTGAGACTCTTGCGCGTTTATGGGCTGTCCAGCTAGGCTCTTTCCACGGAACGTCTGGGAACTCGGACAACGAAGACAAAGTATGTGCCTTCGCCACACTCGCTGCCATATAAGTCAAGGATGCCATTGCCAACTGCCTCGGTGGCTCTAACCCATCCACAGATCAAGAAAGTTAAACACATAGATAATCTATTATAACAAATACTAGTACTAGTAGTAGTCAACTGGCAATCATTTGGGGAAGAACATTCTTATTTTGAATGATCATGAATGCTGTAGGGATGGAAATTAACAACGAATTGATCTATAGACACTTTTGCTGATCACCCGCACCGGTTTGGGCTGGCCTTCTGGAAGACTGGGCCCGAATAGGGTCCGTTGGGAATGCCAGTGCTGACGGTGCTCTCCATGCTAGAGGGCTCCCAAGCACCTGGCAAAACGGTGGATATGCCGCTATGCCCATGCTGGAAGCAGTTCAATCCTCTTGATTCACGTGGCATCACTTGGATTATATAAAATGATTGAAATGATTGAAATATATTGCTGGGGGAACACAAAAATGTTGGCCCACTTTTAGTACAGCGAACGATCCCATGTTAGCTCATGTAGATCTTGATATATACAGAATGTTTTGGTTGCCTAGTGGGATGTCACGGGAATCACTCGGTCTACAAACGCAAGGACGCAGTCTTGACCGTGCCGAAACATGTAGGCCCGACTCAGAAATAGAGCACACACACGTACACACTCCGGCAATGATGATAAAGACATACTGTAGCGCTGAGATCCACAAACATCGCAAGATATCTTAGACATCTGATAATTATCTTGGAATCTTAGGAGACCGTTTTCACCCAAAACAGCTTGTCAGTCCGGTGTCTCCGCCTTGATCCAGCCAGGGTCGAGCGCAAAGCACGTGAAATTCGCTGCGAAAGTTCAAGTACACGACAACCTTGGTGCTTTCAGTGGTGCAACTGCAAGACATGATTTCCATCTTCAAGCTTCAAAGATCCACCATGGCACATCACAACTCTGAAAAATCTACATTCCTGTGAATGGTTCAGTACTTTTTTTCCCTTTTTGCCATCTGCCCATCTGTTTCACGACACGCCCAGCAATGCGTTGTGGTAAGCCGCAAGACCTGACCCTTGATCCTCGTCCTCATCCCCCACATCCGCCAGGTGTGGATCAGCATCTACCGCATCTACCGCACTGCGCCGCTGGCGCCGCCGCTGATGCTTCCAGGGCCGTTCCACGGATGGTTCCGCGGCCTCTGCGGCCTCTGCGGCCTCAGGTTGGGAGGCTTCAGCGTCCGCGGGACGCTTCTCGGGGGACGAGGGATCCACTGGTGCTGGCGGAACCGGTGGAACCGGTGGAGGCACCATGGAGGAGGCCATCATGGCGTGGCGTTGCGCCTCAAGCGCCACGCGGGCAGTGCTATTCGTGGAAGGATCGGCTCGTGCAATGCCTGCTAGCTGCTCATTTCGCTGTTGGGACTGCTGCAATAAACCTTGCATCTGAATCAGGACCTGCATGAGCTCCTTGTTCTCCCTCTCTAATCTTTCCATTCGGCTCATGACCATCTGGAAAGCCTCCAGCGTCCTTCCGGACAGGCCGGCCATGGCCTCAGCTGGTGTGAGCTCATGATCAAAGTCCATGGTGGCTTTGGCGTCCTTTGCGGGAGCTGCTTGTTTTCGAGGCACTTGTGGCATGGGTCGATTGATCTGCAGCTGCGGCTTTGTTGCAGCCTTGGGCTTTTTCTGGGCAGGTCTTCCTAGGGTTTTGGACTTAAAGTCCTCAAAGGCCACTAATCTGCCCCAGGGTTGCCGCAAAGCATTCTTTTGCTTTGGATGGACTAGATATCTGTCATGGAGGAAAGTGAAGCACATCCTCAAGTTCTCCTGTTCTCGGAACTGTACAGCGACTGAAACCATGGGTTCTCGTCCAGTATCGCCAGGAATTTTCTTGAAGAAGACTTCAGCCACCTTCACAGCCCCCCAGGACTTCAAGAAACCCATCCAGAAGCTTCCTGGGTACAAACCAATGCTAGCACTCTTGGCTCGAAACTCTGGGTCCGAGATGATCCAAATCTGTGGCAATTCCAGGACCAAGGCATCACAAGCCTCACTCTCTTTCAGGCGGGATGTCAAGGAATTGATCCGCTCCGGATCCAAGTCATTTGATGTTTCCAAGACATCAACAACGGTAGCTGACAAGGACTCTTTTTCATATTTTTCCACCTGCTTCTGCGTCCCCACCTTGAGACCCTCCGGCAACTCGCCATTGATGGCCACGACAACCTCCCTCGCATTGACTGCAGCATCAATGCGATCTCGGCAGTCATCGAATCGGATAAATAGATCCTTGAAACCGAGTGAGTCTCGTAGAATTTTCTCAACCTCCGCAACTGGAATCTTGTATGGATTCACAACTGAAACATCATGAGGGCTCGCCAAGCGAACACGCACCCGGAGTGGGCAGAAAATCGATGGAAATTGACTGCGCTTGGGAAGAACCCACCTGCCTTCTTTGGTAAAGTGACTCTTTTCATCGTAGGTCACCTGTGGCACAATGCATGCCATGTCTGTGCCGTTTTCGGCATCAGCTTCTGTGTTTTCCTCCGCCGGTTCAGCCGCAGTTTCGGCCACTTCAGCAACTGGCTCACTGGGCTGTGCTTTCTCACTCTCATCAGCTTGGGCAGCTTGGGCAGCTTCAGGTGCAGAGGTTGCAGTCACATCAACCGCTGGAGCTGCTTCAGCTCCAGGTTTCTCAGCTTCCGGAGCTTCTGGAGCTTGCGGAGCTTCCGGAGCTTCAGCTGTCTTTTGCGCCGCCTCAGTGGCCTCAGTGTCTGCGGTGTCTTCAGTCACCATCTGCTGCAGCTGCTGAAGCTGCTGCAGCTGAATCTTCAAGGATTCATCCTCATCCTCAGCCTCCATGGCGGCTGGGCCCCAGCTACACTTGGCGTTGGTCAGCTGACAATAACCAAGGACCTGTCAGTGATCTCTGCGAAAAAGTTCTGTATACCAATTTCAAGAACATATCTATCTGCCTGTGGAAGCCAATAGGCAACATACCATTAAGATCATTGAATATAGTGAATGAGTATGCGTGTGGGTAGACCTCCGGAGTACAGACAACCCTGTTCTTGATTCTTATCCTGACACACGCAATCCAGAAGTATCAGAAGTGCTTAAACTGACTGACTGCAGACATGTGCTTATTTATTCCGCTGCTCACATCCCACAAATTACATGTTGAGATTACATCCATGTTTGAGTCTGTTTGCTGAGCACCCATTCCTGTCAAGCGATTGAGCCAGTCGGCAATTGCAGTCAAAACAGCTGTTGCCGGTGTAGCCTGGTGGTTGATCAGTCTCTCCCTGCACAGAGTCCTACTGCTGTAGCGGCTGTTGAGGCGTGACGGCGCAAGAAATGTGGTGACCAAAACCGCAGTCTTGCAGAATCCATGGGAGATCAAGTGGGTACAGATCACAACCCAAGAATATCGTGTAGTTCATATCAAAATGTATCGTTGGTAAACAATTGATGCTCATCACATCACATCATATCATCAAACAATCGCGCGAAGCGATTCTGTGTGTGTGTTCATCTCCCAGTCACAGCACCATAGGTTTTGACCCCATCGCAGCGTCGAGCCACTGGCATCCGTACGTTCAGGCGCCACATTGTCTCATCAGATCTGGTGGCCTCGCTGCCACGGACATCGATAGACTATGCTGCATAGCATACTATATATATATATATATTTTTTTGATATTATATTATAATATCGTATAACAACATATAACAACATATAACAATATATGACAACAAAAAACAATATATAACACCATATAACAACATATAACAACATATAACAACACCATATAACAACATATAACAATATATAACGACATATAACAGCATATAACAACATCTAACAGCATAAAACAACATATAACAGCATAAAACAACATAAAACACCATAAAACACCATATAACACCATATAACAACATATAACAACATATAACGACATATAACAACATTTAACAACATATAACAGCATATAACAACATATAACAGCATATAACAACATATAACAATATATAACGACATAAAACAACATATAACAACACATAGCAACATATAACAACATATAACAACATATAACAACATATAACGACATAAAACGACATAAACACCATATAACACCATATAACAACATATAACAACATATAACAACAAATAACAACATAAAACGACATAAAACACCATATAACACCATATAACAACATATAACAATATATAACGACATAAAACAACATATAACAACACATAACAACATATAACAGCATAAAACACCATTTAACACCATATAACAACATATAACACCATATAGCAACATATAACAACATATAACAGCATAAAACAACATAAAACAGCATAAAACAACATAAAACACCATATAACACCATATAACAACATATAACAATATATAACGACATATAACAGCATATAACAACATCTAACAGCATAAAACAACATATAACAGCATAAAACAACATAAAACACCATATAACACCATATAACACCATATAACAACATATAACAGCATATAACAACATATAACAACATATAACAGCATATAACAGCATATAACAGCATATAACAACATATAACAACATATAACAATATATAACGACATATAACAATTTATAACAACACATAACAACATAGAACAACATATAACAGCATAAAACAACATAAAACACCATATAACAACATATAACAACATATAACAATATATAACAGCATAAAACAACATATAACAACATATAACGACATAAAACAACATATAACAACACATAACAACATATAACGACATAAACCAACATATAACAGCATATAACAGCATGTAACAGCATACAACAACATATAACAACATATAACAACATATAACAACACATAACAACATATAACAACATATAACAACATATAACAACATATAACAACATATAACAACATATAACAACATATAACAGCATAAACCGACATAAAACACCATATAACGACATAAAACAAAATATAACAACACATAACAACATATAACAACATATAACAATATATAACGACAAAAAACAACATATAACAACACATAACAACATATAACGACATATAACAACATATAACAACATAAAACAACATATAACGACATAAAACGACATATAACAGCATAAAACAACATAAAACAGCATAAAACAACATAAAACACCATATAACACCATATAACAACATATAACAACATATCACAACAAATAACAACATATAACAGCATATAACAGCATATATTAATATATAACGACATAAAACAACATATAACAACACATAACAACATATAACAACATATAACAGCATATACAGCATATAACAACATATAACAACATATAACAATATATAACGACATATAACAACATATAACAACACATAACAACATATAACAGCATAAAACACCATTTAACACCATATAACAACATATAACACCATATAGCAACATATAACAACATATAACAGCATAAAACAACATAAAACAGCATAAAACAACATAAAACACCATATAACACCATATAACAACATATAACAATATATAACGACATATAACAGCATATAACAACATCTAACAGCATAAAACAACATATAACAGCATAAAACAACATAAAACACCATATAACACCATATAACACCATATAACAACATACAACAACATATAACAACATATAACAACATATAACAGCATATAACAGCATATAACAGCATATAACAACATATAACAACATATAACAATATATAACGACATATAACAACACCATATAACAACATATAACAATATATAACGACATATAACAGCATATAACAACATCTAACAGCATAAAACAACATATAACAGCATAAAACAACATAAAACACCATAAAACACCATATAACACCATATAACAACATATAACAACATATAACGACATATAACGACATATAACAACATATAACAGCATATAACAACATATAACAGCATATAACAACATATAACAATATATAACGACATAAAACAACACATAACAACATATAACAACATATAACAACATATAACAACATATAACAACATATAACGACATAAAACGACATATAACACCATATAACACCATAAACCGACATAAAACACCATATAACGACATAAAACAACATATAACAACACATAACAACATATAACAACACATAACAACATATAACAACATATAACAACAGATAACAACATATAACAACACATAACAACATATAACAATATATAACGACATAAAACAACATATAACAACACATAACAACATATAACAACATATAACAACACATAACAACATATAACAACATATAACAACATATAACAACATATAACAGCATAAAACGACATAAAACACCATATAACAACATATAACAACATATAACAATATACAACGACATACAACAACATATAACAACACAAAACAACATATAACAACACATAACAACATATAACACCATATAACAACATATAACAACATAAAACAACATATAACAGCATACAACGACATATAACAACATATAACAGCATAAAACACCATAAAACACCATATAACAACATATAGCAACATATAACAACACATAACAACATATAACAACATATAACAACATATAACAACATATAACAACACATAACAACAAATAACAACATATAACAACATATAACAACACATAACAACATATAACAACATATAACAACATATAACAACATATAACAACATATAACAACATATAACAACATATAACAACACATAACAACATATAACAACATATAACAACATATAACAACACATAACAACATATAACAACATATAACATACAAGATCATATAACAGTTTTGCTCCTTTCGGACAGCTCCAAGTACTGTCTATGGGATCATCCCAATCACCTCCGTCTCACTTGGGGGAACATGCCATGTCCACATCCCTTATGGAAATGAAAATGTTCATGAAATAAACATAATATATTATAATGAAATATGAATATAGAGATTCAATGTTCGTTTAGGTCACTGCGAACTGCACGAAGGTCCCATGAGGCCTTGTCATCATTGCTGGTCATGATGTATCTCATTGACGGCTTCTCGCTGAAACCACCCAAAGAGAGGAAGCGGTAACCACGATCCTTGCCACATGTCGAGCAGAAAGTACATCACCGAGGGAAATAAACAAACAGCGTAATCCTCATATACTACAGCGCATTTGCAGGTTGAATTATGATGAAGTTGGTAAGGTTGTGACGGCAAAAAACAGCACAAGGGATCAAGAAAATATGTAGCGGTCGCTTCCGGCCAAACAAATACAAAGATCAAAACAAGTTGTTAAAGAAAAAAACAAAAACAGTAAATAATGGCGGATACTGGCTGATACTTTTGATTCCTGAGATTTCTTAAACGCTCAGTGTCACTACTGCTAGCCAGAGTACAAAGTGGCATTTTTCCCCTCGTGTAGGTACATCCATCAGCTTGATCTCACGTCCAGTTTTGGCCTCGCGAACAGCACTGGGACAAGGTGCCAGGGGTTCAAGCAATGTCTACTGTTTAATGCAATGGAATAGAAAGGTAAGTAGTTTTTTGCCCCGGCTTTTGCAGTAACCACAATTTCCGTTGCTCATACATGTATATATATATATATACATATATATATAACACTATATAACTATATATATATATAATATATCAATCAATATCACCTGCATTTAGTCACAGACCTCCTCTTACAACGCAGTACTTACATCGTTTTTGAAGGTGGACCCTCATCAGTTTGGATTAAGGATTCATGAGTGTAGCGAGTTACAACTGCTAAATATGGTGATTCATCTTGGCACTTGCTTCCTGGCCCCCTTTTCTCCGTTTGAAAATGGCAAGGATTTGGCAAACCAACAGGGCAAATAATTGCCCTAAATCCAAAATGATTTGAACATCAAACTCCAATCAAGCTGCATTCACATTGGTATGTGTATATATATATATATGTGTGTGGTCGGTGATATTTTATCAGCATGTCAATGAACAAACTGGGTAAATCAAAGTTGGATGATGGGAACCTACATCATCCTACATCATCATTTAATAATACATATATATATATATAGATATAGTATCATATATATATATAATATAATGATTTACCGTATACATAACATAATATTATATATATATATGAATATGATATGGCAATCATCGCAGGGATTCAACTGTTCAGCACACCATGCAGGCCTGCACAGTGACAGCAGGGCCATGAAGCTTCAAGAAGGTCAACTCCTGTCAGCGACAAAGGCAATCTACCAGCGACAGTCAGCTAGTCATAGGGACCATCACCATCTCGAGGGGATGGGGGGACCACCAAAGACTGGGCCATATATATATATATATACATATACAATATATAAAAACATATGGTATTGTATATGAGGTGTTCTATATGATGATACACTAACTTATAGTAAATATGCTGATATATATAAATTTTCTGTGGTGATGTATGACCAACTATGGTGATATATGATCAATTATGGTTGTGCAAAAAATATGTATAATATTGATGTATTACTGTATTCATGATGTCCTAAACCCTGGGGGCCAATCATCCCAAATCTGAGGATAGGGCCATGGTGCCTTCATGGTCATGCGATGGAGCCAAGTAACCTCCTTGGCACGACCCCAAATTCCAAGGAGAGGCCGAGCTGCCAACATAAGTAAACTATATATATTAAATTATAGCATCTCTACAAACTCCACTAACAGCCAAGCAGGGACACATTCCGCCCTACCTGACCTACCAGCAACTAGGGACAAGGAGAACATGCAACTCCAACCCTTTAACTTTAACTAATACACAAGCAGCTCACTATCCATCATGAACGAGAGCGACCATGGCGAAAACACCATCGCGGGCTTGGCCACGCAACCCACACTCTATCACAAGCAAGAGGAGCAAGCACCATGCGCGCATGGAAAAAATACTTCTCCACTGGTCGTTGGGTCTGAATGCCAAACTTCCCATTGAGGTTGTTTAATTGCACGGCATGGCGCGCAAGCTCTTCCAAACTGCTTTGATCCAAGCTCCACTGCTGCATGATAGAAGGCGCTGGACGTGTTCACTGTAGAGTTCCTAAGGTCGGGCTCTACTTCCTTGTCCTTTTCTATGTCTGAATGTCTGAATCTATATTTGCTTCAGATTCTGAAGAGGATGAAGACGAAGAGTCCTCATCATCAGACACCTCAGTTTCTGCATCCGATGCAAGGTCCCTGTCTCTTGACCTGGCAGGTATCAAACCTGACAAGAATCTGCCTTCCAATGGCTCCAGAAGAGCGGCTAAGGCCGTTTCCGCCACAAGATGCTGCGCACCCCAGCTCTGTGGTGCCAGAGGAACCCGACCACCACGAATAGCTTGTAAGACACGTAACTGCGCACGAAGAGCGGGAAGAACATCATCACACGAATATTTGGTTACCAGCTTGCTGCCAGAATCAAATGAGCGATGGTGGCCCCACAAGCGTCGCTCGTGCACATCCACATCTAATTGCAAACCCCAAGATAGACCTGTTGTTTTCAAGCTGTACAGCGTGTAACTGCTGGCCTGAGCAGAAGGGACTCCACCTACTTATGCCTGGAGACGCCGAAAAGAAAGAACAACAAACAGGCAAGCGTGTTGGAAAGCACTACCTCTCAGGGGAAAGAGAGATGAACAACCACTAGCCCAACCAGGATTGCCACTGGCTGCAAAGCAAATTCAACCAACTCATGAAGCAACATCAGAGTAGAATCCGACAAACCAACATAGCATGCAAAGTGAAGTTTGAGAGAGTGGTGTTCATGCGTGCAAGCCCTCATGAAAACAGCACGTAACCCCCAAAAAGATTATGTTCTTAAAAATAAAACAAGGCCCTACAAATTTGACAATGATTTATGTACAAGATACACTTCTTTCTTTTTGAGGATAACAATGTCATTGGGCCATGTGTTCTTGCCTTTGACTTGGTCATCCACGTTTTCTTTTTGACTATGCTGTGTTGTCTGAAAATGTGGTAGCCCTGATTCCAAAGAATTATCAATGATTGACATTGTCTTCTTTCCCGTTTGGCCATTTTGGGGTATACGGTATACCACATTTTTGGACACACCCACATTGCATAGTTGCTTCATTTGGTTCAACTTTGTCAGCGGAACCAAACCCCCAGACCAATCCCATCCCCCTAATATCAAAATCTATCATATACATGTACAATACATTGTCCAAATATGTGGTTTCATGTTTCATCCCCTCTTTAATACCATGGTTTCTGGGATTACCAACAGCCCTTAAAAAAGGGCTTCCAAGCGACACGTCCCAAGGTCCCAAGGTCCCAAGGCTCCCAGAAAGGCACTGTGCTTGAGGACGGTGGTGCCGACGCAGAGTTGCACCAATTCGACTTCCATGTCCAACGCAGCACCTCAAAGCAGGGAGCTTGAAGAAACATCGGCATCAGCACATGATATATCTATGTGTATATATATATATATGTATATTTATTTATTTATTTATGCATGTAATTAGTATAATGTAATGTAATGTAAAAGTAACGTATGTATATATCGATGTATGTAAATATCGATGTATGTGTGTATGTATGTCTGTATGTCTGTATGTCTGTATGTCTGTATGTCTGTATGTCATGTAATGTCATGTACATGTAATGTACATGTAATGTACATGTAATGTACATGTAATGTAAATGTAATGTAAATGTAATGTAAATGTAATGTAAATGTAATGTAAATGTAATGTAAATGTAATGTAAATTTAATGTAAATGTAATGTAAATGTAATGTAAATTGTAATGTAAATGTAATGTAAATGTAATGTAAATGTAATGTAAATGTAATGTAAATGTATTGTAAATGTGATGTAAATGTAATGTAAATGTAATGTAAATGTAATGCAAATGTAATGTAAATGTAATGTAAATGTAATGTAAATGTAATGTAAATGTAATGTAAATGTAATGTAAATGTAATGTAAATGTAATGTAAATGTAATGTAAATGTAATGTAAACGTAATGTAAATGTAATGTAAATGCAATGTAAATGTAATGTAAATGTAATGTAAATGTAATGTAAATGTAATGTAAATGTAATGTAAATGTAATGTAAATGTAATATATATATATATCTACACAAATAGTATCTATCTATCTATCTATCTATCTATCTATCCATCCATCCATCTAGCTACAAACATACATACATACATGCATTCATTCATTTATGTCATTCATTCATTACATTGCATTGCATTACATTACATACATTCATGCATTCTTTCTTGCTTAGATTTCATGTCATTTCATTTCATTTCCTTTCATTTCATTTCATTCATTTAATTCATTACATTCATTACATTCATTACATTCATTACATTACATTCCATTACATAACTTAACTTACATGCATACATACATGCATACATAAGTTACATTACAATAATACATACATACATACATTACATTACATTACATTACATTACACTACATTACATTACATTACATACATACATTACATTACATACATACATTACATTACATACATACATACATACATACTAACATAACATAACATAACATAACATAACATAACATAACATACATACATACATACATACTAACATACTAACATAACATAACATAACATAAAATAACACCACATTACATTACATTACATTACATTACCATACATTACCGTACATACATTACATACATTACATTACATTTACATTACATTTACATTACATTACATTACATTTCATTACATTACATTACATTACATTACCATACATTACCATACATTACCATACATTATACATTACATACATTACATACATTACATACATTACATACATGACATCCACTACATCCATTACATCCATTACATCCATTACATCCATTACATCCATTACATCCACTACATCCATTACATCCATTACATCCATACATCCATACATCCATACATCCATACATCCATACATCCGTCCATCCATCCATCCATCCATCCATATTGCGTATAATTTATGCTGTTTCTGCTCTCACTTTCCATTCCAAGGCTATTCTGCCTAATTGACTTCTTGTTCTCATTTTTAAAATACCAGTCTGCCATATTTCAGATCCTCATCAGTGAAACGCTGCAAGCACACATAATTTTGTCTCAAAATGGGAACATCAAATGATCACCAGCCAGATAAACCATCAGATTGAACAGAGCACAAGTTTTTCAGACAAACACCAGATTGAACAAGCCCTCAAAAGACACTTCCTGGTTGGTGGTTTCAACCCCTCTGAAAAATATTAGTCAGTTGGGATGATGATTTGCAATCTATGGAAAAATAAACTTCATGTTCCAAACCACCAACCAGCTTCAAACAAGAGGCGAATTTGTTGCACCAACTTCTGAATCGGAGTCCGTGACCGGGCGTTGCACTCCTGGCGGTTGACAAATCACCAAGGTGCGAATTGGATGCGAAACCAAAGAGCTTTGTCTCAACATGGAGGTTACAACAAATTATGAGGATATGACATGGCGAAAAGATGGGAAAAGGATGAAATACGATGAACATACATGATAAATCATGAAAAGGCATCAAATTTTTGGGGGCACAAACCATCACAAGGTGCCAAGATCCTCGAGCACAACCTCGCCACTGATGCCTGCGTGCAGCAAAAAACTTCTTACCATCTGGGTACTTAACGTAGCGAACTGGAGAATCACCATTTTTTAATAGGGAAATCATGGGAAATCATCATGAAACAATATCAAATAAATATCAAACATCTATAGATTCTATAGCCATAGCTATGTAACTGGGCCATTTTCCATAGCTATGTTTATATAATAACCAAAGGGTATTCCTTTGTGAAAGCCAGAGGGCGCCTCGTACGACCAAGTCCACAGATTCCACTCCAGCTTCATCCCACTGGTCCTGAGATATCGTGGTCAGATGTGGTCAGCCAGGTGCAGGCAAAAGAAAAGAATACATAGTATTCATATAGTATGCATATAGTATTCATATAGTATTCATATAGTATTCATATTATAGTATTCACATTAAAGTATTCATATTATAGTATTCATATTATAGTATTCATATTATAGTATTCATATTATAGTATTCATATTATAGTATTCATATTATAGTATTCATATTATAGTATTCATATTATAGTATTCATCTAGTATTCATCTAGTATTCATCTAGTCTTCATCTAGTCTTCATCTAGTATTCATCTAGTATTCATCTAGTATTCATCTAGTATTCATCTAGTATTCATCTAGTATTCACCTAGTATTCACCTAGTATTCACCTAGTATTCATCTAGTAGTATTCATCTAGTATTCATCTAGTATTCATCTAGTATTCATCTAGTATTCATCTAGTAGTCATCTAGTATTCATCTAGTATTCATCTAGTAGTCATCTAGTATTCATCTAGTATTCATCTAGTATTCATCTAGAATTCATTTAGTATTCATCTAGTATTCATCTAGTATTCATCTAGTATCCATCTAGTATTCATCTAGTATTCATCTAGTATTCATCTAGTATCCATCTAGTATTCATCTAGTATTCATCTAGTATTCATCTAGTATTCATCTAGTATTCATCTAGTATTCATCTAGTATTCATCTAGTATTCACCTAGTATTCATCCAGCATTCATCTAGTATTCACCTAGTATTCACCTAGTATTCACCTAGTATTCACCTAGTATTCACCTAGTATTCACCCAGTATTCACCTAGTATTCATCTAGTATTCATCTAGTCGTCATCTAGTCTTCATCTAGTCTTCATCTAGTATTCATCTAGTCTTCATCTAGTATTCATCTAGTATTCATCTAGTATTCATCTAGTATTCATCTAGTATTCATCTAGTATTCACCTAGTATTCACCTAGTATTCACCTAGTATTCATCTAGTAGTATTCATCTAGTATTCATCTAGTATTCATCTAGTATTCATCTAGTATTCATCTAGTGTTCATCTAGTGTTCATCTAGTATTCATCTAGTATTCATCTAGTATTCATCTAGTATTCATATAGTATTCATATAGTATTCATATAGTATTCATATAGTATTCATATAGTATTCATATAGTATTCATATAGAATTCATTTAGTATTCACATAGTATTCATATAGTATTCATATAGAATTCATATAGTATTCATATAGTATTCATATAGAATTCATATAGTATTCATATAGAATTCATATAGTATTCATATAGAATTCATATAGAATTCATATAGCATTCATATAGTATTCATATGGTATTCATATAGTATTCATATAGTATTCATATAGAATTCATATAGTATTCATATAGAATTCATATAGTATTCATATAGTATGCATATAGTATTCATATAGTATTCATATTATAGTATTCACATTAAAGTATTCATATTATAGTATTCATATTATAGTATTCATATTATAGTATTCATATTATAGTATTCATATAGCATTCATATATCATATAGCTATATGATGCTAATTGATGCCATATGTAGCTATCATGGAAGCCTCACCCAAGTTTGATTGGACGCTAATTGTGTTGGGTTTGACCCAGTCTCCTGCAAGGCAGGCTTGGGTCTGCATACCTGGCAGCTGAAAAGCAATTGATAGAGGACCAGTGACTAGAATAACTACTAATGACTACAAAAACAAAAAACCTTTCTGAGACACATTTTACCAAGTCATGCCACGGCATGTCAAGACAAAGCAAGAAAGAGCCAAGGCTCTTTCATCAAATACAATGATTTCACACATGCAACAACATCCCAGCATTTCAAGCAGTGGATACCAAAAGCAGCCGACTTTGATAAAGAAAAAAAGTGAAGAGTTGATCATGAACAACAATCATGTGGGGTTTGTCTGCAATAACATGATGCTTAACTTGTACCCCAACAGTTCTCATGGTTGGTTATGTTTTTCCCAACCAACGTGGCAATTTGCAGGGTCTCTCCCCATGTTTGGACAAACATATGGCCAATGCCATGTTTCCGAAGGCCTTGTCGCGGAGTTGTTGCAACAGCGGTGGGCCTTTCTCAGCTTCTACCTGCCACCAGCTGCAACATAACTCCGAGCCGAGGCGAACTTTTGCGGCCACACTCGGACTCTTTTGTTAAAACCAATTGTCAACAAAGAGCTCTTCAAACAAAATGAGCATGAGGCTTGCCATCCTTATCTTTTCAAGAAATGCATGGATGTTCAAGCATAACTTCCGCCCATTGACTTTAAAAATACTCGAAAAACAAAGGCCCCATGCCGTCTGAAGACACCCCTGTGCGCACTTCATCAGTTTGCCCTCGTAGCAGGACCTGAACAGCATGAGATGAAAGCTAGTCCACTCGGTCTTTCGCTGCTCACCAAAGGTGGACATTGCGATTGGGTGGATGCGCAGCAATGCGTATTTTCATAAGAGTAGTATAAGATCGCGAGAGCATATACTTTAAATTTTTAAGAATGCAAAGCATCTACAGAATCTATACGGCCAAGCCTGGTGCATGATGCAGAATCTAACGCACTTGAAATACATATTAACTATGAAGGCCATTTCATTACATTCAGGGGTTATTACAATACATTCAGGGGTTAGACAATTGCAATTGGTTCTCATTATCGAGTTGTCTTGGACACTGGGCAAGCAAAAGTGGCATCGGTTTTGCATGCTTCAACACAATGTGCAGCAAACACCAGCAGCAAATTTCATTTTTGTCTCTTGCTTTTGATGTTGTGAACACGCTATGCTCCGCTGCGCTTCCTTCGGTTCAGAGCACCACACCACCATTTTGGCAATTCAGGCCCACACTTTGACTGATAAATGATGTGGGAATGTGTGAGTACGAAAAGAGTATGCCTCAAAAAAACATCCCCTTGCCAATACACGGGTTTAACCTGGGCGTTCCAATTTTATAGGGGGCCGAGGCCTATCCTTTGAAAATGCCCTTTTGGGACCCTCTACAAAATTAAAATCTTGACAGACACATACATAATCAGCCCTATAAAATTACAACCTGCTAGTAACCCATCAATGTCATCAAACCCAAAAACACTACAAAATTGCAGTGCCCAGGTTAAACTTGTGCAGGGTATTAGCTCCAAATTGGCCTCTATAAAATTAGGGCCATCCAAAATGGCTTGATCATAGGTGGTTTTTTTAATTAAAATTTGGTGTCCCAAGTCGAATTTTGGGGGCCCTCTATTTTCCTTCGATTATGTGGTCCCCAATTTTATCTCAGTTTAATAATGCCCCAATTCTGTAGACTGAAGTTTTGGGGTCATCAATCGAAGGCACAAAAGTCAAACCATTTCAAACCAACTATTGCAATCATTGAAAGACATAGGCTGCTGTTTCTGCAGCTCAAGCTGCTGAGGCTGCTTCTACAGTGCCTTTGCATGCCTTTGCCTTGTGGGATCCTTTTGGAGAGCACCCCCCCTATAGAATTGGAGCCCCTGATCGAAGGCAATTTTTAGGGACTATAAAATTGCAGCCCTCAAGGTCCACCCAAAACCTGATTTTTTTTGACATTTTTTGGTTTTTCTTAAAGCATGTAGAAGCACGATGTAAAAAGCCATCAAATTCCATCAAATCCCATCAAATCACCACATATCATCACATATCATTTCATATCATTTCATCACATATCCCCACTATAAAATTAGGGACTGCTGTTTCTGCAGCTGAAGCTGCTGAGGCTGCTTCTACAGTGCCTTTGCATGCCTTTGCCTCGTGGAATCCTTTTGGAGAGCACCCCCCCTATAGAATTGGAGCCCCTGATCGAAGGCAGTTTTTAGGGACTATAAAATTGCAGCCCTCAAGGTCCACCCAAAACCTGACATTTTTTTGGCATTTTTTGGTTTTTCTTAAAGCATGTTTTGATGGCTTCTTACATCGTGCTTCTACATGCTTTAAGAAAAAACAAAAATGCCAAAAAAATGTCAGGTTTTGGGTGGACCTTGAGGGCTGCAATTTTATAGTCCCTAAAAACTGCCTTCGATCAGGGGCTCCAATTCTATAGGGGGGTGCTCTCCAACAGGATTCCACGAGGCAAAGGCATGCAAAGGCACTGTAGAAGCAGCCTCAGCAGCTTCAGCTGCAGAAACAGCAGTCCCTAATTTTATAATGGGGATATGTGATGATATGTGGGGATTTGATGGGATTTGAAAGGATTTGATGGCTTCTTACATCGTGCTTCTACATGCTTTAAGAAAAACCCAAAAATATGTCAAACAAATGTCAGGTTTTGGGTGGACCTTGAGGGCTGCAATTTTATAGTCCCTAAAAACTGCCTTCGATCAGGGGCTCCAATTCTATAGGGGGGGTGCTCTTCAAAAGGATCCCGCAAGGCAAAGGCATGCAAAGGCACTGTAGAAGCAGCCTCAGCAGCTTCAGCTGCAGAAACAGCAGCCCCTAATTTTATAGTGGGGATATGTGATGATATGATATGAAATGATATGTGATGATATGTGGGGATTTGATGGGATTTGAAAGGATTTGATGGCTTCTTACATCGTGCTTGTACATGCTTTAAGAAAAACCCAAAAATATGTCAAACAAATGTCAGGTTTTGGGTGGACCTTGAGGGCTGCAATTTTATAGTCCCTAAAAACTGCCTTCGATCAGGGGCTCCAATTCTATAGGGGGGGTGCTCTCCAAAAGGATTCCACGAGGCAAAACCTGACATTTTTTTGCCATATTTTTGTTTTTCTTGAAGCATGTAGAAGCACGATGTAAGAAGCCATCAAATCCCATCAAATCCATTCAATTCCCATGTTTTGTTACATGTTTTTGTTCATGTGTTCCTCTTCTCCAGCATGCGCATTGCGCATGCTTGAGCGCTCTGATGTAGAAAAAACATGCAAAAACAAATAGGTGCTATAAAATTGGGACCCTGGAATGCATTACATTGCAGGTAGCTACAAAATTGGAACCCTTTGGTTCATGAAACCATGCATTGATACACTCTAAATGGCAACTGAACAAAACCATACAAAACCGACACATGTCCCTATAGAATTGGAGCCTGCTATAAAATTGGAGCCCTAGGTCACTAAATTTAAGCACCGAAAAACAATATAAAATTAGGACCCGGAGTTTTGAGATAAAATTAAAGCCCGCCAAAACAAGGCAAACAGGGCAGCTGAAATTGAGGGGGGACCTGTATAAAAAAATCGTTTTATACAGCACCTAGGTGTCCCAATTCTATAGGGGAAACTGGCTGGGGGATTAAAAAAACTATGTTTGAACACATTTCTTTTGACAACATATCCTATATAACCGATGGTGTTTGATGCCATCATGCTTTGAAAGTTCCATCACTCAGTGACTTCACCTGGCATGGCCAATCAATGATTATCCCAGAGCATGAAGGCCACCGAAGAGAGCAAAGAAAATCATCTTCAATAACAACCGTGTACCTGATCGTACCTCTAATCGAAAAGATGTTTGCACGAATTGTAAGTAGCAAAAAGAACACTCAGAAAGGAGGGCTCACAAGGTAAATCTTCAGACAATACATCTCTACCAAATCTGAATTCTTCCCTTTGGCTTTAAAGTCTAAAAAGGTCTGCAAAACAGTTGCGCGCAAAAGATTTGCACAGATTGCGCGCAGAAAAAGATGCAATTCTGATATACTGCTGTTGCCGGCGCAGGCGTCGGTGCCGTCGCCGTCGCCGACGCAGGTGTCGGCGCCGTCGCTGGCGCCGACGCAGGTGTCGGCGCCGTCGCGCCGTCGCTGGCGCCGGTCTAGGATATTGCGCAGGGATATTACGCGAGGCTATTGCGCGAGGATATGCAAGAAAGATATTGCGCAAAGTATTCCGCAGAGATATTAGGCAAGGATATTTGGTCAAAGATATTACCCATGCTGCGCAATGATTTACTGTAATGCAAGCTATTGGGCGATAATTTTGGGCACCAACAGTAGCGGATCAGCTTGGATGCTAACGACTGTTTTCTCTTGTAGAGTGTAGAGCCTTGCAGCCACATGTAGCCACATTGAGATGAAAGCTAGTGAGCTTTTGAACACTCTGTCACCCCAGTGATCCTGTACCCATCGAAATCATATGCCCAGAGCAGTACGAACTGATAATTGAAAAACAAAGTTTGCAAGAAGCAAGGTTCCAAGTTCCGAGGTGATATGTTACAGAGGCACCTGTAGATACATAGTTGGCATTGGGCGCTGCTGACCTCAGGGTTCTTTCATACGAAGTGTGATCAACATATCATTTAGTCAGTCAGGTTCAGTTTCGTGGCCGTGCTGCAATGGTAGTGCGTGCAGAAGCCAGGCAATATCAGGCAACCATTTTTTCCCCACAGGCCACCCCAGCTGTAGGATCTAAGCGCGACCCTTCATCTCCTTCAACATTCGACACACAGTTCGAAGGTGGTTCTCCAAGAGGATGATTTTTTGGCCTTAACCGGTTTTAAGGCATCATGCATCAGCAATGACACAGTGGTGGGCACGAAAAAGAATGATATTGCAACCACATTGGCAAGGTTTCGAGCTCAAGAGCCATTCCAGCAAATTTCCACGCCTAGAGGCTCTGCTCATAGTTCTTGTGGGTAAGTTTCTCCTCTGTCTGATGAAAGATGTTTGATTTCTGTCGCTTGCTCTGCTGTTCGTGTACTTGAAGACGTCACCAAGCGCGATGTGGCTGACATGGTCATGCTTCATCACCACGCAGTGCTTCTCGACACAGAGACAGGCAAGGCATCTGGAAATGTTGGAGTTAAAGGGGGTGATGGCTTGGGCTAAGCCCAAAGGACGATGGTTTCACCCGGACCCTCACCCCCTGTGGTGTGTCCGTCAACGAAATATCCTGGCAGAATGTCTGCAGGATTTTCTGGCAGAATATCTGCGCGATATTCTGGCAGAATGTTTGTGCGATATTCTGGCAGAACATCTGGCTGTGGTATTGGGGCATAATATCGCTGATATTCTGGTACGGCATATATGACCTGGCAGACTTTATTGTGATCGCAGGTTGATATAAAATAATACGTGTCTAGGACCCAGTGCAGATTCTCAAATGGGTGGCCAAGACAATCTGTCATCGTCCTTTTGGTGCCCGAACAACAAAGTTTCAAAGGGTGATGGTCCGGGTCAGAACGTCGTCCCCTGACAGGAGGTGTTTTACGACAGTGAGGTGTTTTACAATCATGCAACCCTTAAAACCTGGTATCCCCATAGCCCGCAGGAATGCCACACAGCAATTCGTGGTCAACATCAGGTCCTGGGATATTTTGGGCAAGTCTTACGCATGGTTTTCGGGCTCCAGGGGGTGATGGTCCGGGTGGGAACATCGTCCTTTGAAATTTCTATTTATGAGCAGCCAGGGGGTGACAGCAGAATGTCCCGCAAGACATTCACAGCGCTTTAAAGCAAAACTGTTTAAAAGTCAGTCGATCACAATGTAGTCTGCCAGGTCATGTATACCAGAATATCAGCGATATTATGCCCCAATACCACAGCCAGATGTTCTGCCAGAATATCACACAAACATTCTGCCAGAATATCGCGCAGATATTCTGCCAGAAAATCCTGCAGACATTCTGCCAGGATATTTTGTTGACGAACACATCACAGGGGGTGAGGGTCCGGGTGAAACCATCGTCCTTTGGGCTTAGCCCAAGCCATCACCCCCTTTAACTCCAACATTTCCAGATGCCTTGCCTGTCTCTGTGTCGAGAAGCACTGCGTGGTGATGAAGCATGATCATGCCAGCCACATCGCGCTTGGTGACGTCTTCAAGTACACGAACAGCAGAGCAAGCGACAGAAATCAAACATCTTTCATCAGACAGAGGAGAAACTTACCCACAAGAACTATGAGCAGAGCCTCTAGGCGTGGAAATTTGCTGGAATGGCTCTTAAGCTCGAAACCTTGCCAATGTTGTTGCAATATCATTCTTTTTCGTGCCCACCACTGTGTCATTGCTGATGCATGATGCCTTAACTCTGGTTAAGGCCAAAAAATCATCCTCTTGGAGAACCACCTTCGAACTGTGTGTCGAATGTTGAAGGAGATGAAGGGTCGCGCTTAGATCCTACAGCTGGGGTGGCCTGTGGGGAAAACATGGTTGCCTGATATTGCCTGGCTTCTGCACGCACTACCATTGCAGCACGGCCACGAAACTGAACCTGACTGACTAAATGATATGTTGATCACACTTCGTATGAAAGAACCCTGAGGTCAGCAGCGCCCAATGCCAACTATGTATCTACAGGTGCCTCTGTAACATATCACCTCGGAACTTGGAACCTTGCTTCTTGCAAACTTTGTTTTTCAATTATCAGTTCGTACTGCTCTGGGCATATGATTTCGATGGGTACAGGATCACTGGGGTGACAGAGTGTTCAAAAGCTCACTAGCTTTCATTTCAATGTGGCTACATGTGGCTGCAAGGCTCTACACTCTACAAGAGAAAACTGTCGTTAGCATCCAAGCTGATCCGCTACTGTTGGTGCCCAAAATTATCGCCCAATATCTTACATTACAGTAAATCATTGCGCAACATGGGTAATATCTTTGAGCAAATATCCTTGCGTAATATCTCTGCGGAATACTTTGCACAATATCTTTCTTGCGTAATATCCTCGCGCAATAGCCTCGCGTAATATCCCTGCGCAATATCCTAGACCGGCGCCAGCGACGGCGCCAGCGACTGCGTCGGCGCCAGCGACGGCGCCGACACCTGCGTCGGCGACGGCGACGGCATCGACGCCTGCGCCGGCAACAGCAGTATACTACGCAATGCGCATTGCATCTTTTTGTGCGCGCAATCTGTGCAAATCTTTTGCGCACAACTGTTTTGCAGACCTTTTTAGACTTTAAAGCCAAAGGGAAGAATTCAGATTTGGCAGAGATGTATTGTCTGAAGATTTACCTTGTGAGCCCTCCTTTCTGAGTGTTCTTTTTGCTACTTACAATTCGTGCAAACATCTTTTCGATTAGAGGTACGATCAGGTACACGATTGTTATTGAAGATGATTTTCTTTGCTCTCTTCAGTGGCCTTCATGCTCTGGGATAATCATTGATTGGCCATGCCAGGTGAAGTCACTGAGTGATGGAACTTTCAAAGCATGATGGCATCAAACACCATCGGTTATATAGGACATGTTGTCAAAAGAAATGTGTTCAAACATAGTTTTTTTTGAGGCATACTCTTTTCGTACTCACACATTCCCACATCATTTATCAGTCAAAGTGTGGGCCTGAATTGCCAAAATGGTGGTGTGGTGCTCTGAACCGAAGGAAGCGCAGCGGAGCATAGCGTGTTCACAACATCAAAAGCAAGAGGCAAAAATGAAATTTGCTGCTGGTGTTTGCTGCACATTGTGTTGAAACATGCAAAGCCGATGCCACTTTTGCTTGCCCAGTGTCCAAGACAACGCGATAATGAGAACCAATTGCAATTGTCTAACCCCTGAATGTACTGTAATAACCCCTGAATGTAATGAAATGGCCTTTATGATATTCGAATATTAGTGAAGTCTGTCTGACATACCTGACATAAGACAACATCTGCCTGAGTATACCATGCCCCCACAACTGTGCAGCTGTTAAGAGCGATCTCCTTTTCAGTGCGTCAATCAGAAAGCTCAGATCCATCAGAATCTAGGTGACCAAGCAACACATCAGCCATTTGAGTCGAAGCTGAGCTACATGAGCTGCCGGATCTGCCGGCCGATGGAATGGTTTTCTGCACACGAAATGGTTTCCTCATTGAAAAGGATGGCAGATTTTGCCGCGTTCCTGGTCGTGGGATTCCAGAAGAAGAACCTTGGGAACGTTTCGTTCCACGTGCGCCCTGGCTACCATGGCTACCATGGCTGTGGCTACCATGGCTGCTCTGGTAACCAGTTGTGGCATCGGTCGTTGTTCCCGACAGTTCAGCTTCTAAGACCGACATGTAGGCATCCAAGGAGTCTTCACCACGACGCAAAGCAGCTTCCATGGCCTCACGACGCTGTTCCTCAGCCTCCCGGGCACGCAAGCGTTTCTCAAATTCAGAGAAACCTGCGTCCCACCAGGATTTTCCACCACGACCTTCAGAATTTTCTGGACCTTCAAAGTCTTCGCCTTCTCCCCAACATCCAGGTGGAGCGGGTCGATCATAGCGACCACCACGTTGGTAGGGTCTTCCAGGATAGTCTTGCCAGTTTGAGCGTGGCCGATCCAGCTCTTGCCTCTGTCCTTCCGGCGCACTCAGGAGATCAAATGCCTCAGACAGCTTTTGGAAAGCCATCTTTGCTTCTGGATGTGAACATTTATCTGGATGTACCAGCAAGGCGGCAGTCCGATATGCCCGTCGCAGTACCTTCGTTTCACACGGGGCCTCTGGTAAGCCCAGGCGTGCGAAAGGCGATGCACCTGGAAGCAAGGCTCGACGGATAGCAGCTGAGACATCTGACAGATCTGACGGCATGGCTGTGCTACATGTGCTGCTACTGGAGCTGGGAGCTGGTGGCGTGGGGGGAGTTATAAGCTGAATGTTTAAAGCAGTATTAATATATGTGGATGTTTCTTGATGCTTCTCTTGTCGTTCATAAATCTTTGTGTCAAACTCAGAAACTGATGAGCTGTCAATTTGTTTGGCTTCTCCATATTTCAAACTAAAGTTCATTCTATCCTACCTTTCCTGATCCACACATGTCCAGGTTGGGGACGAGAACAGAGTGGCACAGGCCAGGGAAGCTTCAGTTTGCCATGTTGGTGTTTTAGCATGTTTATCAGTGTAGTTTCAAATTTCCTACAACGCCTATCTCTCTCAACCAGGCATGTTTGAAAACAACTCGAGACCGTCAGGAATCAAATGTTTTGTAAATAGAACAAACTGCAGCTTTTGGGAAAACACATATCATGTTGATATAACATGTCTCGATCGTAAAGGTAGAACAGGAACATGGTATGGGCGCCTCTAAGAGGCCGTGCGTGCGTTTTTGAAGTTTTGGGGTGGGGTGGGGTGTGGGGTGGGGGGGGTGTAATAACGTTCATATCTCTTGCGTGCAAGGTGATGCGACGTGGATGCTACGTTGACGTTACGTTGATCATACTTTGACCAGGAACATGTGAGAGGTCTAGGTACATCATGAAAAGTCATCCTTAGATTCAGCGAGTAGAACTTTGATTGAACTTGGTACTATCTGCCAAAACTGGCTTACAAAACATCCTTCTGAACTTGCAAGGAAACTTTGAAACTGCCACTTCACATCCCATTCCATACCTTGGACTCAACAATGTCAGCTGTCGGCTTTCTGAGCAAATGATACTAGCACTGGCTCAATGTTGAGGAGATCGGCACATTTCTTGATGTTTTGTTTCTGTTCCAGTTCACATGAGAGTGCGGGCTTGCCGCGCAACCCCTCAATAATGTATATAAGTCGCCGTCGCTGCCGCGCCTTCCAAGCAGCATATGCCCTGCATCGCAGTAAAGCACGGCCGGCACCGGAGAACCTGCAGTTGCACCACAACTTCCACAACTTCGACTTAAATCACATAGTGTCTGAAAATGGGGGATACATGGGGATACTTCCTCATGAAGGTTCAAAAAAACAACTATATGCATCTATATGCGAATGTTGGGATCGTAATCTCACCATTTCTTGGTTTGATGTTGAGCCATTTCCAAGCATTGATGTTAGAGCATCGAGGAGACATCTTCAGGGTATCGATTTGTCCAGGATGGAGTGGGAGTCTAAGTCAGAGTCTGGTTCTTCCCAAAATATCCCAAAATGATACGTCAGTGTGTCTCAGTATTTAGAAATTGCTGAGATAGTGCTTCCCCTGATCATTAGTTTGATGCAACGGACAATTTACAAAACATGCAAAGCTGCAAAGGAGCAAAGAGGCCTGGCACAAAGGTTGCCAAATTGTCGGGACATCAGCTGCAAGCCTGCAAGGCTGGACCATGCTGGCCCATGCTGGACCAACATGCTTCATCCTAGGCACTTCCCAGGAACCAACCAGCTCGGGATGACTGGTGTGCTTCCAGTCGTTTCTCTGGACAGGTCCGACGTACATTTCAAAACGGTCCAACATGGTCCAACAGGATTCGAAGAGACCAGAAATTGGGGCGTCCAAGACTACCCTCTGGTTATGTCAAAATAGCTATTGAAAATGGCCATTAATAGTGGATTTTCCCATTAAAAATGGTGATTTTCCATAGCTATGTTAAATTACCAGAGGGTATTGTGAACATGAATAAAACCAATAGTGAGAACACTGACAACAGAAACTCGCAAGTAGTTCTGGGCTGCGATCCTTGTCCCCAGCTACAAAGGACGGCAAGCACGAGAAGTTGTAGAGACATCGAAAACAGCTGCAGCTCGAGTGGCTATGTATGGCTCATATGAATCTCGTATATGATGTCATGAGTCATATCGCTGATGCAAATACCTGCAGGTTGCAAAATTGACTGTTAAACTATCTAGGTCTCACAATTGGAACGACGCTAAAATAAAGACACTTTCACAGCATAGCATATAGCAAGAAGAGACGTCGTGCGCCTGTAATCTGAGAATTAGTCGTAGGATGCCAGAAATAGTCGTGGGATGTTGAAATTAGCCGTTGGACGCCCTCTGTATCCATATATAGCAAGATCTGCAACTCAGCCAGCCAGTGATTTTCCTCTCTCGTCTGCCGTAGCTTTCACACGCTGCAAAGCTTCGGCCTCCATGTTTGACAGATTCAAACTATTTATGCAGACTTAAAAACATATTCACTTTGCGTTACAGTACGTAGTCTAAGTATCACGAATGCAGACAAGAACCCGTCCAGTCTAGTCCAGAGAGAACTCCAGACTAGAGTGGGTTTAGCAGAGTCTCATCTCAGAGTGGAATATTCGTGCCTATCTATCTACAATGAATGACTCTTCCAGAATCTAAGCACTTCATTATGCTCAAAAGAAACAGGACAATCGGAAAGAACTGATTTGAACTGATGCATTTCTTGTGGGGGAAAGGAACGGCTTGCTGCGTGGCATTCCATTTGTTTCAATTCCCAAATGCCCACCTTGTCCTCGGCAAAGTTCTCCGAGGCAAAGAGCGGATGGAAAATAAACGTCTTCTCCGGACCATCGAATTGTACCTGTCAACTTCACGCTGAAACTGCTGCACCCAAACAACACCTGGCTACAAAGATATGCAAAGAATTGAATAGTTGGCCCGTGGGTTCAAAAATGCTTTCAAAATGTTGTTTCACCCCAAAAAAAATGCACTTGTGTATAAGTGCAAACTAAGACACTTATTGCTTCCTAATGCTGAAAAATCTACTGCGGGAGTCTGCAGCAATCTTGATGCCAGGATTCTAAACTGATCTTGGAAGTCCAAGGATTACATTGCTTTGTTCGGAAATTGGATGTACCCAGAAATGGCATTAAATAAGCAGTGTTCAAGAGCCTCTGTCGTTCCATTCTCCTGGTTGGTTAATAGTGATTCCCATAGTGGACAATTAATGACATTGCACAATATATGCACAATATATGCACAATATATATTATATATATAATACACACGCGATTATATATGTATATATGTATATATGTATATATATATATGTATATATATGTATATATGTATATATGTATATATATATATATGTATATATATGTATATATGTATAGATGTATAGATGTATAGATGTATAAATGTATAGATGTATAGATGTATAGATGTATAGATGTATAGATGTATAGATGTATAGATGTATAGATGTATAGATGTATATATGTATATATGTATATATGTATATATGTATATATGTATGTATATATATATGTATATATGTATATATGTATATATGTATATATGTATATATGTATGTATATATATGTATATGTATATATATATGTATATATATATATATGTATAGATGTATATAAATATATATATATATGTATATATGTATATATGTATATATATATTATATATATGTATATATGTATATAAGTATATGTATATATATATATGTAATATGTCGGGTGGTATATCCTTCTATAATCATGAACCAACGGCAGTTTGGAACATTGCTTGAATGGCACTTTCAAGGTGGAAAATGCGGATGAACCAGATGTGCAATGGCCAAAACATATGGTATATGGGATATGGTAATCCTCATATCATTCGGAAATCTGTATATTTGAAATAAGAAGCACTAGTTTGCATTAGCTACTAATTGGAAAATTACCAATCCCTGCTATATTGATTTGATAGCCCCATCGATGTACACTGACCCCACCATTTATGGCTTGGACTGTAAATATAAAATCATATAAAATCACAGCTAGTTATAGATGATGAATCCCATATTTTCATCCCATTGATATCCCATGATCTCCCCATTTCCCAAAAATCTCGTGCCACGGCCTCCCGAAGTCGATTCGTTTGCAGGCTGCGTAGGGGGAAAATGCAGAGCCGGGACACGGGGTCCACGGGGTCGGCGGCGTGTTGCAACCGTCCCTGTGGTCCCTGTGGCCTTATGCAGAACAGGGGTAACGGGTGAAAAGAATGGAAGTTGTATATAGATTATATAATAATGTTGTATAGTTGTATATAACCATGGGATTTCAAATGATTTCAAATGATTTCAAACTTCATGACTTGGGATATGGGGCCCATAGAACTATGATGAACTATGGTTACACCACTTTATTTTTTTTGGAACTGCACCCCCAAGTCGCTAAAATCGCCATGTGAAACATCGGCAATGGGCCATGGGGATATGTGTTTTTTTTTCGGGAAAGTGGTCATTCACTCCAAAATATCAAACAGCTTTGAAATTGTTCATTAGGAATATGATCCCTATATGTCAAAGCTATTAAGTGATATACTTTAATAATGGAATATGATATAGTACTGTAATAGCTTTATTAGGAATTTGATCGTATATGATCATTAAGTGGATTCGGGGTATACATGCAATGTATACTTCCCATTTTTTGGCTAACCCGTGGGACGTCCGGCAACTTCCCGTCTGCCATGCTAGAAACCCCCCTGTGATGCAGTTGATTCAATGGATCATCAAACTGGATTGTTGGTACTATAACTATCCCCATTTAAGTCATATTTCCTGTTAAATAACAATCCCATCAGTCCATATCAGTCCCCCCTGACTTTCTGCTGATCCCATCGGATGCTGGGCCTTGGCTCAAGCTCGCCTGCCTCCACCAAAAGACGCACCAACGCGGACTGTTCCTGCACCATTGCTGGGTGAGCTCTTTTATCATCTTTTATTGTGGGCTCATGGCAGTTCCTATAATCATGTGCGTCAGAATCCCCAATAAACGTCAATAAACCATACAGGGAGGACTTGGGGCCAACATACTAATAAACATCAATAAACTAGGTAGATGAATAGTCTGAATAGTCAAGAACCTCCAATAACTGATCAACAAGATTTGGATCACTGCTCAGGTGAGGATCACATGACACACAGTTTGAGTATCTGGCAGATGTTTTTTTTTCCAAATCTTCATTTAACTTGGATGTTGTGCAGAGATGCGCAGAGATGTGCAGGGATACCAACTAGGCATTACAGCCATCACTTTGTAGCTGCAGAAAGAATGCCTTGTGGCAAGTTTAACATAGCTAATTATCGGTCCCATTTACAGAAAAACATCTCATTAAACAAGGTGATTTCCCATAGGACAAAGGTTTGTTAAACTGTTAAAGTAACTACCAGAGGGTACAACACTGCTTCGGGTTGGAATTACAGTACAGTACGAGCAGTGAACCTCTCAGCAGCCTGACATCCCTGGATGATAAAGCAATCACCCCAGCAGCCAACAATTTACCACAATGATCCACAAGGTGTGTCATTATCATGTCCAGTGACTCAAGTTGTGCACTATGCTGAAGCTGGTCACTTGAAACACTACATTTCCAATATTTCCTCTATAGCAAACCAACTCACAGAGGCCTAGGTTCCTTGCTGGCTTCATCTTTCAGATGTTGTCCAGTTTCACACGTATCATCATTGGATAGGAGCGTCCAGCAAAGTTGCTCCCATGGTGTTCGGGGTTGACATCGCTTGATATGTATATATATATATATAATTATATTTACATATTATGTATGTCATGATGAAATATAGGTTATATCATGTTATATCATAATAGTATCTGTAGTAATTAGTAATAACGACAATAAGTCTAGTATGTGGTCCATTATAAAATTATCTGCATAATTTAAATGATATTATATGATATGATATGTATCTCTTATCTGCATCCAAGTGTCATAGTAAGCCTTGCAATGATGCCGTCGCGAAAGATTTCCCTCCCAAAGCAGTCTCAAAAGGGTCTGGCACCAAAATGTCCTGCATTGCCAGCTCTCACAATGACTTTGCAGAAGATCCTAGATACTAATTTCGGTTTGTTTGAACATAGGGAATACAGCACTACAGTGCCTAAAAATTGCTATTTGAAAGAGAAAAATATGATAAACCACTGGATTTTGGCGTCCAAGTTTTAGATATTCCATTTACATAGCCAAAATGTACAGAAACGTTCATTCTCGATCTTCTTCCGCTATAAGTCTACCATCTGTTTGCCATTTGTCTAGTCAAGACGATACCTTTCCAAGATGCCCCATCAAAATGTGTCGAAGACCTGCCGCTGACCTCCCGCTGTGCCTGCGAAAGATCATCACGCCACAGTTCAAGCGACACTCTGCGGAGAGATCCTCTTGGATCATCAGGTCTCGGCCTTCCGCCTGTCGTGCAGTGCGCTTGGAGTTTGGGGGGAGATGGCCCCGTTCCAAATCATGAAAAAAATGGTATGCCATAGATGGATGCTTTATGGTTTGTACATGTTTGTACCATCCATTATGGTTTATATATGTTTTTACCATGACCCATAGGCCCATAGGGACTTACATATTGTTTATGGTCATGCCATGGGAATCTTGGAACAATGGGCCCCCTTTCGACTGACCATCCCCCCAGGACTGGGTGCAATGGGCTACTGTAGCCTGTTGCAACATTCCCCGGAGAAAAACCCAGCATCTTAGGATATCTTAGGCATATATACCGTACATATCCTTACATTAGTGTTAATTCGTGAGCAAGATGAGACAAGATATGACAAGATCAAGGAAAGTGATGTGGAAACCGCCAAGTCTGGCACCATGACAAGCTCGGCTTGGAAGATGATACTGCCTGGCAAAGGAAGAATTCCAATGGCTTCTCTTCGTCTACGACCAGAGCATCTGCATCGATCCACACAACGATACCATGCTTTCCGGCAAGGGCTCGACGAAGCATCAGCACCTGCCAGTTGATGATGCTGTGATGTTTGGGGAAGGGACAAAAAAATCATTCAGTTCTAAAATATGAGCAGGTATTCATCCTGATGTTTCTCAAATCTGAAGAATAAGATTCCAAAATCTCTGCTTTCTTGCGCAGATTCAAACAGCTGGAGGCTAGGGGCACGCGCCTAACCCCGTACCAATTCCAAATTCTTAACCCCGCACAGCGTTATACTTAACCCCGAACCAGCAGTGCATCTGTAACCATGAACAACCACGAACAATCCCAGTGCACAACCAACAGTCAGTTTTTTCTCTGGTGCGTGAGTCGGCGTGGGCTCCCAGATCGGAGACAGACCTGCCAGAGTGTAGCGGCACGACATGCACATCAGAGAGACCTATTGGGGGATAAGACAGATAGACAAATATACAACACAATACATGCCAGTGTTCACAAAAGTAAATTATCATGTGAATTATGGTTAAACAATATCAAATTCCAGCCGTCACAGAGACCGCCCAACTTCCGTGCCAAGACTGCCCAAATCCCGTCATGAGACCGCCGAACTTCCATGCCAAGACCAAGACTCCCCAATTGCGTCATGAGACCGAAAGTCCGTCATGAGACCGCCCCAATTCCGTCAGAAACCGACCGACAGGCAGACAGACACAGACAGACAGACAGACAGCCAGCCAGGCAGGCAGGCAGGCAAGCAGGCAGGCAGGCAGACAGACAGACAGGCAGAGAGAGAGAGAGAGAAAGAGAGAGACAAAGAGAGAGAGAAAGAGAGACAGAATGAGCGCCCAAATTCCATCATGAGATTGCCCAGATTCAGTCATGAGACCGCACAAATTCCGTTATGAGACCACCCAAATTCCGTCATGAGACCGCCGAAATCCCGTCATGAGCCCGCCCAAATTCCGTCATGAGACCGCCCAAATCCCGTCATGAGACCGCCCAACTTCCGTGCCGAGACTCCCCAATTCCGTCATGAGACCGAAAGTCCGTCATGAGACCGAAAGTCCGTCATGAGACCGCCCCAATTCCGTCAGAAACCGACAGGCAGACAGACAGACAGACAGGCAGGCAGGCAGGCAGGAAGGCAGACAGACAGGCAGAGACAGACAGAGAAAAAGAGAGACAGAGAAAGAGAGAGACAGAGAAAGAGAGAGACAGAGAAAGAGAGAGACAGAGAAAGAGAGAGACAGAGAAAGAGAGAGACAGAGAAAGAGAGAGACAGAGAAAGAGAGAGACAGAGAAAGAGAGAGACAGAGAAAGAGAGAGACAGAGACAAAGAAAGAGAGAGAGAGAGAAAGAGAGAGAGAGAGAGAGACAGAATGAGCGCCCAGATTCCGTCATGAGACCGCCCAAATTCCGTCATGAGACCACCCAAATTCCGTTATGAGACCACCCAAATTCCGTCATGAGACCGCCCTAATCCCGTCATGAGACCGCCCAACTTCCGTGCCGAGACTGCTCAAATCCGTCATGAGACCGAAAGTCCGTCATGAGACCGCCCCAATTCCGTCAGAAACCGACAGACAGACAGACAGACAGGCAGGCAGGCAGGCAGGCAGGCAGGCAGGCAGGCAGGCAGGCAGGCAGGCAGACAGACAGACAGACACACACAGACAGGCAGCAGGCAGGCAGGCAGACAGGCAGACAGGCAGACAGGCAGACAGGCAGACAGGCAGACAGGCAGACAGGCAGACAGGCAGACAGGCAGGCAGGCAGACAGACAGACAGAGAGACAGAGAGACAGAGAGAGAGAGAGAGACAGAATGAGCGCCCAAATTCCGTCATGAGACCACCCAAATTCCGTCATGAGACTGCCCAGATTCCGTCATCAGAGCGCCCAAATTCCGTCATGAGACCACCCAAATTCCGTCATGAGACTGCCAAGATTCCGGCATGAGACCGCCCAAATCCCGTCATGAGACCGCCCAACTTGCGTGCCGAGACTGCCCAATTCTGTCATGAGATCAACATCAACATCAACATCAACATCATCATCATCATCATCAACAACAACAACCACAACCACAACAACCACAACCACAACCACAACAACAACAACCACAACCACAACCACAACAACCACAACCACAACAACAACAACAACAACAGCAACAGCAACAGCAACAGCAACAGCAACAGCAACAACAACAACTACTACTACTACTGCTACTGCTACTACTACTACTACTACTGCTACTACAGCTACAGCTACAGCTACAACTATAGCTACAACTACAACTACAACAACAGCAACAGCAACAGCAACAACAACAACAACAACAGCTACAACATCCACACAGCACCAACAACAACACAAAAAGAAACCAAGCAACCGCTATACAACGCCAAGTATAGGTGTATCGGTGCGAGCGCGGCAATCGGTGTATCGGTGTATCGGTGCGCGCACGGTGTATCGGTGTATCGGTGTCTCGGTGCGAAAAAAACGTTTAGCGGACCTGAATCCCCAACGCTATGCGAACCATTCGAGTATTTGAAGCAATCATTTGGGTTCGCAAATGTTCGCAAGAAAATGTTGAGAACTTCAAACATCCATGATCAAGCGGCTTGGTCGGCTTTCATTGCCCCCAACCCTTTCAGTAATTTTCTTCAAGTCCTCCATCTGGCAGAAGGCATATCCCAAGGCATTCAGCAATTTGCTGTCGCACTTCAATGTACCTTGATGTGACTGGTGACTCTGGTGATCTCTGGTGATCTCTGGTGACTGCAACTCTGGATGGGATCTCTGGAGCAAGTGCAGCAAGTGCTTGTTGAATCATGGTCTTTTTCTCATTGCGAATCTCCAAAAAAAAACACAAATGGGACACACACACACACACATGCACTATTTGTTGAATAGTTGTGTCAACATAATGAATATTTGTGTCAACATGATGATGGGCTCTGGGTCGGGTCGAATGGGTTGTATTCTGCCAGTTTGGCCAAGTTCAGTGGAAAATTGCTGGCACCGATGTTCCAATCCCCGGAATCCCCTAAAAATATCCCTCAAGATTTTCAATAGCCCCATGACAGGGCCCTCCAATTCATGAATAGATCAGGGTTATTGTCAGCAAATGAATAACAATGTCATGGGGTTATTAACCCCAATACAATTCAGCAGGCTTTCGTTTGGGGTTGTTGTCAGCAAAAAACCATCCCGACACCGCTAAGTCGTGCACTGGTCAGACATCCTTCCAGCAAGGCAATCCCGTCTTGAAAGCGACGAGAACAAATCTGGGCGAGTCCCAAAATCCCCAAGGGATATGGTGCCACTATCCTTACACCTGGCATAGTTTGGGCCAACTATTGGCACACTTCACTTGTTCTTTTTCTACAAACCATAAATTATATCAAATGATCGATATCAAACTACAATCCATGGCTTCACCAGTGAGCCCAAGAACATCCTAAAACTCTGAAAAAAACAACGCATTCAACAAAGTTGAATGTGTTGGCTCTTGAAGAGCTTTAGGTTCAACAGCACAACCCAAGGTGTTTTCCTATATCAACAACCAAGTGACGAGCGCAAGGGCATGATCCTGTGACAGGCTGAACTGTAGACCTGGACCAAAAAAGCCATGGCTCACTTTCAGAGCGATATGCGGAATTCAACCATTCGAAATGCTGGTTTAATGGGATATTCGTGAGGATATCGTACGATAATGTGGATACATAGCCAACTTTTTTCGGATTTGGTGCCCTGAAAATGTGGCTGGGATTTACCATTTCGATGGGGAATAGATGGTAATAGTATATCTGGTTGGTGGTTTCAATTCCTCTGAAAATATTAGTCAAGTTGGGATGATTATATGGAAAAATAAAAGCCATGTTCCAAACCACCACCCAGATATAATATATGATGATAAAATATTGGATTTCATGGGGGTCACCCCCCAGACTGACCACGACAGTATCTTTTCGTCAAAGCGCCAGACTCCTCCCTCTTCTGGATGGTGGTATGTTAAAACCTTCCGGACCAGAGCCGACTATCAACTTTCATGGCATCACTCTTTTTCGATGTTGTAGGCTCCAAGGTTTGAAAATCCAACATAGCAAGTTTGATACGGCTGAACGGATTTGATCATGGGTCATCGGCTTTTTGGAAAATCTACGGAAGCACCAGCCAGGTGTGAAGTCTCGGCCCTGGAGACATCTTTTCATGGGGATTCAACCGAACCCTTCCAAAGGTGACCTTTGAAATTAGGGCAAAAAACGGTTCAACCAACAACCACATCTTACCACCAACCACTAAGGGCTCAATATCAACCATCTACATCCATCTATTATCTATTCTTATTTTTTTCTTAGCTTTGGGGGGTTGGCTGAATGACCATGATCTTTAGATTCTAAGGGCCAACGTCTCTCATCACATTCGAGGTGATCTGTACAAGACGGGTGACAGACTTTGTGTCACTGTCACTTCGCAGATTTAGCATTTTGCTCTACACGGCTGGGGGTGCCAGGGGTGCGTAACTGAATCCAAGGGTGTGAGTGACTTTTTCGGGATTTCCGCGCTTCTCCAACACAGACTTCAGGTATCTTCAGGTTACCAAAAAATCGGGAATGCCATAAATTCCCATGGGAATACCCACCAAAATGCTATGTTTTTTTCCCATTACAGTTCGATCTCTGCCGCACGGTGGATGTGATTTTTTCTCGTTACGGCGGAATACCCAACTTGATACAGTTGTTGATAGCATGTTACCATGTCTTAATTGTGTGATATATACATATCATGAGATATAATTGTACATGTATATATATATATTATTATTATTAGTATTATCATTATTATTATATATATTATTATATTATATATATATATATACACATACGTATGTGAATATTATATCCAGATAGAGAGATTCTGACAATTAAATTGACAATAACAATTATAGATCATATTTAGCCGTGGATGATGATATGTAAATGTCCACAAGAGGTGATCCAGCAGCTTCTGGGACTTACAATTTGGAGAAATGACACAGTCAGCGGCATCACACAGAGTCCTCATCTTCGTCGTCGGAAGATTCCATGGATGGAACTGCATCCTGGGAGGTGACAGAGATGTCTTCAGAGACTTCCGAGTGCTGCCGCTCCCGCCATTTCTTTTGCACCTCGACAAATCAGTCGATATGTCAAGAGATGGGAATACCGGATGTCAAGATATGTCAAGATGGTCAAGGTGTGGATTCTGGGCTGAAATGTTCTCAAAACTTGCAGATCGCCCGACAGAAGCTCTGCTTTGGATGCCGTGACAAGCAGGAAGTGTTTCAATGAGTCACCCAAATCTCATACCATCCATGCCATGGTGGGTTTACTTTGCGGTATTTTTACTTTTTTTCACTGCCTGTCAATCTTTGCTTTCCATATTTTTTCGAAAAATCGATATGTAAGAGGTACTCACTTGAGATTTCCAGAGATTTTCCCACCTAACTTCTGTGGTCCCCCAGTTGTGTCTGGTTTAGTTTCACCCCAGTCACTACTTCGATTCATATCCGCAATAAACCATAGTTTGGTTCACCAACTTCAGCAAATATGATCCAACCATATCCACCCAGGATTGGTAGATGCTACCAAAAACCCATGGGAATTTTTCACTGCACTTGGTTCAAGGTCCATTGAATCCAGCACCAACTTCCACCGGAGGCCGTCCAACCCCCTCCAGACCGCCCGGGCGCCCGCTTGATGAGCGATCTGGGCTTCGCCAAGTGATCGTGTAGCCACAGCAGGGCATAGATCAGCAGAGGCACCGGGAAGAGCAACACGTGGTGCACCTCCACCTCTGATGCTTCCCGTAGTGTGGATGTGTTGATCAAAAAATGGGAGTGGGATTCCACCCAAAAAAATGCGAGATAAAATGTCATTTTTGATGGGATATTTTGGATGTAATGGGAGGATGAATTAAGTTTGGGGGATACTGAATGTCTATCTACAAATTAGGCATCTCCCAGTCAGGTATTGGATGATAATGAATGCCCCCAATTGGACCAGTTATACTAGTGTTATACTTATATAGTACGAGTACATAGTTATACATGGTTATACATGGATGTACATGGTTCTACATGGTTATACATGGATGTACATGGTTTTGTTGTTTATCCTTTTCGTTTATGCACATTCACATATATCATAAATGATTCTTGAAAGCATCAAACAAATCCAGCATGCCAGTCACCTTTCCTCATCCTCATGCCCCTTGGTTATTTGCGGTGCCACTCAATCAAATGCTGTCAGCCCTATCCCCGGCGTCAAATTTGGTTACCCTCTGGTCAACTAACATAGCTATGGAAAATCACCATGTTTAATTGGTAAATCCACTATAAATGGCCATTTTCAATAGCTATGTTAAATTACCATAGGGTACCCCTGTTACCCCCACACTTTGTCATTGATCTGCAGTTCCATCTTAGATATCTTCATCGCCCCATTAGACCAGTTAGTACGAATCTATTATTCACAGTCCACATTAACCAGTTCGTAATGATTACTGCCCAACATGGCTAATATATGTTGCCATCTGGTAATTGAACATAGCTATCGAAAATGGCCCAAACATGGCGATTTTCCAGTTCGCTATGTTAAATTACCAGAGGGTAATATCACATAGGAAAACCCCACAAAGTCATCAACAACCAGGGACCTTAGGGATCTTTTTTTTACAACTCCCCAGGTTTTCCCATGTCACCTTCACCAAAGCATAGGATCCCAGGCAAGCACCGGCGATGGTACCCGCGATCACCATGATGCTCATCACGGATTTCCTCCCAGCGACCACCAAGTCACATGAGGGTATCCTGAAATGGGAATCCCCAATAGCTGGTTGGTTTATTTCATGGGAAATTCTAAAATCATCTAAAATCCATTTTCAGAACTGGGGCAACCTCCATTTCAGGAAACCTCCATTTGGCTATGAGCCAAAGCCAAACGGCACCCGGATGGCACCCTAAGTTATAGCTGGTTAGTGGATGTTTATTCCCGCGGATATGGTAATAGCTTTTGACCCATCCCTAAAGGTTTAGGTTTAGGACCCCAAGTAGCAAATCCAATACTCAAGCAGGATTTTACTGGCGGGTTTTTGAGATATTTTGGGGAAGAGATTCGTAGTCTATGACACTCATCAACTCATTTATATACACATTTTACCATGAGGTCTATAAATTAAATTGCTAACTTCTCTGACTCCGGCTTGCCGCCACTTGTTTTGTGATGAGCTCCTGTGCAGCTGCCAACGCAAGAATGGGGATACAAACACTCGTCAGCAAATGGAACACTGTACCTGCGCCCCCAATTTGGACATACTTGAAGCCAACATGGGGCATGCAACAGCTGTTTGCCCCCTTGTGGTAGCCCTGCATTTGGGCTGCCTATGATCTTGAGAAAACTGCCCAATTTTCCCAGCAAGTTGTAGTAAATTCGCATCTTTCATCACTTCGCCTGCCTTTTGTCCACATTGAGCTTCATGGGGTCATAGCCCAACCTGGCGCATAGAAAAATCAACGCAATTGGTACCTGTCTTGCATAGGATGGTGTAGGAAACAGAGCTACTGAACTCTGACTCTTCTCCCTGCCAACAGCTCGGCCTTGCCCCAAGCATTGGAGGGGGACCCGCGCCTGGCCATCACCAGATTGCCTGCGATCTGTGTGAGCGTCAAGATGTGGCCCGTGACCATGGTGGTATGGGTGCCCATGCGCCCGTTGCTGCACGCAGCAGCAACGATGCCAAAGAGGGGCGCCACAAGCACCACAGTCCAGCGCAGGTAGCTCTCGTGGAAACTGCCTCAAGTTTCAGGTCATATCTGGTGCCCCTTTTACCTTTGACTCGAGGAGATTGAAAATGGGCCGATGTGAATCAACTCTTCAGAAACCAATCAGTTGATTGTACTGCTATCCGATAGCTGATAGCAGGGAAAAACCCATGGAGATGTAGGGCAGGAGTATGACCCGACAATGTCTTGCCAGGACATCTCAACCCCAATAAAAACACGATCCAACAAAAAAACAACAATTCACAAAGTTTGTGTCTTATTTGGTATCCAACCATATTAAACCCTCTACCTAAATCATCATGATTTACAGATATTCACCAGAATGAAACCACCATCCATCTTGGCAAATAGATCCTAGTCCTATTCAACGGATCATCATGCTGTCCCACTGATCTCCAAATGACGCTCCGTCAACATGTAGACCATTTCCGTGAGCAGCATCAACAGCGCCAGCGGAACGGCTGCAATGCTCCCGCCACGGTTGGGCCAGCGCAACTCGCAGATACGGTGGAGGAAGGAACCCAGGGAGAAGGAGGCGCAAATGGCCACGTAGTACCAACCTTGGTGCAGCTGATAGATGGCTATTTTTATACTATAATTACATTATATTACATTAATATATCATAATATAGTATATTATGTATAGTATATACTATATATAATACTATATTATATAATATGACATAAGACATAATATATTATAATACATCTTACTATTACATACTATTACTATATCAGGTCAAGCTTATGTTTGAACATGTAGATTTAAATTTCCTGTGCCTATAAGTCATGTTTGGGAAATCAAGAGATTGATAAGTTTCCGCAACAAAAAGATCCAGTGTCGGACATTTCATCAACAAAGGCCTGCATCGAATCAGCTGGGCCCCTGGGCTGTAAGTTCCCAAATTCCACACCCCGGCCCTAAATCTGGAGAGCGAATCTGGGAATCCAGGATGGGTATATCCGATTTTTTGTATCTGAGAGAAAGAAACGACTAAAATGAATCGTTCAAACGCATGCTCGCTGTCCTTCCATTCCAGTTCCCGTTGCTTAATACTTTGGCAATCTAAGTCCTAGGTTAGGTTGGCTGGCTGAAGCAAACTCAATCCTCTTTCCTGTTGATATTAAATTATATACCTGAATCGGGCGGTAAATTGGTGAGCCGAACTTCAATTTGTCTTTAATTGCACCATCTGAAATCCAACTTGTAAGCTTAAGATCAACCCCGGATGAGACTAAACGCTTGTTAACGAATTTGGGGGTGCCCCAAGAAAAATACACTGATACTGTAATGTGGTACTAAATTGGCATCCCCCCCAATGAATCTAACTACGTTCAGTCGGTTCCATTCAAGACATCCCACCAAGCAGCCAGTGTGTTGGTCATTCGACTTTGGATCTACGGCCACTCTTCCCAGCCAAATCGCGTTCCCCGTGAGAATGCTGGCAAATGCTTGGTATCGGACCAGACTCACCACATCGGCATAGCCGGTCACCACCGCGAAGAGCGTGGCAATCCAGGCGTGTTTGGTGAATCGCCACTCTTCACTGGAGACCATGAATCGAAAGCACAAGAGAATGGAGGTTAATAAGCAAAAGGAGAAGTGTCTCTGTGCAAAGTACAATGTGTTTCTGGTCTAATCCAACCCATATCAACCCAAATGCTATGCAGGAATTGGTTGTGATGCTCAAACATCCGCTCAAACATGCACCTCCGATCCCTCTTGAATCAATGCATATCTGGAAAGTCAACGTGGTTCGACATTTAACACACGGAATTACCAACCGCTATATACGCCTTCATCTACTTCACCCTCTTTCATATTGTGTCATCCAAAACTGTATTGAGATTTGGAATGTCTTTGCTAGGCTGATTTTGAACCAAAATGAGTTGCCGTTGCCTTGCGCTTGGTTGATTTCTTGGACCAGGCCTGACACCCCACAATATGAAGATATATGAAGTACAAGCTGTTACATGTCATCCAAAAGTTGGAGACCCTCTGGGTAAAGCTTCACAACAGCCTGGGGTTCCAAACCATGTCCAGGCTTGTCGTATTTAACGTGGCTGGCGCCGGAGGGACCACGGTGCTCGTGGCAGCTGCCGTGGTCGTAGTCACCACGGTTGCCAGGGTAGACACCGTGCCTGCTGTGTTGGTTGAACTTTGCTTGGGTGATCATCTTGGCAAATAGCTTGGTAGTAGCTTTGGCCAAACCAAATCAAAAGATACTGGAAGCGGGTTTCTGTCTTACAATATTGAGGTATATTAACGTATTGGGATGTATTGGGGATACATGTCATATGCAGCTCTGACAGTTTAATTAGTGTTTTGACTCCTCCAAAGTCATTTCCTCCGATCCTGTAGCAAAATGGAGGTATCCTTCTTATCACACCAAATTTGCTCCCATCGAAACGAAAGTGATCATAGGTCATCATTATCCCGAAATATCCCAGGTGAATCTCATGTTTGAAATAACAAACCAAGAGGTTTCGGGTTTGGAACTGACATCGCCATATTTCTGTCCACCTGCGAGTTGCGTATAGCTTCTGAGACATTGCCTGGGCAATGTCTATAAAGTGGTCCCGCAACCGTTGCAGCGAGATCTGTGGGTCCGAACTAGGCACTGAATCCACCTGCATAACACATACCGCCATAACCGTAAAATATGTGTGTAATTATCTAAATTTTAAATTCCAGCCGTTCCAGCTCCGTAGCTTGAGATACTCAGATTCTAGCTTGAGATACTCAAATTCTAGCCGTTCCAGCCCAGTAGCTTGAGATACTCAGATTCTAGCTTGAGATACTCAGTTTCTAGCTTGAGATACTCAAATTCCAGCCGTTCCAGCCCCGTCGCTTGAGATACTCAGATTCTAGCTTGAGATACTCAGATTCCAGCCGTTCCAGCCCCGTAGCTTGAGATACTCAGATTCTAGCTTGAGATACTCAGATTCCAGCCGTTCCAGCCCCGTTGAGATACTCAGATTCTAGCTTGAAATACCTATAAATTCCAGCCGTTCCAGCCCCGTAGCTTGACATACTCAGACGTAACCTCCCGTAACCTCCCGTAACCATCCGTAACCTCCGTAACCTCCTGTAACCTTGCGTAACCTCCCGTAACCATCCGTAACCTCCCGTAACCTCCCGTAAACATCTGTAACCTCCCGTAACCATCTGTATTCCGGCGGTCTCATGACGGAATTTGGCTGGTCTCATGATGGAATTTCGGTCTCATGACGGAATTTGAGCGGTCTCATGACGGAATTTGGCGGTCTCATGACGGAATTTGGGTCTCATGACAGAATTTGAGTGGTCTCATGACGGAATTTGGGCGGTCTCATGACGGAATTTGGGCGTGTGTGTTTTTTTCTCTCTCTCTCTCTCTCTCTCTCTTTCTCTCTCTCTGTCTGTCTGTCTGTCTGTATTCGTGCAGTCTCATAACGGAATTTGGCCGGTCTCATGACGGAATTTCGGTCTCATGGTGGAAGTTCTGTCTCCGGACGGAAATTTAGTCTCATGACGAAATTTGGCCAGTAATTAGGTCTTATGACGGAATTTGGCCGGTCTCATGACGGAATTTGGCGGTCCCATAACGGAATTTGGGTCTCATGACGGAATTTGGGTCACATGACGGAATTTGAGCGGTCTCATGACGGAATTTGGGTGGTCTCATGACGGAATTTGGGCGTTCTCTCTCTCTCTCTCTCTGTCTGTCTGTCTGTCTGTCTGTCTGTCTGTATTCGGGCGGTCTCATGACGGAAATTCGGTCTCATGACGGAATTTGAGCGGTCTCATGACGGAATTTCGGTCTCATGACGGAATTTGGGTCTCATGACGGAATTTGGCGGTCTCATGACGGAATTTGGATCTCATGACAGAATTTGAGCGGTCTCATGACGGAATTTGGGTGGTCTCATGACAAAATTTGGGCGTTTTTCTCTCTCTCTCTCTTTCTCTCTCTTTCTCTCTCTTTCTCTCTCTTTCTCTCTCTTTCTCTCTCTTTCTCTCTCTATCTGTCTGTCTGTATTCGTGCGGTCTCATGACGGAATTTGGCCGGTCTCATGACAGAATTTCGGTCTCATGACGGAATTTGAGCGGTCTCATGACGGAATTTGGGCGGTCTCATGACGGAATTTGGGCGTTTTTCTCTCTCTTTCTCTCTCTCGCTCTGTTTTTTTTTCTCTCTCTCTCTCTCTGTCTCTCTGTCTGTCTGTCTGTCTGTCTGTCTGTCTGTCTGTATTCGGGCGGTCTCATGACGGAATTTGGCCGGTCTCATGACGGAAATTCTGTCTCATGGTGGAAGTTCTGTCTCCGGACGGAAATTTGGTCTCATGACGGAATTTGGCCGGTAATTAGGTCTCATGACGGAATTTGGCCGGTCTCATGACGGATTTTCGGTCTCATATACTGCGCCTGAAATCTGCCTGAAATTCTCCGGACTAAGACCATAAGCGAATGCAAGGGCTCCCTCCAGAATGCCGCAGCAAAAGCCCTTGCTGACTGCAGCTGTCACGCGGCACTGTCACGCGGCATGGAGCCAGAACCGCTGCTTGGAGGTTGCACGCCATGGAACCAAGTCTTAATTTGGAAGAGCCAGTACAAGTAGGAACAAGTACAAGTAGGAACAAATCAAAGTACAGCTGCCAGTTACTAAAAAAACATTTGCTAATTGTCTGGGGTGTAACAAAAATTGAAAGTACATGCGCTTCGTGGGGATTTGCTTCCAGCCAAAAGCAGCACCAGACGAACTCAAGTCAAGGTTAGGAAAGACAGTTGTTCAAGGTTAAGCTATAACCTGTTCGAGGTTGAGTAATTAATGAGTTGTTCGGGGTTAGGCAAGTCTTCGTCTAAGGTTTGCAAAGCGATTCTTGCAGTTGGTCACAGACATTTACACTCAAGTCAGACATATGACATATGTATTTCGTTGTATTTCCAACCGCGGCCAGTGAACGTGTCTAATCAAGTCATGGAAATGCACCATAGATATGCCAATATATTTTTCTTTGACCATGGGACACCGGGTGATCAGCCTTGTACCAAGTGTGTGCATCACGGGGAGCAATGGCATCCAACATCTCATGGCCAGGCAGGACATCGCACTGAAAATCGTAGCCATGTCTCTCAGCATACCTGCGACGTTGAAAGAAACACAATATGACCTGGATTTGTTGATTGGTAATCAAACTAATGATGATAGGTCATCTATATTTATGATAATTAATGATGTAATTA